TTTTTTACAGCTGTGATTTAAGTGGTAATTTTAGAATAGCGTATGCAAAGCTTTTCGTTAGCGTTTGCCGCCACTGCGCGTGCCTAATGCACCATCCTTTTGCAGACCCCGCTAAGTGGTGGAAAGACCGCAACAAACGCTACCTTTGCGGCCGCTACGAACACAATGAACCTCCGTTGCTGCGTCTGCATGCCGACTGGGGTCAGCGCCCGTTCGAATGGGGTCAGCGCCCTTAGAACGCGTAGTTATAAAGCAAGATTCAGTAAAGAAGAAGAACAATGCACATGCTGCGGGAAAGATAAGGAAACGGCGGAGCATGTTCTGATTGAATGTGGAGATATCCACCCAGGTGTACGTTTGGGCACGAGCCTACAGGAAGCCTTGGGTTTTAGGGACAACAATGGAAAGCTGAACACACCCGCGATTGAAATAAGTAAGAGACGGTTAGAGTATTGGTGGCAGAAAATTAGAGAGAAAGGACAAAAATAAATATTGGAAAAATAAAATATGGACAGTGCGCCGTAAATGGCAGAGAACTTAAGCTGAAAATTTACCTTTTTTTCCATTAAGATAGAATTTATCGAAGTAGAGGCATTAGGCCAACATAAAAAAAAGAAAAAAATGTTTTTTTTTTGTCGAGCCTGGTGGCATACTTGTCACCACCCCGTTATAAAGGGGATGCTCATAGCATCCATCCAGCATCCATCCATCCATCGCATCCTGGGCGGTCATCGCAATGCTTGGTCAGTTGATCGCACATTGATTAGGCGTTAGTTCAATGCAGAACCCTAACTTTTTTCGTTAATTATTTTCATGTGCAGGATTCTCAATCATGCAATGGGGAGGGGGAAGCGCCAACGCAGCGAGCCACCTCCCCCACTGCTCGCGGGAGCAAAGAATTGCGATCGATTAAACAAAAATCAAGCAGTGGCATACTGCTTAGAACAACCGACCATTAATTGGTCCCCAGCTTTCAGAGGCAACTGTTGGAAGCTGACAGTTCTACATGAGGAATGCAACGTTAGGGGCACCCGCCCGCCATTATTGCCTAGAGAGCCTTCATGAAGACTCCCTATTATCGCCAAAAACACTGCATGACCCCCGCATCCTAAACAAAGCAGGTCAGGCCCGACAATTCCAGCAAGACAGGAGGGAGGTGAAAGGCACTATATATAGACCTATTCCATGTTTGTAAACATGGTAGGCGCTGAGTGTCGTCACGGTGCGTTGGCTCCGTCCAGTCGTCCCACTTGAAAGCGCACCCCCAGCCACTATGAACACGTGACAACGAGCGAAGCAGGTGCGCAAGCTGCCTTCGAGAATAGCGCGTCGGGACGCCTCTCGCATGTTTACAAGCGGCGGTTGCAGTGGCTGCTGAAATGATCACACGAGTTATGTTGACGTGTAGTTCTAGCTTTGAGAACCTCATCAAAACATAAGAGGTATCTTAACTGCGGCAATGTAGCACATTTGCGAAGTGTCATACAGTGATTGCTGCAGCCTACGTCACACGTGCACACTTTAATTTGTACCAATGCAATGACAGACCCAGTTCAGCAAAAGGCTCTAGAGTACAATATGCAAATGTGCGGTGTGAAAATACGTGGCCATGAATCGTTGCGATAAATCCTCGCATATAATAAATGTTCCGGAGAAGTTATCCATGCAAATGACCAGAGCAACCTCAGTGATACTTTCATCCGCAATGCGCTTGCGATAATGCTTCAACATAATGCTGTGGACAATACGGTTACGTACTTGTAAGGTCCGCGGCTCAATTCACATGCACGCTCAAGCCGACATCGCGAAATGCGGACGACTGAGCAAGTTTCCCGCGTGATGTTTTTCTGTGAATTCACACAGATGTGAAAATCTAGTGAAGCGCATTACAGCCAGAACAGCCCTCTCCGATACAATTGTGTCAGGTGTTTTCTCGCAGCCACATATAATAAGAAAAAGCATAGGTCTAAGTCATCCTTTCGTTCGCTGTTACTTTAATGAACAGTACCCACGCAGAAAAAAACACATGCTCGATCGTTGGCTCGATGACCGAGTGACACCTTTAGTTCACGCCAGTATGGCGATATCATTTTGATGTGTCGAAGACTTTTGCAGCTATATCAACAATGGCAACCGTGAAAAATGCTTCACATATGGCAATGCTGTGCAGAATGTTAACGTGATTTGAGGTAAACGTGCTCGATACTCCTCCACGGCTCATTAAAAAAGCGTAATTCCATGGCTTATTCCAACACTTGAGAGAGATAATCGCTTTTTATGGGTAAGCCACTCCAAAACATATCCGATGAAGCGGCGTCGAAGGCAAGTTCTCGCGTTTCACAGCTACGGCTGATCTTCGACGGTTTTCGTCAACAGAAAACTTCAAAAAAAAAAAAAAGACCTGGTCCATCTTTCTTGTGCCTTCCCGTGCAAATAACCGTAAAAGTTCGTCGTTACAACACTCTTTCTTCTTTGCACGGCCACAAACAGCGCACGTACCAGCGAAAACACAGCAGAAACTGTGGTAGGCGCCGCAGCTTTTGCCTACCAAGCAATACCAAACACCCGAAAACAGCGCCACTGCTTTTTCGTGACGTGTTTCCAGTGGAATTCGTCTACACGCAAGCCAACATAGCTGATACATACCTACCAGTTGTGTTTACTCCTTAGAGCCATGCCACTACCGAGCTGCAGAGGGGGTCTATATGTATCCTGGTCTTCCATACCGCCACTCGTACCGCAGCTGGTCTCCCGGCTCCAGCATAGTGGATCCACGCGCACGACTGCGTCGATGGCGACACTCCGGCATCCGCGACCAAAACTTGCGTCCTCCTTCGGAGGGCACCTCGTTAGGCTTAACTGCGCTCTTCGGTGCAGCTGCTGAACTCTCTTCGCGATCAGAGAGCACCTCGTTAGGCAACTCCGCTCTGCGACGCAGCTGCTGGACTCTCTTCGCGATCGGAGACCACCTCGTTAGGCTTAACTTTGCTCTACGACGCAGCTACTGGACTCTCCGCGCCATCGGAGAGCACCTTGTTAGGCTTAACTCCGCTTTGTGACGCAGCTGCTGGACTCTCTTCGCGATCGGAGAGCACCTCGTTAGGCTTAACTTCGCTCTGCGACGCAGCTGCTGAACTCTCTTCGCGATCGGAGAGCACCTCGTTAGGCAACTCCGCTCTGCGACGCAGCTGCTGGACTCTCTTCGCGATCGGAGACCACCTCGTTAGGCTTAACTTTGCTCTACGACGCAGCTACTGGACTCTCTTCGCGATCGGAGAGCACCTTGTTAGGCTTAACTACGCTCTGCGACGCAGCTGCTGGACTCTCTTCGCGATCGGAGAGCACCTCGTCAGGCTTAACTCTGCTCCGCGACGCAGCTGCTGGACTCTCTTCACGATCGGAGAGCACCTCGTTAGGCTTAACTTCGCTCTGCGACGCAGCTGCTGCTGGACTCTCTTCGCGTTGTTCCTCAGCAGCTTCGTGGATCCTGCTACTCCGCCACGTCCATTGCACGTGCGAGACGACTCCTCAAAATTCTGTCGTCACGATTGAAATCTGAGCGCAGAATGCGAGGAATGGGACACGGCAGCACACGACCGATTTGGCCAGAACTCTAAATTTCGATGCTGCTGAGGCGGCCAACTGTGGTACTGCATTGGTCAGCGTCTGTTCAAACGTATACTGCGTGTGTCAGCCACAAATCTCTGAGGCTGTGTTCTTACGAGCGCTAGATTCCATTTCGGGAGTACAACGGTGAAAAGCTCAAAGCAGTGATTGATTGTAGTGTGAGGTTTAACGTCTCAAAACCATGTACAGCCCCTCAACTATCGTCGTTTACTATCTGCTATGCACGCGAAGGGAGAGGAGCCTGTACATTGACACGAATGGCGCTACATCAGTTTTTTTTCAGGGACTTTAGCCGACGCTAAAGTTACTGTATATGCTACCTTTAGGTAGCATATACAGTAGCATATACAGTAATTCTAGGCGACGGGCGCTTATTGCACCATCTCGCTGGCAATGTTGAAGACACGACTATTCCCCCCGAGCTGCCCATCAGCCGCGGCAAGTGGTAGATATAAACAGCTTGCCGTTTCAACGTTTAGGGCGTGTTTTGCGGTGGCTTAGTGGTTAACGCTTCACACTCACGATTAAGAGGGCCCGAATTCGATTGCGCGCGCCGGAGTCTTTTTTCTTCTGGATTTTTATTTATTTATTGCATTTTCATATATATAGATACGTATACATATACGGTGAGCGACGCCGACGCCGGCGGCAAAATCCAGCCGAGTGTGTCTATATGAGTGCTATCGCAATTAAAAAAAGCTCAAAAACCTTTGGTGTCACGTACAGCTTATCAACGGGCCTACATCATGCACGGCTCAGCCCAACAACCTTCCTACCACCGCGCAGTCTGGCGGCCAAACCACGCACTATATAAGTGTGTGCGCATCGTGACGGTGCCATCTGTTGTCGCACGCGTCGTCTGTTTCATTGACAGGGAACCTTTCGACCGTTAATCTATAACAAAAGCACGACAAATAACTTCAAAACCAAGACAGCAGAGCAAGCTCAGAGGTGGTAGCTTTCAAAGGGCTCACAGCCATACGCGCAGAATCGTTAAACGATGGAACGGCGGCGTGCGCTAGGTTTGCGATCATTGCCACGCAGCGAACGATTCAAAACGATGAATTTTCAGAACGAGAAGAGAGCCCTCGGCGTGTTTGCGTAGAGAGAGCGGCCCTTTTGCCGATGTCGACAAAAGAGCGTGCGCTGGGTTGGCGGTCGAGAGCGGAAGTGGAAGGAGAGGACCGCGCGGATGCTACTGCGATCGCGGCTTCCGGTTTCTCTTCCTGCGGGCCTCGGAAACTGGAGAGGAAAGGAGAAACAAAGAGTAAAAGCAAGCAGAAAAGAGACTAAACGAACAAAGAGAAAAAGGGAAACGCACGATCTGAGAGCGCGTCCGCTCGAAAAAAAAACTTTTGTTCCGTCTAGCGACTGGCGCATACGCCGTCACCGCTAGACGAGAGCGTATCGCGCTTGCAGCGTGGCGGGCAACTCGTTGAGGTGTCACTAAACGTGTATTATTTTTTTTCTTCTATCGAACGGTTTCGATATCCCTATTTGTGGACCTGTACAGCATGGACTTCAAGTGACGACAGGCTACAGGATGCTTTAGATCGATCAGAAAAGTGAGTAGGACAACGGATCCTTATTTTTGTACGAACAACAAATGTTTATACATAATTTGTCATAAGAAATTGCGCGTGAGCTTTGCGAGGGGGCAGCCGCGACAAGAGAGATACATTGGGGGTTGTGGAATGAGGCGGAAAAGTTATTGGCTGTGTTTTCACTGGGTTTCCTTTTGTAGGAGAACAAAAGGTGTGTGTGAGGGGAGTGGAGGGAAAATTTTGGGGCCAAAGCCACCACCCCGTGCCTCCCACATGATGCCGCCCCTCGTGGAGTATGTCCGTTGTGCCCCACAAGCTGTACCATGCTGGAGTTCGGAGAAAGGTGGCATTTTTAGCGCCTCTGAGAATATCCACAACCGAGAGAAAGATTGACATTGAAAAAGGGGACGACATTAATTTGATGTAGCTAGATTTTGTGTTGTTTTTCCTTGTCATCTATATAAAGCGCATTCTGCGCACGTTACGCTTCTTCTACAAATACAACAAATAACAATTACTATAGTAATTAAAACCAACAATGAAGCCAAGGAAGGTACAGAGGACGCTGTTGGAAGTCCTCACTCTTGTTTTTTTTCATGAAGGTTGCATCTATTGAACAAAAAAGCCCTTCAATTTTGTTATTTCTGAATTAATAGAATTGAATCAAAACAGCACTTGAACGAATTTCAGATAAACGAACCTTTTGAAGCTCCCCACTAAAGCGACACGGGAGTGACATGTTTCAGTCTAACGAAATCAGCGCAGATCGCATTTCAGTCCAGCGAACATAATTTGTGATACAACGTAATGCATATGGATCAGAAATCGCCTCAAAGACTGATTTCCTTCTTGTGCACGTTCTGTCTCTCTTAGAATGAGCTTTCTCATTCTCGCGCCGAGACCCGCGCCACTCTGTCTACAGATGGGATCGCTGCCCGAGTCCGGCTTCAGGAGGAAGCACCAAGAATTTCAGCTCAAGAAGCCTTAATGTAAATTGAAAAGGTGGAGTCATTCGCTACCCAGCCAAGTTTTGCACCGAAAAACGTTTATGAGAGCTTGGACACAGCGGCTAAAATAATGACCACCGCAGTCTTAAGTGCTCAAGTGCAGCAAAATATGCCTACATGTATTCTTTAAAACACGCTAAATAACCAGAAATTCACGTTTCAACGAGCAACACTGCAAATAAAAGGATTTTAATTTCATTTCAACAACTGATGTTTTCTTTAGCTACCGATGACTATATTTGCAACATATATAGCTACATCACTTGAGCGAATTCTAACTTTGACAAACGTGTTCTTTGGACCCCTTGATGCTTTTCCAAGTCACACTACATTGTGGTTTTTCTTATTTCTATTGGCCGCGTCTGTGGTTGCTCTCCTTTCACTATTACGAATTGTGGCCCGACTGGCTTTCGTTCGCTCCTTCTGACATTATTTCAGCGCGGACAGTTCATTTGCACCTCAACTGCTCGGGGTCACGATTCCGATGCATAAACATCACCGATGACGTCATACCATCACCATACAATTTGTGTGAAAGGCAAGGCCTGTCGTTTCCTATGTATCACTATTTTGACAGTGTCATTGCTGTTCGCCCGTGTCTCCGGGGCGCTGCCAGTAACCTATATGTTGTGCCCTTTTGCGGTTCTCTCTGTTTTGCCAGCGTCGCTATACTGCCAGTGTCAATAGCCGAGAGCAACGTGCCGCTCTGCGGATGAAGTGACACGTGACTTTCTGCGTGGGTCACGTGTTGAGGTGCATGCATCATTATGAGCTCGGCAATTATTAAAAGTTGCCAGCTACAGCCTGCGACTGAAAACTTTCATCTTTCCATGGTTTGCGATTTTCGGATGCTGTCTTCCTAAACGAAATGCTATCTTCTTAACCGAAACACGATCAGATCACATAATGAAGCACAAGCCATGCGCCGGTGTATCTGATTTTAAGCAGCCATCAAAAGCATACTATACTATGAAAAGGTTACGCCACTATCAGGATGCATTAGCAGAAGCGATACATATATAATGTATGATTGACCACACAATGCAATTTTTTTGTGTGTGATCACAATTGCACGCATCAGGCACTGACTGGTGGTATAAACTTGCATGCGAAAAATTAATAAAAAAACGGCTTACAGCATAGCAGGATAACGAGCAAAAGAACAAAAATGGCGAACCCTGCACAGAGCCAGGCAAGGTTTGAAGAGCGAAGCAGGACGATTCCGGAGACGCGGTTGTTAGGCCAGGTGCCGCAAGTTGTTTCTAGGTCATTGCCGCCCGACTTTAGCGATGCGATGCTAGGTTGTTTCTACGTTGATTCTCAACGCAGAGAGGCTCGAGTGAAATCAGCGACAGACACGATACGGGCACGTCGTCGTTGGCGGCCGTTCGTCGCTTCTCGCAGCCGTACGCGTTGCCTTTTTTGTACGCACGTAATCTTCCGCCGTCACTTCGCAGCCTCTTCTTGGGCTAACTGTTGCCTAGATTAATTGATTAAAACTTTATTTTGGTCCTGAGAAGGCGCAGGGTAGACCCCGCGCCACCCGGCTAATCCCACGTATAGGGACCGTCAAGCCGAGCTTGGCGGCCCGTTCACGGGCACTCTGGACGGCCAGGGTTTGATCGTTAAGTTCGGGGCTGCGCAAGAGCGCAGCCCCGAACCTGTCCTCGCTGAGGGCGGAGCCAATGACTTCACATTCCCGCAACACATGGTTGAATGTTGCTAACAGTCCACAGGCGGGGCAATCCGCACTTCGATACCGTTCATGGTACATGGCAAGGAGAACCGCAGGGTTAGGATACGCACTGGCTTTCAATAGTCTAAGAATAACCGCCTGCGCCCTACACAAGGCAGGGTGTGGGAGGGGGAATACTTCGTTTTTAGTGGACCGGTGTTCAGCAGTGGGACTTGCCCAATTTCTGCGGCACTATAGCGTTCGCACAAAAATCAGACCTGTAGAAGACGACTACGGTGGCACCGTAGAACGAGATTGCCGCACCTGTTCTTGTTCGCGTCTGGTGCATGTCTTCAGATTAAGTACATTGTTTATGGTATCACAGCATCCACATATGTCTGCCTCTTCTCACGTACGGCCTAAACTCGTCTATGATGGTGATAGTTTTCTGACAGGCCGCCCACACAACTTACGGATGGCTCAAACAGCTTCGCTATTACAACACCGGACGAAGAGAGGGGACAAAACACGGCGATGTGGTGTGTGCCCTTTCTTTGTCCAGTCTTATTAGAGCTGTTTTCCAGCTTGTAAGCAGGAGTGAACTAAAACACGTACCTTACTGTAATGAGGCAATTCGACGACCTTCGGCAGCTGGATTTTTTTAGGAGGACCGTCTACACCATTTTCAGTCCGGTTCAGTCAGCGAAAAAAAAAAGAAAGAATCTGTAACCGTACGGCGTACCACATGTGAGTGAAGCGCATGTGAAGCAAACCGACGAAGAAGAGCGGTGACTTCATCTTATCGTGAAGAATCAGCTTATGTGACAGACAGAAGGCCCCTACATGAGCAAACGTTTAAAAAAAACTACCAAAGCACCAACAGTGTGGTCAAGATCAATGCGCGCATGTGCAGACGAAACAGAAGAAGTCGCGGCGAAGGGGCATGTCTGAAAAAGTGCTCAAGCTCCGCTAACGTGAAAAGCGGGAAGGAACAAATCATGCAATGTGCGGTGGTGTTTTGCACAGCGAAATCTTAACTATTTACTGCTTCACTCGCCACCGGTTAATAACACGCCACCACTTTGCAGATAGTTTTATGAAGTGGTGCTTCAAATAGATAGCTTTACCGTAGGGATGCACTCTGCCGTTTTAGATTAAAAAAAAACTTGAGAGCCTTGGCGAATTTCGTCGGGGATTCTGACGCCCTTGCTAAAAGCAAACATAGGCAGTAACGACAAACCGACCGGTGACGAGTAGTGGGAATCAGCCCATTTTTTGTGGACCCGTTAATTATGATGAACCATGACGACGACCCGACACGCCGACTAGCAGAGACAATAATGTGATTCGCCCCTGAAACTGGCCTCTCTGACCCGGCGTGGGAGCAGCCAGAATCAGGCCTAGACTGATCCTCTGGAGCTTAATAAAGTTCTTCATACCATACTATGCCTAAAAACAAATCAGTTCGAAGTCAGCGCTCGTTTTCTTCGGTCTGCCTGTGATCATTACAAACGCTGCAGACACATCTGAAATAGATTACCAGCTAGCCAATATACCCAAACCTTGCTTCAGTATACCGCGTACATCACGCATCATATGTCCTACGCAGGGAATGTATCCAATCACATGCCATGATGCTCATGCGGGTCAATAACACGATGACGTGCGCTAATTCGAGACGAACGCGTCCAGGGGCGTCATCAGTTTGCAAAAACATCGGCCTCACTTCCCGGGCTGCGACGGGAAGGCCGCGGTATACGTTGCATCGAAACAAAGAAAAGAAAAAGCCGCGCCAGTAGTACGAATCGACAACAGATCAGTATGTCCTGCGGAGTTGAATGTTCTCGTTGGTCAACGCCGCTATTTAGTTGTGGCATACCACGGTTCTTCGACCTCTGAAAGGACATCGTTTTCTCTTTTTCTTTCTTACTTTTGCATCTCCATATGCGGCGTGCAACTTCGAATCGTTGACTCGAGTCACGGCCCGGTGAACAGCGAGTGTGCATTGCGTAAACAATACGCCTACTGGACAGGCACTTCTTTCAGTCCGTGAAATATTCACGGGGTAAGAATATTTTACTTCGGAGTTTATTGCAGATAGCATTGGCGCGTTACCTTTGATGACACAATAGCCACAAGAAGCAGCTTACAAAGAGAACTTATTGAGGCTTTTTATATACACCTGCAGCTCATGGCTGTGTTATAAAAATGCAGCTCATGGCTGTGTTATAAAAATGTTTACTGAAAAAAAAACTTGTTAGACTAGTTCGGAGAGCATTTCCGAAAATAACGAGTGTCACATAATTAGTGCCGCATGTGCCACATGTGCTACATATTCAACCATTCATGCGATGAATAAATGTAGTTGGAAGTGAGCCGCTGGATGTGCGAATGTGCCATGTGTTCCTGCTCTAATTACTTTTGTAAATGGCTGTGTTCTGCCAACCGTCACCTCGGACGAAGCTAAGTTTAGGCCCCTTACTAACACGTATGAATAGTGATGGCTTCTGCAATGAAGCCATGCGTGCCTGTGCTATGCCATTGCTGTTGCATTTTCCCGATTATCTCCTTCGTGTTACCGTACACGAATACGTAGGAATGTTTTATGTTTTGCTCATTAAAAAAACAATAGTTGCGAGTTAGCCCACGTCCTGCGACATGAAAACAGCTACAGTAATCTGTTTAACGCTACCAGAAATTCTTCTGTATGTCTGTGCGTCACACGATTCAGCCAGCCAAAGTTTAAGCACTTGCTGAACGCCGAGTCACCTGGAACTGGTGACCCCATTTATACTTGTTAACATTGTCGATCAAAAAGCAACTGTTACGCATATCTGAGGCATAACATCATTACGTAAGAATTATACTGTGTTTTCCTTCACTAGAAAATAAATAAATACGTAATTCTAAAGACTTCAGTGTTTCTGCTATGAAAATGTGACCCTATGCACGAAAAAGCGCTCCGCCAACGATATGGTGCTGCCACCTGGATTCTGCACAAGATGGCGTCTCACACAGCGCCTCCTCTATTTGATGAATACCAGATGCGGCCGATTCGGCATAGAGGAGGCGCTGTCTGAGGCGAGGCAAAGCAGACAGTTGCTTGGCCGGCATTTGCACCGAAGCACGCAGTTACGCAGTCATTCTTCTATTCTCTCAATGCCAACACTATATATACCGTATCGAACTAATCATTCATATCTGCTTTGTCACGCAGCGGAGTGCGCCAACGCAGAGCACGTGCTCAGCGACAAGATGGCGGCGAACGAACCGGAGGGTGATGTGAAGCTGAGGAGCCGGGAAGAGTCGCAGAGCTTCCGTGCCCGCGTACAGTTCCGAAAGTCCCATTCTGGGCCTCCGAAGATGGAGGGATACCTGCGCAAGAGGACTGCCAAGCTAGTAAGAACTGTTTCCACGTTAAGGAGAAAGCTATAGGCACACTTATTTTACGTCTAGTTTTTTTATAGTTGAAGCTCGGTTTAACGATGTAATGATTACGCTGAAGACGCAGTGAGCGTTGTGCGAGCAGGCCGAGCAAGCTGGTTGCGACGAGATAGTTCCGGCAAAAGAATATGACTTCGTTAAATCGGGAAGTTGACCAAATCAGGTTCCGCTGGAACGTGTTTTAACTGTATACATGTACAGCCGCTGTCCTAGCTATACCAAAAAAGAGCTATTGGCAGGGTTGTAGCAGCAGAAATTGTTTTTCGAGGCAGGACTCAACCGGCGGTTATGCATGTTCGTGCTTGTGTGCACGCGCATATATAAAATTGAAACGTTTCTGGGAAGGGGTCATTTACCCCGTCCTCCTCAACGCCCTAGAAGATATGGCTATTTGCAATAACATCGAACCTAAACAAATAATAGTTAGTTACCTGTTTTTAATAGGACACATGAGATCTTTGTTTAGTTGGGTACGCGTTATAGCAACAAGATATCTCCTTGTTGGAGAATAGGACTCACCCAAGTGTATCTCACTTGCTGCGTGGAGTTTCCTCGGCGAATAATGCATGTTTATGCCGTTTTGCAGAACCTCAAGTGGTTCTGGCGCAAGTACTGGTTTGTGCTGGATGGTCGATCTTTGCTGTACTTCAAGTCGCAGTCAAACTATAACGTGAGTACCAGTTCGTGAAACAGCGATGCAAAACAGCTAAATTTCAAAGATTAAGCCACCGGGTAGTTGGCCGTACCTTAATGTCCTAGCTTTCCTCTCTTGGTGCACATAATACTTTATGTGATGCTATAAGAAATCATGCAATTCACCTTATTCTGGTAATTCTTTTTTCAGAAAAGCTGGCACCTTGAGTCAATGTGCTGCTTTAAAAGACAAAACTTGTGAGAAGATAGCAGGTTTATTTTTATTTAATAATAATAATAATAATAATAATAATAATAATAATAATAATAATAATAATAATAATAATAATAATAATAATAATAATAATAATAATAATAATAATAATAATAATAATTGTAGGGGCTAAACGTCCCAAAACCGCGGTACGATACGATAAACGCCGTAGTGGACGCCTCCTGAAATTTCGACCCACTCGGGGTTGTTTTGACGTGCACCTGTCATGGCGTGAGCCGGTTCTCCATTAGGGGGGGCGATGTTTCATAGCAGTGCCCACCCACTGTTTTAGATCCTTTCCGACGACGATCGGAACGAAGCGCAATGGGGAATCGGGGCAAAGGGGATGGGGAAGACCTATATACTAGGCCGCACCCTACTGTGCGTACGCCTATGCTAACTTTAAAGACCAATAAGCCTTGTCATATGGGCTGACAGAAAATTGGTGACTATTACAATAATTTAATGGTATCTGACGTTGACCCAAAGCCTACACATGCCAAGATCGCCTTTTCCAAATAACCAAATGATTTATTATTGCTATTTTATCAGTAAAGAAAAACCTAATGCACAATCAACCTTTCGCGCAGTCCCTCGGCACCTGCAAAGGTCTCGTGGACTTCGGCTTGGTTCAGGCAGTCAGGCCATCGCACGGCTCCAAGAACACCTACGCTATGGAGGTCATCACCCGATCCGACGTGATACACCTCGTGAGTACCCGCTTTTTTTCACTCGTTTTGACCTGTTGAAATGCTGTGCAGTTCTAGGAAGCGAGGCCGAAACATTACTACATACGTAAAAGCGTGTTCATGCAACACTAATAGTTCATTCGAACGCGCGTCTTCCGGTCCCGGCCAGCGTATGCATTATTTATGCACTCTTTAACTGGTCGCGTAGGAGCGCTCTCCTGAGAGAGGTTGAGGAAGATAGAGGACGCAACCTCGCTGCTTTCTCGCAGGAGAGCGCTCCAACACGACCAGTAAAAAGATGACATCAATGGTTTCAAAGTCGTCCATTCGGCCATGTTTGGCCGCAAGCCGCCGGTTCATTCGGACGATCCTCGGAGCGCGCCGGTAAAGTGCAACGCAAATGAAAGAAAGCGGCATTCGAGGACAGCAGTAAACGGCCGCGGGCTTTTTCGGAAAGGCGGGGTCGCCACCCGCAGTGCCATTGGTGAGAGGTGATAACGTATGACTTGAGAACACGTTTCGGATTAAGAAGCGGGTGTTAATTGAGCCGCGTTCGTGCACACGGTCAACTGAGTCTCAAATGACGAGAATTGCGGCTATACCGCACCGATTCTATCTAGAATAATGACTGAATTTACATATTCGTCGAGAAAATCCAAGTGCAATGATATAACAGACACTTACTCATTGTTTTATTTATATTTTCGATATTTCGACATTCCGTTAATCAGGGCAGTTTTCCCGGTCCCGTGAAATGCGAATAATCGAGCTTTTACTGCAGTGTAATGCGACAAAATAGCCAAGTTGATTTTCTATTACGGTCCCGTATACTCTAATATTGTTTACGATTACTGCCAAACGTATTGGTGATAAAATACTTTGAGAGGAACATGTTTTTAGGATTGTGGTTCTTCACACGTGTTTTCAACTGTCTGCCTATTAGACCATACGCAAACCCCGGCAATAATGCGTTCGGGCGCTGCAGGTTAAGACGGAATCGATTTGTCGAGAGCAACAGAGTGCGTGGCTGTTAACGCTGTTGTTGTCTGGAGCTGCAATCTCACGACAGCTACAAGCTTCGGCTCATTCTACAATAATAGCATGCGGTCCTATCACGCAGTAGTATGACTATGTTGGGTATTGTTATGGTCTCCGCATATTAAAGACGATAGTCTTTCTTGAGGTACTTCGACGCAAAAGCTTTGGTCTGCCTGTCTGTCTGTACACCTGTCTGTTTGTTCGCCGTAACGACACCCCAAACGGTACACTAAACGGCCAACCCCATCCGCAGCGCTCAAGTTTCAGCGTTCATACTTGTGAGATTGCCCATTAAAAAAGCAATTATTGCGCATAGCTGAGGCACCATAACAACACGTCAATATTCTGTAAGAGTGTCTTTATACTAGAGAATGCATACATAAGTAATTCTAAATACCATAGCGTTTATCACGCTGCGCTGCAAATTAATGCAACGCTATGCTCAAAAAGGCAAGTATTTCCAACGCTTTGCTAACACGTCACGGTGGTGACATGCAACTGCCCGTCGTTTTGCGTTCTACACCTTATCGCCTCCGAGACGGGCGCACACGCCTTCCTTCGTTTTCGAAGAAGATAACTGCCAGATAGCGCTCGTGTCTGACGTGCCTCGATGCGCTCGTTCGCCTTCGCTGCACGAATCGAGACTCTCTGATGCAACGCCTCCAGAATACAATTCACCGATTTTCTCAGGTAGAACATCAAATAAATGTTTTGTTCACACTCTCCAGACCCAAGACTATCGTCTTTCGGCCGACATTTGCAGTGAAACATGCAGATACGAGGCCAATTTTTCTCTTTGAAACGGCAGCTGAAGAAGCCGGCTGCACGCTCTAGACAAGTGTGATACTGCCTGCACTTCTAAAGAAGAAAAAAAAGAAAAAAAAGGAGATAGATAGATAGATAGATAGATAGATAGATAGATAGATAGATAGATAGATAGATAGATAGATAGATAGATAGATAGATAGGTAGATAGGTAGGTAGGTAGATAGATAGATAGATAGATAGATAGATAGATAGATAGATAGATAGATAGATAGATAGATAGATAGATAGATAGATAGATAGATAGATAGATAGATGTATATAGAAACTGAATAAATAAATAAGATCTCGAAACTTGCTAGACGCATCCCCAGTGGGATATTAGAAGTGCTTGCTGCAGTAGGCGAGCCTTGCCTTGCAAAGGTTTTCAGAGAGTATACATATATATAGTTTCGGGAGGGAATTTCAGGCCCCACTGCGGTAGTCTAGTGGCTAAGCTACTCGGCTGCTGACCCACAGGTCCCGGGATCGAATACCCGCTGCGGCGGCTGCATTTTCGATGGAGAAGGAAATGCTGTAGGCCCGTGTGCTCAGATTTGGGTGCACGTTTAAGATCCCCAGGTGGTCCAAATCTGCAGAGCGCTCCACTACGGCGTCTCTCATAATCATATCGTGGCTTCAGGACGTTAAACTCCACATGTGAATCAATCAATCGGGGGAGGGGATTTTACACCTCCCCCCACCAGGAAATATTTCCATTTCGTGTGTGTGTATGTATGCGCGCACGCACACACAAACGAACAAACGGGCGGGCGCACACATGCACGAAGTCCGATAGAGTATTCCGTCATTGAAGCCCTAACCAGCCTCGATAGTTCGGTATTCTGCTACAAACCGGGTGTAATTCGACGTGTTGCCAGGGCTCTTCTTTAAAACACACAGCTCACGCACCATTTATGTAAGCTAGATTGGCTATCGACGAAACTGACTTGCTCGACGCGCATGCAGGCTGCCGATGATAGTCAAACGCGGCAGGTGTGGGTGGCAGCGCTGCAGGCGGCCATCCAAATCAGCGAGGTCTCGTGGCCCTTCAAGGTGCAGCTGGACAACGCGCCCAAACTGGTCCAGATTCAGCGGGGAGAGTGAGTATTATCCAGCTGGCAAAAAGACGTCGTCGCGTTCGGGATTTTCGCTTTCTACGAGTATTACGTTCATGTATACCAGCAGCGCAGGACGGAAATATGCGCGATTCCCGGTTACAAAATCTTCGAGATGGCACGACCAGTTGCAGTCAAAGAGTATGAAAGATCTAGCAAAGCAACCTTTGACAACTTATATTACATGAACGAGGCCTAAACACGGGAAAGTATACCTCGGTGGCGCCACACAGATGTACTAGGGTCGACCTGATGCGAAATTCAGTATATGAAACTTTTACCTATATGACTGTAAAATAACAGCGTAAAAAACGACGAACAAAGTAGCACACGTTGACAGTCAAGCGCTAACTTCCAAGTGGTTTACTTCTTAAAAAACACAGAACTTATAGCTTTTCTTCATAAAGAAAATGAGTCTCTGCGCATACTGTGATTATCTTTTTCTTGTGTTGTGACGGCGCTATAAGTTCTCCGTTTCTTAAGAAATAAACGAGTTGGAAGTCAGCACTCGCTTTTGTGTGTGTTCGTTTGCCGTTTTTCGCACTGTTACTTTACGTTCATGAATAACCATTTAGCCCGATTCAGCGCCACTGTGAATATTTTTACCTTAATATTATCTCCTGATATTACACTTCACCGCGAAATTAATGCCTATAGGGTTCTAACGAGATAATTGATTACTAGTATATTGTAAGCGTATTCTTTACTGTCATTTTTGAGGAGAAACGTGAACTAAATAACTGTCTTTTACACATTTTTGTACCAGTAAGAAACTTGGCGTCAAAAACCCGACCACGTAAGAACACAGAGACAAGACAGGGGCTAACTTATGCACTGTAAACAGAAATAAGCCGAAATGGGAGTAAATGACCTTGTCCTCTAGCGCACACCCAGATGGGAGTTTAAAAAAACCCGTCTCTGGGAGTAAAAAATTTACTCCCCATCAGAAGGGGGTTTTCGCATGGTGTCAGGGGGGTTTTTATTTACATCCATAGGGGAACTTTTTCAGGTCAGTATGGGAGTAAATTTTTTGCATCGACCGAGAAAAAAAATTACGTCAGCAGCCGTACCATGCGCAAGCGTAACTTTAATTACATTACATTTAATACGCACAACAATCATTACAGTACACAAACATTATTACAACGTTCACGTAATATCACAACACTCGCACACACCACAGCTTGCCACGCGCAGTACACACCTACCATATAGTCACCGAGTATATATAGGCACCACATTCTGACCTCCTGTATCCCAGGTGAATGCCTTTTTTTTTCTAATAATTAAGCAATAAATACGCACGGCGTAAGTATGAACTTGCGGTGGTCTGATGTAAGCACTTCAACACACATGCCTTTTATCCTAATCCTGCCTAATATTTAATATTTTTTTACTATAACGAAAAAGTTTTATCAGTTGACGCTCTGTCGTACAGGCTGAATTCGCATCAGCAGTGCTGTTTGTGGACCCGTAAAATGCACTCAATCATACACAAAGTGCGCGCGGCCTTGAATGAACACATTAACGAGGCACATTCAGCAGCTCCAGCGATGAACCGAGGTAGACCGCCGCTACCGCGTTCGACGACTAGGCCTCACTCACGAGTACGGCACGGTGATTCGATGAATGACAGCTGGCGATCACAAAATGCTTGCTGATGTGCAGTTTACGTCTCGTTTTTACCATGCACAGAAATAGGTGTCCGCTGTCCACGCAGTTTAAGCTACGGAGCGATAGACTTAAACGAATGAGACGGTTCGCAGTCGCTGTTCCCGTTGCTCGCATGCATTGCATGTATAGCTCGCAGAGCTCGCCACGGCGGCCGGTGCGCAGTGCGAGCTCGATACGATGCCGGCTTGATACCGACGCCATAGCGAGGCCTTCCTACCGCTTAGATGTTGCAGCCGGTGAAATACCGGTGACACTCCGAGAAGCCACTATCGGTGGATACGGGCTGAGCGCGTCGCCGGTGCAACTCTCAGACTGGTGGCCGGCCAGCCTGCCGTAGTCGAGCGAAGCCTACTTCGAACCGCTTCGAAGTTTTACGGTGCAATCGCTGACGATCGTACTCCGCCTCGGTCGGCGCTCGCCTTGTAGTTAGCCATTGACAGCTGCGGTCGCAAGGCGCAGAAGACTGTTATACATCCCAGCAGCCTTATTTTTTTGTGAAACACATTCTTTGCATCACCGGTGGTCGGTGCTAGCTCGTAGCGCTTGTCGCGGTGGCCGGCGCGCAGGGCGAGTTCGATACGATGCCGGCTTGATACCGACGGCATAGCGAGGCCTTCTTACCACTTAGATGTTACAGCCTAGATGAAATACCGGTGACACTCCGAGAAGCCACTATCGGCGGAGACGGGGCGAGCGCGTCGCCGGCGCAACTCTCAGACCGGTTGCCGGCCAGCCTGCCGTAGTCGAGCGAAGCCTACTTCAGACCACTTTGAAGTTTCTGATGGTGAAACTCCAGGAGCAGCCGCTGACGATCGTAACAGCTTACTTTTGCTACCATTAATTTATTCTTCGAAGTTTTTTTGTTACTCGGCCCTTTGAAGCGCGGCATTCACGACGTTTCGTTGTGGAATCAGACCGATGTGCAGCGTGGTTTAACAGTGCGAAATATATTGAAATGTTCCCAGTAAATACCAACCGGTCGTTGCTATTCTTCGCTGCACTTATAATTTCTTTGCCTGTTGACAGATGCTTACACGGTTAGCCACACAAATCACATGTGTTTCACACCGACGTGCAAACATATGTCCGTACAGACACATACACACACACACACACACACGCACACACACACACACACGTCACGCCCAAAGAGGGTTTTTAAAGCTCCTATAGGGAGTTTGTAACCACGTGACCTGAAACTCCCTGGGGAGTTTAACAAGGTCATGTCGTTCATAAACTCTGTGATTAAGGAGGGGGCGTTTTACGATGACATGTGCCGAGTTCACTCCCTACCAGGGAGTAAATAATTGGGGCAGGGGAGTTTTGTAAGCTCATGTGCTGGAGAAACTCCCATCTCGGCTAACTTTTGTTTACAGTCGTATACCGACTGTAATAAACCGTCGTATACGACGGTTTATTTTCGGCATCTCAAGCTGATACGTAACATGTACCGACTAGTCCAATAGCGAGTACCAAAGTGATTTTTACATGTTTCCCCCCAAAACAATGGCATTGGTGTTTCTCTTGTGCGCAGAGTTTCCAGCTCTTCGGTCGTCTCTGACAGCGAGGGCCGACATTCCAGACAGAACGATCGCCGCCGGAAGACATCAAGCCTGATCATCTACGAAAATGTCAGCATCGAGAGCCCGACGCGAAGCAACGAAATTCCCACGGACCGTCGGCCGTCAAGCGAAGGCGTCATCTATCAGCAAATAGCGGAAGCCAAACTAAACGCGCACGACTCCGAAGCCAGGACGTCGGACAGCAGCGGCAAGAATCATGCCTATTCGCAGACCAAGAAGGACAAGGGATACGGTGGCATGCTCAGAAGGGCCCGGTCCTTCAGCCACGGTCTCATGTCTACCAAGGGCCGTCTGCCCGGTTTTCACCGGCACCGGGACAAGTCTTCGAAACGCGGAAGCAAAGATTCACCAGGCCCAAAGGACGATTCCGCCTCCGCTAGCCCGGCTCCGACGCCAGACTCGAACCGAACGTCAAAAGGAGCGAGAACCACGTCGCACCGGAAGCAGGACTCGGACGATTCCATTCGATCGATGGAATCGGCCTCTAGACAGACTAGCAATTCTTCGAACAGAACCTCCCACAAGAAGCAAGGTTCGACGGGATCCGCAAAACTAGACGCGATGATTCCGGTGCGGAATCGAATCGCTTCTTCGTCGAATCCCACCGACGAACACCGCATCACGGCGTGCCTGGACGTCAACCCGACGTACCAGACGGCTGGAGAGTCGAGAGCCGACACCTTCACGACGCCGGTTCCCGCGACCAGAAAAAGGTATGACTCCGCGTCATCTCGTCGGGACGTCGACATTGATGACGAGGACTATGCACCGGAGTGTCCTTCCAGGCCACATCCCGCGAGTCCCATGCCACGAGGCGACGCGTCCGCGATGATGCCCAGCTTCGAATACGAACGAGTCTACGAACACCACGTCCCACTGTCTCTGATGAGCGGCAAAGTTGGGGACGACGAAAGACAGCGGAAGAAGCCTTCGAATCTCAGAATGGATCCAATGGACGTAATGATTCCGAATCGCGAATACGCCGAAGTGTACGAGGACCACGTGCTTCCTTCCCCGCTAAGGCGGTCCGCAGACGACGCCAGCCGGAAAGGAACAACCAGTCTGGGACACATGATTCAGGCACCGAGTTCGGAATATGCCGAAATCGACGAATGCGACAGCGGTACCTCGCTGTCCAGGACTTTCTCGAGTCCTCCTTGTGGCGGCAGGGTGCCCATAGCGAGGAGGCCTTCCAACACAGAGTCCTGCGTTTCGAGAAAAACCAGCAAGGACTCGGCGGACGATTCGTCGCTGCACATATACCAAGAAGTTCGAGGTCTATCCCGCAGACCATCTCCGCAGCCTTCGCCACGCACCGTATTCATGGCGTCGCTGGCTTCGAGGCCGGCAGAGATGGATGACGAGGAGGAAAGCTACTACTCGAGCATCTCAGAGGAGGACCTCCGGAGGTACCAGTGGTCCAGCGATCTCGGTGAGTTTAAATATGCAAAAAAAAAAAGGCTACTGCACTATAAAACAATTTGCGCTTACGGCGGTTTCAAGCAAGCAGAACGATTTTTGCCTAATCAAAATTTGCAGAAATTATGGTTAAGGGTGCTAATGGTTTTTGAAACACTCATGACCACAGCGTGCAATGCGATAACTGGGACACGCTGATTAAAACACCGTCCGATCTCAGGCCAGTTTAGATTAATCGATATCTCTCTTTTTGGGGCTACAACTTTACGCGCATATTCTCGAACATTACTCGAAACATAACGATCCCCACTGGCACTATACGGCTGCTCAAGATACTGTCGCTGTATATACCAGCTGATCAGCGCAAGGCTGTGTAGCGTGAGTGCTCCGTCCATGGGGTATTTTACTGTACGATTTCGTAGTGCACGGTTCGGCGCACGATGCATCTTCTATGTTGATGTCATCTGTCTATTACAGTACTGGTGATATCGGCTCTTTTTAACTACACCTAGAAACACGTTCAAATTCTAGGCATTAACATAGAGATGGTAAGCATTGCTAAGCAGGATACATAAGATGACACACACAAGCACGAGCTGTCTGCCTCAAAGTATCTAATAACGTTGGTCTGCCTCGTCCCATCGAAAAAGCGTGGTTTGTTTTCGGAGGGGTTTGTCGCAGCGCCTCTCTTTTCTAAGTGACTAAAGAGGGCGGTAACCCCTCCCCGTGGCTCGCCTAGGCTCCTTGTTCAATGAATACCCCACTAAAGGGACCCATGAGTAGCATGCGAAGCAGCAGTTCCGTTCATCATGGTCACCTTGCCCCATGTTAATGCGTCCTTGCTAGAGTCACTGTATACGCTCCTTACGGGAGCAGAGTTGCGCATAGGTCCGCCATTATGTTCAACGGTTGTGCAGTGAAAGCACTCGTAGCGCACGCAAGAGAAAAATGCGGCGCGATGGTCTGGCACGGGCGGCGTGCCGGAGACTTATTCGAACGCGCTGAACAAGATTTCACGGTTGCAGTGAGACGGTATGTTGCTATAGGTAGCGAAAATGGCCCGTGTGGTTAGATTTAGGTGCGTGTTAATGAACTGCAGGAGGTCAAAATTTCTGGAGCCATACACTACGGCGTCTTTCTTTAAAATATGTTGGTTTCGGGAAGTTAAACTCGGCAATTAAATGAGTGAGGTGAAAATGAATAAAAACGGAACTCATTCGGAGTAATGCCGCAGCACGGTTTTTACACCAGACGTACAATGCACAATGTTTCTGCGAAAACAATTTTGTGATTGCCTGATTCCTTTTAGGACTGCTAGATGGCGCCACCTATGCAGGCTGTCGGGGGCTCACACATTTGCGGCTTCCTTGTTCTAGCTATTTTAGCTTTGGTAATCCAGCTGAAACAATATAATCGCTATTGGCACTCGCACTTCGGCTTATTTTGATACGATGCCTGGAGTCTCTGCAATGCGGATATCGAGATTTTCTACCAACGAAGGTGGGTTTGTGAAACAGCGCCGTAAATGTAAAGCCTATCCGGCGGGTAATTTACTTTACGTAAAGGTTTACGTTCTGTAGAGACCCGCGCATGCGCAGATTCTATTCGGCAACATGGTAACGCAAATCGTACACGTACAAGGTAAAACCCCCAACGGCAGTCGCGATGAGGCTGAAGTCTGTGCGGGCAGAGAACGCGTGGGCGCCGCGCCACCGTGCACGTGAAGTTTGCTTCGCCGCTTGGAATGGAACATTTGACGTCACTTTGCATCACGTGACAGCGCTCGCCGAATAGCAGCGCGAGCGGCGGAAGGAAAGGGTATGCGCAACTTTGGTATAAAGGTAGCATATACCACGGAGGAAGGAAAGGAACAGAACCCAAGTGGAGATCACCGAAATCAAAACTGGTGGCTCTTGGACTCTGTAATTGCCCTCCGCATTCCTGTAGGCATTCTCAGAGGAATGCGTTCGCGCCTGTCTTTGGGGAAAACATTTGCATGTTTGTGGCACCAGATGTCACTTGGTCCCCACGTGTCGTCACGCTTTGGCCATCAAAAATCATGGCGCGTGTCGTGCGCGTGCCTCCTCGAGGCCGGCGCGCATGCACAGACTACGTATCCGGAAAGGGCCCGTTGACTGTAGTTTATGTTGCGATTACTCGCCCCGAACTCTCGTTCGAGCACAACACGCGGGCCCATCGGCACGCCACGCGGAAGCACGTGGATTCATCACGCGTCTGCAGAATCTTGGTCCCCGACGCCATCACGTGATCACACAGCCACTCAAATGCTGACCACACGTACCCGTTGCAGCGCGTCGGCTCATGTCTTTATGACACGGAGTCGAGCCCTCTCGCAAATGGAGAGAGAGCGCGCGGCTTCGCGTAGCCACGTGCTAGCTTTCTATACAGGGAACGCGCTAGCGCGTGCCAGCGCGTTCTGACTACGATCAACGCGTTGGTTCATCACGCGTCCGTAGAATCTCGTTCCTCGACGCCATCTGCGTCTAACTCAGGCCAGGTTGCGCTAGCGCGTTCTGGCAGTGCTTGGACCAGCTGTTGCGCAGTAACCCCCGAATGCAGAGATGTTACTTGACTCGCACTTGACTCGTTCTTGACTCAAGACAGTCCTGCCGGTCACCATAAATCGTTCTCGAACTTGCGAACGACTTGAAGGCGACTTGGCTCGGTCTAAGTCAGGACAAGTTTCAAGTCAGCTGCGGGGCTAGCTTGAAAGCGACTTCATGCGTTATTCCAACATGGCCACCTCTCAAATGGATGTCGCGCGGAGGGTGGCCGTTTTTGAGTTTGCTTGCCTCGCCGTAAGCGTAGCATTTTCTGAGGCGCACTGCCTACCGAAGATTCTTGGACCCACTTTACGTGACCGAGGAAATCCGATGGAGTTGTACGACGAGGAACAATTCCACGCTCGATACAGATTCACGAAGAACGCCATGCGGCAGCTGATGGGTATGTTGCCGCTCTGTGAAAGTGGGGACAACAGAGGACAGCCTGTGCCCCAAGTGTTACAGCTACTGATGGCTCTCGGGTTTTACGCCGCTGGCACATTCCAAACAGTCACCGGGAATCTCGTCCGCATTCCGTAGTCGACAGTTTGCCATGCAGTAGAAAAAGTTACGCTACTCATCGCAAAGCACCTGTACGCAATGCTGGTGCGCTTTCCGCAGCCGGCAGCACTTTCTATAGTTATGCAGGACTTTTATGAAGTGGCTGAGTTCCCTGGTGTTACAGGCTGTGTCGACTACACACACGTGCGTATTAATAGCTTCGGCGGGGACGACGCCGAAGTGTTCCGTAAGCGCAAAGGCCATTTCCATTTTTCTTAAACACGACGACAATTTCCGCCTCTTTCGGTACAAAATTGACTCGGCGCTGTGCCTGTGTGCCTCGTCTATCCTTTCATCCCGTCTAGGGCGCTGTTTCTCGCTCAGAAAGGCATCGCTTGTAGCACAACGCTACGTAAAATTCCACACAAATAAAACAGAGGTGCCCCTATCACGGTTTTTTTTTTATCCGCTTCACCATCATGCAGCGAGACACTGCTGCACCCTGCGACACAGAATTCTGCTGAGGGCAATGTCCTGACCCCAGCTTTTTCTCTTGTTTACCAAGCTCAACAAAAGGATACGAATCACATTTGTTCCCAAAACTTGTTTTTTTTTTTCACATATAACTGCGACCTAGCCCACTACAGGCATGCACACAGGCGAACAGAAAGGCAGTGAAAATCGCATCACCTCGTGAGCCAGGTCAGCACAAATACATGCCGTGGCGTTCGATTGAAAAAAAAAAAAAAACGATGAAAGAACCCAACGTGATGCTTGCTTCGCCTCCAAACAAGCAACCGTGGAGAAATGCGCCGCATTTGGGTGGCCACTAGAACCAGCGGGCAACGAACGCTTTACAGAAGCAACACTGCGCATCGCTGTGGCGGCAGGCACCACGTGCCGCTCGTTAGCCGTAAAATGGCAGGAATATGCTTGTGGCCCTTCGTTTTTATAGTTATTTTAAAACGTATGGTATTTTTTTATGTAATGCATGCCTTACGCGAACAACTTCATTATTACCCTCGTTAGCAGGCGAGCAGCGTGCTTCTGCTTTGAAGCTCGTTCTTGACTTGACCAAGCGAGACAGCCTGAGCATCTAAGAAACGCGAAGGCTGACTTCGGCATTTTGAAGTCCGCTGTTTGCTTCACGCCGACTTGCTCAAGTTAAGTTGAAGTCGCGAGCCAAGTAACATCTCTGCATTCGGGGGTAAGGGTGGTCACGCCGCACACCGGATTGAACTTCGCCATAAGCTGCTTCGCATCTAATAATCTGTTAAAACTCGGTGCATTCATCCCATGCCGTGCTGTTCAAGGCTATCCTGTGTCCAACTTTTTTTATGCTTAGCAGTCACCTCTTTGCAAGAGAGATCGCTATGGCAACTGTGCAGAGCCAGCTTTTCAAAGGCCTGACGAAGACAGTGGTGGGAATTCTGCCTTTCAGAATTTTGCAGCAGATACCTCTGTGTTGAGAGCACGCGCGGACGTTCCATGACGTGCACAGAGGAAAAAAATATAGCTTTAATTTCTCTATTGTTTCCTCGGTATTAACATAATCATTTATATAGAAGCTGCAAGCCCACAAATTAAGCACAAAAATAAACCAAAGTAGTTATATAAATATTGCACAAACAAGCTAACTGCAGCAAGTAGTGCATAGCAGTGCAAGCACACACACACACACACATTCAAAGCTCTTTAGAGTAAAAGTGGGCTACTACGTACATACGTGCCGCGAACCTGCAGGGAACGTAGTATGCATTAACCACCAAGTACATAAGCACACGCCTTCCCATTCAGGGAGGGGGGGGGGGGTTCATCAAAGATCTCTCTTGTCATATCAAGCCACTGTATGGAGCTGGCTTTGCGCCCACGCTCTCGCAACCGCGCGGAAGTCAGAATAATTAATCGGCCGATTCCGTTCTTTTGCAGCAGCGCAAGTGTACAAGATGGCGACCGCTCACGATGTGTGCTGTTAACATTACTTTCTGTTCCACAACCAGTTTGTGGTGCAGCAATGGCGCAAATTAGACAAAGAGGACCCTTTTAAAACAGCATTGACGCAGCGATTTCCAGCTGGCGCAGGTTTCCCACCAATGTATGGGCATGCGCATTTGTGAAGTCTCGTCCTGTCGTTTATAAGTGGAGTCAAAACTGCGGCTTTACGCTGTAAAAGGACCCCCAATGGCATAGCCGTGCCACTGCTATGTCGTGGCCGACCGCTCTGCTACTTCAAGGCGCACGCTTGAACCCAAGCTTCAACCAGTGCATCTTCATCGTAAGATACTTCCCCTGGAACCATTTATTTCAGATAAAACTTCGATTGAATTTATTTGATTTCCCCATTAGAATGAAAGATGTGAAAGAGCTGATGGTTTAAGGTCAGCTTGCGAGAGCACAATCGTACTGAAGACGCTGATGCATCGTCACGAACAGCGGAGGCGGCCACTTTGGCTGAGGTCCGTCAACGAAGCCAGATAGGACACACCTTATCATTTCTCGGCAAGTGCAGGGTAAAGGCGGTCGGCCGTGACGCTACAATGACACTGCGAGCCACCATTGACTGCAGAGGACTCCTTAGATCGCTTTTAAAGACGACAGTCTTTTTTGGGGTGTTTCGACACAAAAATTTTGATCTGTATGTCTGTAGATTTGTCTGTTTGTCCGTCGTAATGATATCCTAAACGGTCAACCCCATCCACAGCGCCCACTAATATTGCTTAAGTTTCAGCGTTCATACTTGATCGTGCGATTGTCAAAAGATCACAGCCTATCCACGGAGTGAATGATGATGAGTGCGGCAAAGCGTCCGTCAGCCCGTCCATGCTTCCGTCCCTCCGTTCGTTCTTGCTTCCGTCCATCCGCGCAACTATTCGTCCATGCGTCCGTCCTTGAGTCCATCCATTCGTCCGTCCAGTGAACACTCCAAGTACCGCAATCTCCCATATTGCAACCCTTGTGCACATACCCGTTCTAGAACGGGTATGTGCAGAGAGATTGTGTGTGTGGCCATAAGGAGCTTCACACCTAAAAGCAATTATTTCGCATATCTGAGGCACCATAACAACACGTCGATACTCTGTACGTGTGTCTTCATACTAGAAAAAGAAGAAATTATACATAATTACATACATAAAAGAATAAATATACCTACATAAAAGAAATTATACATAATTCTAAGGACCGTTGTGTTTATCACGCTGGCGCTGCCAATGATAGGCGATGCTTAAAAAGGCAAGTGTTTAAAACGCTTTGCTAAGACGACACGGTGGTGGCACCTACCTGTCGCTTTGTGTTCTACACCTTATCGCCTCCGAGACGGGTGCGCACGCCTTCCTTCTTTTTCGAAGATAACTGTCAGATAGCGCTCGTGTCTAACGTGCCTCGATGAGCTCGTTCGCCTTCCCTGCACGGATCGAGACTCTCTAATGCAATGCCTCCAGAATACGATTCGGTGATTTTCTCTCACAGAGCACCAAATAAACATTTTGTTCACTCTCTCCAGATGTCTTTCGATGACATTTGCAGTGAGATATGCAGATACGAGGCTAATTTTTTCTCAAATTTTATCCAAGTATAGAATTAGAATGGGGGAACAGTACATTCGGCAGGCATTCTCGAATCATGAGTGGCAGTTTACCGCTATTCTTCACGAGCAAGGTACATAACAGCACATCTTATCGGTACTTACAGAGCATGAAGAAATGAACATAGTCAGGGCATGTAGCATGTAGGCAAAATAGCCGCGCTGCTCAGTGAAAGCAACAGACTGGATTTCAAGAAAAGGTGAACGCGCGAGCGGCAGAAAGTTAGGTGGGTGCATGAGATTAACATATTTGCGGAGACAGCGTGGCAACAGCAAGCACAGGACCGGGTTGATAGGTGGTACATGGGTAGAGGCTTTTGCCGTGCAGTGGGCGCCATCACGTTGATGATAACGTTTTATCCGTTACAGCCCGCGTAGGCGAGACCTCCGAGACCGGCACCGAGTCGTCCACGTACAACACGGCTGACGCGAGCGGCAGCAGCGAGGCACTGGCTGAAACCGGCTACATGGAAGACAACCCGCACATCACTGTCACGACTACCGACAGCAACAACAGCAGCGAACGGATACTCACGACCCCATCCGGTGAGGCAATGCGTGAGCTTCGCGAATTGCTCGAGTGCCTGGGAACCGACGACGATGGCAACATGCTCACGGGACAGAGAAGCATTGCCCGGGCCCGACAGCTCCTTGTTCGGGAGATGGCTGCCAACGAGGCCTAACAAATAAACAGCAACGAAATCACAGTATCGAAAGGACAATCAAACCTTTCGAGTCTGTCACTTAAACTTGTAGAACAACGACGCGAAAACCAATGTTGGCCACATAATAACGTTTGTGCCAAGCATTGTTTTTTTCAATGAAGCTCAGCCTTTAGTTCCTGTAGACGGCATCTTTACTGAGCTTTACTCATGCTATACAAAATAATATTATTTGGCATTTCAACAATATTGCTTTATTCTTTCACTGTTAGATGTCAAAGTATGGAACTACATTTTACTTATGCTAAATGTGTGAGAACCCTACCAAGAAATTTATGTACAGACACAGTTGTTTCTTGCATACTTCGACATTTACATCCTTTGTGAATAATGTATAAACACCTGTAATGCAGGCATTTGTGCAAATAAACAAGCATTGATAAAACAAGATTATTCTGAAATAGTTGCCATAATTGCCATGAACATTCAAATTTTATAACTGCAATCCATGTGTTGAGCATATCAATTGGACCTCATTTGGTATAGCTATTTGTGACAGTTGTGAGGCCAGGATCATAGAACACCAAATGAAACCTGATTCCAGTTCCAGACAACTAGCAGAAATTTCAGCCTGAACGTTAATCTCAAATTCAAATGTTTCCCGACACATAATATAACTATCATAGTCAGCACTACAAGAAATAATCAGGTGGAAAGGGACACTAAAGTAAAACAATGAATCGATTTAAAATTGATAAATTGTGCTCTGAAAACTCTCATGTTATTTGTTTCCCCATCATGGATTCATTATTAGAGGAGAAAATCAAGGTCACAATTCATTTTTAAATTTCATGCCTAAAATCTCTACCCATTATGTCCAAGATTTGAAAGAGCCTTTTTCATACTTTGGTGACAAGGGCTCAACAAAAATTCCTGAAACACGGCATGTTCCTGGAGGGCAGGTGAAGGAGGTGATCAGTGGGGAGACCATTTGGTTGAAACATTCCAAGCCCCGGCATATTCTCTCTGGGGAAGCAGCAAAATACATGTGAAACCGGTCAGCCACGTGCTTTTCATTATCCTAATACCTAGTATGTTAGTGCAATGATGCTAACGATGCATTAGGCAGACGTCCAGCCCCTACAACACAGCGGTATCAAACTACACATGGTTGCTACCATTGCCGTCCCGCTCACCGGCTGAAGAAAAATTTGGAGGCTGAGACGTTCAAGGGCCACGTGACTCGTCGTACTGCGCCTACTCCGCTTTTCAGCCGAGAGCACTGCAAACTGCTCCTGGCTGCTCTCGGCGCAGCAAAAGCACTCTCGCTCTACCAATGGATGACAGTGCTCCTGCGCCTGTTCGACCACTGAAACACGCCGGCTCTGCAGAGAGCACTTAAGCGTGCTTTTGGATACTCCTGCTCTCCCAATAGAATTCGCCATATGAAAACGCATTTCATTTACACTGATTAGGAACTATTCAAAACTTATTAGATGCCATCAAAACCTATGACATCAATGTCTGGTGCGGAAATGTCAAGGTGACGTTGCCACCCTCAGTGACAGTTCCTTGTGCATTTTCTCTCATACCAGGTGTCTTCTTCTGCTAATCACATTGATTTTGGTGTAAAGGGGTACTTCACTAATACCGTATTTACTCGCATCATCCTCATACTTTTTTTGCCGGAAAACCGATGAAAAGTTGGGGGGTGCGAGAATTACGCGGGGAAAACATTCTACGAAAACGTACAGACCGAAAAAGAAAACGAAGTGGCCGCAAATCGGGATTCTCACACCAACAACTAACAGCAAGCTTTAAGAAGTACTAATTAAAACTTACCTCAACAATAAAAGTGGAGGTTCAACACAAGATAAGATTTAAGTGAGACACAAAAAGTGGAAGCAAATAGTCGAGAATTAGAATACCATACGCAAAGCTTGCGGACGTTACGGTAACGTTCGTCGCTAAACAGGAGCCCTCAAAAGGTAAGCGTGGGATGTCAGTATTGGGCTGATGGCTATTTAACAGAATTGTCCACAGTTTCCTTCTTAAGAAATAAAGTTTACCATCAATCCCAAGGGCCTACCGGCGGCCCTGTTGTCGTTCTTTAGTGCATTATCTATCACTTGCAACTTGAAAGCAGCCGTACAGCTTCAGTATCGCCTCATAACTTGACAAGGTTACGGACGCAACATACAAAACACGCCGCAACGCTAACTGGCCACTTTGGCTTGGCTTGAGTTGGATTGAATCTCTGTGCAATAGTACGTACGCTTAATGCTTAAGAGATGGCGCCAGATGACGTGCGCTATCTCTTAAGTAGAGCTGAGTGGTAGAGGTCGGACGTGTTTTTGGAGAGCTCCGGAATGACAGCTACAGATAAGTGTTTTTGCATGTTTCCAGCTTGCCTCTATATGTAGCGTTATGAGAACGTAAGGCGCTAGCGTAAGGCTTGATTAGGTCTAGTACGGTGTACGGTTTTTTTTTTTATTAGTATTTTGTACTGTGTCTTTTTTTCTCCAGCCACCACGTGGCTGAAGCCTGCGCGTAGACCGACCACGTGCATGCGCAGGTGCTGTGAAGTGTAGCGTATTTATTTATTATTGTGGTTCTTTTTGGCTTAGACCAGTGTATTTTAGTACAGTTTTCTAACACGTGGGCATCGGTAAACTGAGCTAGCCATGGTCAAAAAGACCGTAAAGTGTTCCGAGTGCGGGGTAGGGCGGAAGGTGGAAATTAGTGCGGAGGAGAAAGCAGAAGATGACGCCAAGTGTAAACAGTGCGAGTTCGAGGAGAAAATGAAAAATATGATGGCAGTCCAGAGTGGGCTCATGGAGAAAATCGCAGCGCTGGAGAATGCATTGGCGAAGGAGCGAGAGAAAACGTCAGCCATGGAAGAAAGGCTCCGGGCAGCCGAGAAGGGCCTATCGAAGGTCGTGAAAGGGAACGAAGACGCAGGTGACGGCGGAAGCATTATGGCGACGACCCCCCGTGCGGGAGAGATGAAGGAAACAGGCATGACAAAGGCAGATACATTGGCCACAGGGCCCAGCTACCGGGAAGTAGTTTTGAGGGAGGGAGGGAGCAAACCAGCAGCCGTGACTCACGCTAGTCACCTAGTCAGCAGCCAGGTGCAGGTTTCAGAAGGAATGTCTGAACAGGTCATCATCGCCGGTGACTCAAATTTGGTCCGATGCGCAGCGGCAATCAAAGAAAGGGTGAAAGGCGACAAGAGAGTTGCGATAGGGACGTTCCCAGGACAAACGCTGGGGACAGTAATGAGTCAAGCGGGTGAACAACTCGCAGCTAAGGCTGGCAATCGTAACCTCGTTGTAATTGCGGGAGGGTTAAATGACGTCCTGAAAAAAGAATCGTCAGGACTAGCGACGGCCTTGGCGAGAGGGGTGGATGACATGCGCACCGTGTCCCCCCAGGTGCAAATTGTAGTATGCACAGTACCGGAAGTACCAGTACGCAACGTCAACCTGCGAAGAGCGGTTGTCGACGCAAACAAGGAGATATGGCGGATTAGTCGAGAGAAGGGTTTCGAGGTAGTGGATTTAAACAGGGAAGTGCACAGGTGGGGTGGATTCCAAAGAGACAGGATTCATTTCGATAAGAGGCTTGGACACGAGGTGGGCTGGCGACTGGCAGGACGCGCAGTAGCTTTTTTGGGGGGCTCACGGGCCCTTCGGAGTCCGGGGTAGCTCGTAACAGGGAAAGCAACCAGGAGGACGCTTTGACAGGTAGAATTGCGAAAAACCAGAAAAAAGGTAAAAGAAAAAGGAAAAAGGCGCGTGTTGCAATTAGTTACATAAACATGCAGGGTGGCAGAAAGAAGGCAAAATGGTTAGAGATTGAGGAGCAGTTAAACAAAGAACAGATAGGCGTGTATGCGGTTACAGAAACACACCTTAGAGACTTGGAAGAGCCACCACATATTAAAAATTATGTTTGGGAAGGGTGTAACAGGACCATATCGGAAAGGAAAGGTGGGGGTGTAGGAATGCTAATTCACCGCGGAGCCAAATGGGTTAGAGTGAAACAGACGTGTTCAGAGCACCTCTGGGTTCGGGGCACAGTAGGTGGAAAGGAAACGTGACTAGGGGTAGCCTACTTGTGGACGGGGAATAACTGCAGAGAAAAGAATCAGGAGATAGTGGATTGCATGAGTGCGGATATTAAGGAATTTGGTAATGGGGCCGAAATCATCCTTCTAGGGGACATGAATGCCCACATACATGACCTTGACGGATATTCAGACACCAATGGGAAGTTATTACTAGATCTTTGCGAGCAACATAGTCTGGAGATAGTTAACACGGGGCCTAAATGTGACGGCCAGATCACATGGGAAGTCGGAAACAAGCAATCAAGTATTGATTATTGTCTCATGACTGAAGGAATTTACCACAAACTGACAGAAATGAGGATAGACGAGGAAGGCATTAACAGCTTGGGTAGTGATCATAAACGAATAACATTACAAATGGGATACGAAACTGAAAATATGAGCATGGAATCAAAGTCTGGCAGCTCGTATTTAAATGACAAACAAATAATAAATATAGCCGCAAGAGTCGAGGAAGAAGTAGGCGAAATACCAGGCAAGGACTGGGAGTATAGTGAGCTGTTACATCTAATGACGAAGGAGATAGGGAAAGAGAAGAAAACTGTTTGCTGGAAAGGAAAAAGGAAGCCAAAAAGTTGGTGGAACAAGGAAATCCGGGAGGCGATCGAGAAGCGACGCGAAGCCTCAGGGGAGCATAGAAAGGCAAAAAAGGAGAAGCGGCCGCAGGACGAAGTAAAAAAAATATGGGAAATATATTTAGAGGAAAAATCCCTTGTACAGAAATTGGTAGAGGCAAAAATTAAAGGTGAAAGTGAACGCTGGATGACAGAGATACACGAAAAAAAGGAGGCCGCGCCTAGGATTTTTTGGAGCCACATAAAGGCGCTAGGTAGGAAGTCTGTCACAACGCAACAACATATTCTAGATGAAGGGGGAAATCAATTGGAAGGGTACGAAGCGCTAGGTTACATCCAAAAGGTAACAGCCGATTCGTTTCAAAAGAGCGTCCAGGGGATCTCCCCGGTGTGTAAAAGTGTGGCGGAGAAAGCAACAGAGGAAGAGCTAGTACTTGATAATTTCAACTGGAAAAAGGCCGAAGGAAAAATTCCAAAGCGTACTGCCGCGGGTTTAGATGGGATTCCCGTTAGCCTCATTAACGAACTAGGACATAACACTAAAGAAGCATTGTTAAAAGCAGTAGAAAAAAGCTTAAAGGACGGACAAATACCGGACAGTTGGCGACAAAGTAGAATGAACTTAATCTATAAAGGCAAGGGAGAAAAGGACAAGATTCGCTCGTATAGACCACTAACAATTACATCGGTACTATACAGGATGGCGATGCAAGCAGTAAAAATGAAAATAGAAACATGGGCCGAACATAACGATATTTTGGGAGAACTTCAGAACGGATTTCGAGTCGACAGGCGGTTAGACGATAACCTGTTTGTTCTCACTCAGTGTATAGAAATATCCAAAATAGAGAATAGGCCCTTGTACGTGGCTTTTCTAGACATCACGGGGGCATACGACAACGTTAATCAGGAAATTTTGTGGGATATATTGAAAGGAATGGGCATGGGCGACGACTGTATACAGCTTTTGAGGGAGATATACCGAGAAAATACAGTTTGCATAGAGTGGGAAGGAATGCGTAGCAAAGAGAACGTTGAGGTTAGCAGGGGTCTGAGACAGGGATGTCCTTTGTCCCCGCTGTTATTCATGCTGTACATGGTGAGTATGGAAAAAGCGCTAGAAGGTAGCAACATTGGTTTTAATCTGTCACACAAACAGGGCGGCATGATGATTGAGCAGAAGCTTCCAGGTTTATTTTATGCGGACGATATCGTCTTATTTGCGGACAGTCGAGATGATATACAGCAGCTGGCGAATATATGCGGAAGGGAAGGTGAAGCTCTTGGACTAGGATTCAGTGTAACGAAGTGTGGATTGATGGTATTCAATGATCCCTGTGATCAGACGGTGTCCATACAAGGCCAAGAAATACCGAGGGTAAGTGAATACAAGTACCTTGGAGTATGGGTAAATGAGAGTGATAGATACATGGAGGTACAGGAAAAAGCCTCAACAGCAAAAGGAAAGAGGAATGCGGCAATAATGAAGCACAGAGCGTTGTGGGGATACAATAGGTATGAGGTGCTTCGAGGTCTGTGGAAGGGTGTAATGGTTCCAGGGCTTACTTTTGGGAACTCAGTGGTGTGCATGAGGGCAGAGGTGCAAGCGGGAATGGATGTAAATCAAAGGACTGTGGGACGCCTCGCGTTGGGTGCTCACGGGAAGACGACAAACGAGGCTGTAAAGGGCGATATGGGGTGGGCAGGTTTTGAGGCGAGGGAAGCGCAGAGCAAAATAAGGTTCGAAGAAAGGCTAAGAAATATGAAGGAGAGTAGATGGCAGAGAAGGTGTTCCGTTATTTGTATAGGAAGAGCGTGGACACACAGTGGAGAAAAAGAACTAGAAGACTCACTAGTAAGTATACGGCTGGTATTGTAAGCCGTATGTCAACAAAGAGCGTTAAGGGAAAAGTCAGGGAGGCGGAGAGGATTTACTGGATGGCAGCTATGGAGAAAAAACCGGCTTTGAGTAACTACCGAAAGGGCAAAAATGAAATAAGGAGGGAGGCATTTTACGATAATTCAAGGGGAAGCGCTTTACTGTTTGAAGCGAGATCGGGTTGCCTTAGAACGCGTAGTTATAAAGCAAGATTCAGTAAAGAAGAAGAACAATGCACATGCTGCGGGAAAGATAAGGAAACGGCGGAGCATGTTCTGATTGAATGTGGAGATATCCACCCAGGTGTACGTTTGGGCACGAGCCTACAGGAAGCCTTGGGTTTTAGGGACAACAATGGAAAGCTGAACACACCCGCGATTGAAATAAGTAAGAGACGGTTAGAGTATTGGTGGCAGAAAATTAGAGAGAAAGGACAAAAATAAATATTGGAAAAATAAAATATGGACAGTGTGCCGTAAATGGCAGAGAACTTAAGCTGAAAATTTACCTTTTTTTCTATTAAGATAGAATTTATCGAAGTAGAGGCATTAGGCCAACATAAAAAGAAAAAAAGGTTTTTTTTTTTTTTTTTTGTCGAGCCTGGTGGCATACTTGTCACCACCCCGTTATAAAGGGGACGCTCATAGCATCCATCCATCCATCATCATCAGTGGCTGAAAAGTGCAGACGACATTATTGCAGCAGTTTTCGGGGGTGCGATAATTACTCGAGGAAAAAAAGAAATCGTATTTTTGTTGGGCGATGTGGGGAGTGCGAGAATTGTGCGAGTGCGAGGATTACACGAGTAAATACGGTAAGGAAAAAAAAATGTTTGCCTCTTTAGGGTCCTATTAAACTTGGCAATCAGACTCATAGCCCTGCCTATTCAATTGTGTTCTTAGCAAACTCGAAAATAGGGTAATCCTTGCTAATGGCAAATCAGTAGATTAGATGTAGTTTTTTATTATGCAAGCTACTTTTTCCTTTTCTTGAAGCCACCGGCATTCTTCTTGTTCTTCTTGCCAATGCGATCATGAACACCGAGTGCCTGTTCAGTGTCATCCGCATCATCATCGTCATCAGCTTTTCTCCTCTTTCCGCCCTTTTTTTTGTCTTCCTGCTCCTTGAGCTCCTACAGAGTACAACAGAAGATGTTTGAGGAATCAGAAGTCGCATCAAGATTCAGTGTTTAGGGCCTTTGTTCAAATGCACAGCTTTTAACTCATTTTAGTGATAAAAAATCAAACTAAAGCTACTCCTAGCAATAAACGAAACACACAACGATATACTTTTTCTCTAACAAAACTTTAGAGCTGGTGACAAGGTGTGTTGGTTTAGTAACATACATACACACAACCAATATCTTTGTGATGTGACATTCACTTTGGCAAAAAACATAAACAGGGTTGACATAGAAAACACTTCACAATGAACTGCTAATAACTTCCGGAAGATAGAAAATGAGGTAGGGTGTTTTACCAGAAAAGTGAGTAAAATGAGTGGCTTTAAATGGACCATGGCATGGTCACCCAACAAACTGCAGTTTTCAAAGAAATACTGAAGTAGAGAGTCTATTTTGCCTGTATAAGTATGAAAAATTAAGAGTAAAAGAATATTTCATTACATTGCAAAATAAGCTGAGTAAGCCATCAGCTATAAACTCTGCCCACCACCAGTAACCACGATTTTGCCATGGTGTGTGTGAAATAATGTGCTTTGTTGAGTGAAGCCGTCTTCTACCCAAGTTTCAGCAGCCACAATTTTCAATGTCCAACAGAAGAAAACTCAAATAGCTTTACTGCACACGAAACGAAATAGTTGGCCGGAATAGAGACACTCGCCAAACAAGCAAATCTTTACGCCAAGGCTCGCGGAGCACCAGTGTTGTCAGACTCTCTGGTCACTCGCATCTTTATAAAAATGCTCATTGTAAGTTGTTACCTACTAAATACACTGAAATATCACCAGATTTCCTGTGAACATCTAATGATTAACCGACATAACACAAATTTCAGTGAAAATATGGTGTCATGGCTCCTTTAATGATACCATATTTACTCGCATAATCCTCGCACTTTTTTTGCTGGAAAACTGATGCAAAGTTGGGGGGTGCGAGAATTACGCGGGGAAAATTTTCCACGAAAACGTACAGAGCGACAAAGAAAACGAAGTGGCTGCAAATCTGTATTCTCACAACAGCAACTTACAGCAAGCTTTAGGAAACACTATTTAGAACTTACCTCAACAATAAAAGCAGAGATACAACACAAGACAAGATTTATTAAACACACAAAAAGTGGAAGCAAATAGTCGAGAATCAGAATACTGTTCGCAAAACTTGCGGACGTTGCGGTAGTGTCGCTCAACAGGAGCCCTCAAAAGGTAAGCGTGGGATGTCAGTATTGGCCTGATGGCTATTTAACAGAATCGTTCGCAGTTTCCTTCTGAAGAAATAAAGTTTACCATCAATCCCAGTTTTGGGCACACGGCAGGCCCAACGCGTCTTAGTGGCTTTCAGCTGCCGTCACCAGTAGCGAACACAGAACTCGTAGACAACGAAGGGCCTACCGGCGACCCTGTTGCCGTTGTTTAGTGCATGATCTATCACTTGCAACTTGAAAGCAGCCATACAGCTTCAGTATCGCCTCATAATGTGACAAGATTACCGACACAACATACAAAACACGCTGCAACGCACATTGGCCACTTCGGCTTGGCTTGAATTGAATCTCTGTGCAATAGTACGCTTGATGCTAAAGAGATGGCGCCAGATGGCGTGCACTATCATCATCAGTGGCTAGAAAGTGCAGACGACATTATTGCAGCAGTTTTCGGGAGTGCGAAATTACTCGAGGAAAAAAAATAAAAGACATCGTATTTTTGTTGGGCGATGTGGGGGGTGCGAGAATTATGCGAGTGCGAGGATTACGCGAGTAAATACGGTATCTTTTAGAGGGTGTGAAAACTGAACTGGAGATAATATTGTTCTCATAGCACTGCTATAAGGTATAGATCCCTTTACTTTGTTATTTAAGAGTGAAATATCTAATATGAAATACTACAGCGATTGTGTCATTTGTTTTTACAAGAGGATCAATGATAGTTCGCACAATAACTGAAATTCCTGCTTGCTAATGTAGAGCTTTCACCAACTGAAATTCGAGAATCCACATGTACAAGCACTAGACATGGTGAGTCAATACAATGTGATTGTGATACGAGAGCCTTAATAAAAGAGTGAATAGTGACAGTATTTAGTTTCCAGCAGTTACCCAGCACTCATACGGTGCGAAAATTCCAACAGCCACCATCATGCAAGCCGATCGTTTCACTGAACAATTTGTGCACATGAGTGCACTTTAATAAGAAAAATAAAGACAGTGGTTGCACACACATCTTAAAGAGCCTTGCTATAATTTTCCACATGCAAAACTTGTCAAACGTGGCCCCACTGTGAACAGTTCTAACTCACCATCTTGGCAAAACGCTGTGCTTCGGTGACTCGCTCGACGAGAGACATCACTTCCTCCTCGACCGTCTCATACAGGGGCAGCTTCTTGCCAATCAGCTGCTCAATGCGTTGATACAGTTCCACATCGTACCTTTGTGGTGCCACCACAATGACAAGACATCACTTTAAAACTCTAAAGGATTGCCAACACAGATAGTTTCAATAAGCATCAATAACACAGGTCGTGCCATGCAATCAGTGTAATAAAACACGCAGCGAGAACTGAACTTTGGAGGGTCCCTGCAACACTTTTTGAGCACAGTTAGAAAAGAGGCTTCCAACAACATGCGAGCCAAATATTATAGCACAGCACGCAGCCTGAAACTCGGAATAAACGATAAAAGTCAGCTAAAAATAGCTTTCCCTCCTCTCGACAAATGACGGAAAACACTAAAAAATCACTCGTGGAAAGCCCATCTATCATCCATTGGCTGATTTAAACATGGCGCGCTTGGTCCTCGTGATCACATTGAAAGAGCCTCGCGTTCGAAGAAAAAAAGAAAGAAGTGCTCAAGGTCACGAGGCGCACGTGACATATTTTTTTTGTACCTACCATCCCTCCCCGCTTAGCTTCCAGCGCTTTTGTCGGGATGAGAGAAGAAAGAATGCGAATGCAGCACGCGGCAAATCTTCATATCTCCACTGGTGCTGCTCATATTCTCAAAAACGTTGCGGCATTGAATCCATGAGGCAATAAGCTTTTTAGTGAATCCATTCCAAGGTCACTTGAAAAAGTGTTTCAGGCCCTTTCAAATATGGCAGAACAACTACAACATTAGAAAGATTAAACAGCCCAAAAAAAAGATGGAACACCGTGAAGCACTCACAGATACAGATTTAGATTTCGTGTGTTCTGTCTTTTTTGCCCTTTTTAAAGGGAAGGTGCCATCAAATTTGTGCCTTCCATGTTATAATTTGATATTGGCTTATCTAGATAAATGACTTTCAGTTTCAGTTTCTGTGCTATGAGCTGGACAGAAGCGTCACTGTGTAGGAAGCTTAAACACATGGGCCTACAAAGCAGTGACGCATGCATTGCTGCGTCGCCTGCTCTTGCACGGACATGCGAGAAATTGCCCGAATGCCTGGAAAACTCGCTGAATATTTCTAATAGAAGATATCAGCGTGTTATGACTTTGGTAGAGGCAAACATCTCTGCAGAGTTACTGGGTTACCGGAGAATGGTATTATTGACATCTCGTCACACTTTGTGCAAATGCAAATATAGGAGCATTTATTTCTTTTTGCCTAGTGACTGTGGTGGTAAAATGATTAAAAAGGCAGTGCATTCAGAACTATGTTGCTGCCGAGAACTTTCACGAGTAGAAAAGTAGAATACAATAGACTTCTGCAACGATGATTCTTCATTTGCCTGGGTCATCTTAGCACTGCCAGGTGACCCCACCTATGAGGTTTCACGTTTACGGCTACGCTAATTTAGTATGCTAAAGCACAAAAGTATGCGACCAGTCTAAAATTCTCTAAAGTTTTCTTCACAGATTCGTTTTACGTCAACAAGCACTTTGTAAGATGTGAACAAGTCTGGCTACTTCGATAAAAATGCCGAGCAAAAAATGGGTGTCAGTTAGGAGTTTATGCTTTCTTGTTTTGCCTGATGCAGCAGAGCTGTGAGTTACCGCTCATTGCAAGTCACTCTAATATAGAAGCTTTATTTGCACTCCCTACACAATGACGTAGGTGCCAGTTGTGCTAGCGATGTGTCTCAATCACAAGAAAAAACATTTAGGCACACTTTGGAGGCAAGTTAGAATATATTCTGAACCTTTGCCGTATCCGACACTTTGTGCCGAGTGTCTCTGCCTACAGAGGGGGCCTGGATTACAGTAAGCTTTTTACACCCTGGAAATTTGGTGTTGCTACCCCTTTAGGCATGAAAGAAAAAACCCCAAACACATGTTTTACTTGCAGTGTGTGCACTTTCTGCATTCGCAATGAGCAGGCATTGATACAAAGCTCTAGGCCAAAGCTCGCACGCAAAAATGCACATAATAAAATTTTCAAAACAAGAAAATAAGAATACTCACTGAGTCACGAATGTTATGGCCTTCCCGGAACGGCCTGCCCGAGCTGTTCGTCCAACCCGATGGATGTAGTCTTTGGAGTGGGTTGGGATGTCAAAGTTTACCACACAGTCGACGTGAGGAATGTCCAGACCTCTGTGAATGTGTTAGCGGGTTACAAGCCTCGTCGTGATAATGTAATCTGTACAAATAAATTTAATGACAATGGCCCACACTTTTTCGTTATGGCACCTCAATGCCGAATGGCATAAAAAATTTGAGGACACTGAAGGTAAGGTCAACAACATTGAGATGTTAATGACATTCTAATAGAAATACTACTGCGTAACTCTTAGCAACAAAATACATTGTAAACAGGTAGTAACCATAATTAGCATCTCATGAACAATTCTGCTAGCACTGCTGGATTTAAATTAGAACTGTGTGAATAGGAAAATTTCAAGTGCGATGCGAATTCATAGATTAAAGTTTGAGTGCAAATCAAGCTGAATATTTTATATCGCATAGAAGCAAAATTACAGAAAAAGAAAGCTGCACTGAATCCCTAAACATTTCCTCAAAAAATAGGGACATGAAAGCGTTTCTTTTGGCTGGGTTGTTGAAGTGCAGGATGAGTAATGATCCCTAGTTTTTCAATCGAGAATGAGGCAATGCAGAGGCCTAATTGTGTTTAGTTGTGGTGTAGACAACACATTAGAATAGAAAGGAAAAGACTATTTTTTCAACCTCTCCTTTTCTGATGTCGAAAGGACGTCCAATACAGATGGCAGATAAGGGCATGCAGCCTTAGAGTCTGGGCAGCTCCTTATCTGCCCCATAGACGCCACTGTATAAGAACATTAAAAATTTCAGATGTTGAAAATAATTGATGTTTGACTTTTTGGACTTTTGACCCACATTTGAGGTCTGAAACAGCCTTTACTAAAGCCCTCACTTCTGCCATGGCTGTCATCACGTAGGTTCAAACCAGAATGAGTTGATCCGTTTTAGGCCTTAGCAGAGTCCGAAAAGCAGCTTTATCGTAATGCCATATTGTGATGGGGTGAAGCACATGAAGAACCTGAAGGGGGCCACTGTCATAGCGTTGTGCTGTGATATCTTCACGAAGAAGCAGAGTACGTAAATGCACAGAGGTGTGATGGTGACAGGCCGCAAATGCAACAGTACCACTTAATCCCTGAGCAACTCTTCACAAAACATTTTCAGCTAACTGCTCAGTAGTGCATGTGGCCTAGCACAGTGGTATGCGTTGTCGCCCAAACGCGCCATCGCCGTTCATGTTGCCTCTTTGTGCAAGACCACTAAGTGCACAGCCCAGACCTGTGCCTTCATAAAGTTGAACAGCTCACATTGACCACACCTCATGTGGTCAGGAAGGGAGTGGGCATCTAGAACACTACATGACAAATACGAGCGTACAGCACAGCACACGCCAATGCAGTGACGGAGCCAGCTTGGTTGGCGATGTGCCGCACACAACTAGGAACGATCGACCTCACGCGGTAGCAGATGCTGCGTATCGACGGAGATTCGACAGTGCATGTGCGCGTCGCTTATGCTCGCACATGCACCAGGGAAGACTGAACAAGTCATCCACCACATGTTCCACCACATCCTTAGGGGTTTCATGTCATCGTTTCTAAACACTCCGTGCAAGAGAACCGCAATCTATTGGGCGCTTTGCTGGTATCGGCAATGCTCACCAAGAGACACAAATTTGAGATTGGTGATTGGTACATATTTAAGGAGGGTCCGCAGCAGGTACCAAACATAATCACGAGACCCTGGGCACGCACCAAAATGCCTGGTAAAAGACTGAGAGGCATCGAAGCTTTAGCGATCTTACAGCTTGAGTTGAAGTTTGATTACCTCGAATAGTCAAATTCGAGCGCAAATCGTATCAAATAGCACAAATTATTACAAAATTACTCAAAAGTTTGAATGTTTACACAATCCAAACTTAAATAGCAGAATTTTAAGTCTTTAGAATACTTAGAGGTGTTACACAGACCTTTAAAAAAAATGCTCAACATTAACTAAAAGATGAAGAAATCAATACCAAGATGACAAGGAAAGCATTACAATATATTGTAAATCATATCAATAAATGTCTTTCACCACTAAATATAAATAGTTTCTAACGGTAAGAATTTTCTGAAGTGCCATTAGAACAAAGAAAAAAAGACAAACCTGCTTGCAACATCAGTGGCAATCAGTATGGACCTGTTCTTCGACTTGAACTTTGTGAGGGCACCCAGACGCTTTGCCTGGTTTGGATGCAAGCAAATAGAAAAAATCATTTCAAGTTTATTATAGAATGCTTTGAACAATGCAATGCACTTAAGACACCTTTTATAATTCAACAGAATTGGTCAAAGATCCTAATAAGAAACATTTTTTAAGAAAGGTGTTAGATTTCAAGCATGTGAACCAAACATATGTTGTAAATATTGTTCATAAATGATATTTCAAGCTTGTAGATCCCAATTATTCCAGAGTACAGAAAAAAAAAAGACACTCCACTGTGTGGAATAAAAAACTGGCAGGAGATGACTTTTGCATTGAAAGGTAAAATGTGACAGCATAAGCAGGTCCTGTGAGCATTTGCCATTTGCATTACTAGTCTAGCTTCATTCCTCGGTGCATGCCTCAACTGTGCCATGAAGAAACGAACAACTGTGCACGTAACATTGGCCATCAAACTACCCTAGAATGTTGTCTGCAAGTACAGTTGCTGATGCCCACTGCACCTCCATTCTTTTATTCTTTTGCGAATCACCAAAGGGCCCACTACATGTTGAGCTTCTTTGTTGATGGTTTTTGCCAATGATGATGATTAAATATGTACGGGTGCTTTGTAATGGGCGGGCCTTTAAAACACCTACTGATTGCATAATCCACATGTTTTGACGCCTGGCTTGATCTATGCTTCTGCCATGCAGTCATTAATGACAGTCCTTCCACAATTTGACATTCATGATTCGAAAGAAAAGGCGTACAGAAGACAAAAGAGAAGAGACATACAGACAGGGTGCCCACGTGTGTAAGTGTCCCCTTTTCTCTGTCATCTTTGTGCCTTTCATTTCGAATAGTGCAACATAAATATGCCCAGTAGTTCACTCTCACATGACACTCATAATGCATTTTTTGCCAAAGCTCTTTCAAACAACAGCGTAGCTCTGTGACAAAACACCTGCTCGCCCCACAGGCGGTCCGATTCTCCCTTGAGCCAAACTTTTTATTATTTATTTGATTTGCATCTTTCTCACTTTTTCCGTGACGGCAATTTTTCCCTCAAGATTAACAATGTCGACACTGACATTAAAATTTCCGCAATACGAGCTCTTCAAGGATGTCGCATTAAAAAAGATACAGTGACCTAGAACCAGAAGTACTCTGGAAGACTTGGTTGTACCTGTGTCTCTGAGAAATATCTCCTTATTTTCACCAAAAAACAAAAGCAAAAAAATGTGCTCATTTAAACTGTAGTTAGCATTTACCAATTTTACACAGTGAATAAGGACGAGAAATGAAAAACCTTCAGGTGCAAATTATGATGGGCTGTTTACCTGAACTGTGTCGAATTCACACAACACCAAGGCACTTGATACCACACACTTGAATAACATAATTGAATCCCATACCTGCTTGACAGTTAAATGCAGTGCATTCAGCTTTATTTATTTACTGTTTATGTTTTAGTGTGTGCTTGTGTTCCGTCATGAGAAACTTGAAATCACAACTGCCGCTAGACTGGTTTCAGCCCGGACACAAAAGAACAATGCATTCGCGTGAGCTGGGAGGCAACACTTGTCACCTAATTTTATTTTAAAAATAATTTAAATTTTTACATCCATACAAAATGGCTCCCATGGCAAACTATGTGCCCTCCCTCGCAATTTTTAAGGATTCCCACCACTGCGCTTTTTCCAGTGTCAGCATTTCTTTTTTTTGTGAATGTCTTCATTGTAAGCACTTGAATCAAACATAAACAAACTAGCAGAATGCATTATAACCAGCATATGTTTGTCATGTGACTCACCTGTCCCATCTGTCCGTGGAGCGGTATAGCTGTGAAGCCCAAATTTCGCAGCAGCAGAGCCGTGCGCTGTGTGTTGCTGCAGGTGCTGCAGAACACCATGAACGAGTTCCCAGCTAGCTCGTTCAGGAGGTGAACAAGGTACACATCCTGCATGCATAATGCTTCCATTAGGGGGCTGGCATTAATACTATGTAAAACAGGCAAGCACTTAAAAGTGCCCTGTAACACTTATCTCACTGATAATAGAATTGACTCACCATTAACACGTGACGCTAATGAATCACATGCTGCAAATATTTTCAGAATTGATCAAGTATTACACTCAAACATCATTGCAACAAAGTTGCATCTTGTGCAAAAACAGGCTTGTTATACCCGAAAATTCGTTTTAAAAATATATTCCTAATACTATATTACAAGACTACTTTTCATTCACTTCATCATAACCGATATTTTGTTATATTTGGGTTCGTTATATCGTGACTTGAGTGTAGTGGGGCTACAGGTACACCCAAACTTCGATATAATGAACCCCGGTATAAAAAAAGATTGGTTATAGCAAAAGTAATGCAGAATCATCTTAGAAAAGATATTGCGTGAGGAATGTACTTTCATAACGAATTTTCGGATATAATGAACTTATTTTCATGCGAGATACAACTTTGTTATAATGAGGTTTGAGAGTATTACAGGTATTCAAGTGTGCAGCTACGCAGGGAGCAGGATGACAAGGGGGAAAGAAGATGCGTCCATTTGTCAGCGCATGTCCCGACATTGAGCACAGTCTTTTCTTGTTTTCCTTTGAGAGCACAACTTACTTTCAGCATGATTGTACGAGCAGGAACGTGGTGGCATCATGTGGCAGCCACGGTAACTATAGAACTCACAATACTCAAATCAGTCAGCAGCTTTGGGTATGTGGCACAGTAACCTGGGTATCATTTTCCAAGAAGGAGAGAGCTCACCTTGAGAATCCAGAACTATAAAGTCAAGGCTACATGCTGTGCTATGATGCATGGCTCGCATGATCGGCAGCTTTTGTGATCATGCTAAAAAAAGTGTCACAGGACCCCTTTAAAGCTGAAATCTCTCTGCTACTTCTCTCCACAGTAACAACAGCAATGCAAGTAGAAACTAAATATGCTTGCATGCATCAAATTTTTAAATCCAACCTAACCATCAGTTTACCATAAATGTACGCATTACTTAGTGACATAGGTATCTCCTTAATTGTCAAAAAAAAGAGTTTCACACTCGCCGTCTTGGCTAGGAGTGCCACTGACTAACACTCCCAGGTTTAATGCACAGAAAGACGTGATAGAAAGAATGAGGGCATAACTGCTACCACAGCCCAATTGGTATGGCATCTGACATATTATCTGAAAATTGCAGGTCCAGTTCTTGCCAGCAGCAAGAACTTCTTGTCTTCTTGTCCCCTTTGGTTTGTTTTTCATTCATATCCTATTACTACACTACAGTGAAAGACTAAAAATAATGTCCCCTGTAGTTTCGTTCTCTTCCTCAAGTTTGTTGATTTCATTAGCTATATCTAATAAAGCAAGCAAGGTCTTAAAAGGGAGTCCCATCAAATTTTCAGGCTATAACAAGATTTTTACGGGTTTCCTCTGTAAGAAGGACATTCCACACAAATGTTAAAAATAAGCAAACACTTGGAACATTTTTAATCCACTTCCAAAGTGTACTCAAATGCTCATTCTTCCGGCCGAAGCCCATTGCAAGTGCACCAAGCACTGACGTAGCTCTGTAGGAATGGCAATGAAAGTTGTAGTGACATCACACCCGATCTGTAGTGAGCGATGATATGAGCAGGTTTCCTCTTCAGGGGAGACGAAGGTTCATCGCATCGCTCCCCTTCACTATTAAGTCAATGTATGCGCTTGACATTGCATGCCCCCGCTCCTCTGTGCCTGTAGTTGTGAGGTGAGTGACCTCCATCACGTACTTACCGAGAATGCATTGTGGCTGCTGTAGCCAGCCATGGCAACTGTCGATGCGTTTGTTTTACAGGTGCTTGTGCAGCGCATGTGTGCGAGAGCAGACAACAATCAGCATAATGTGCGCTACAACCGTGTGTGGTCGCGTGGCTAAGCTGGCTACACTGCTATGTCACAGCCAAAATCAGTACCCAGAAACCAAAACTGAAAATGTCTATATCAGTAAGGTGTTAATAATTTATTCAGCAAGAATAAATCAACCTTAGCGTCTTCATCATGCATCTTGGAGCTATAAGGGACGTTTGCAGCAAAGAACGTGCAAGCCACAAATATGGTGGCACCACCCCTTCAATCTATGTACCTCTTTTTTTTTGTTAATTAAGGTGTAACATTTTGTTTACAGCTTCTTTGAACTGGGTGACTCTCGTACATTGTTTGACCCAGCAAAAATGTAATGCAAAAAAAAAAGGAAAAACAAGCATTCAAATTCACATTGCTATAACCATCAATGGGAATAATAGTAATGACAATGCTGTGATGAGTCCATGAACCTTCACAGATTCTCCATGTGGCCTAGTGAGGTTTCAATGTACCTATGTCTGCAGAATGGATGCAAGCAAAACAAAATCGTACCTTGAATTTTGCTGGTATGAACAGGTAGTACTGCATCAGCTTCTCCACGGTCTGGTATTTAGAGGAGACTTCGACCTTGACCGGGTCTCGCAACGATGCACGCTGCAGTTTTTGTACCTGCAATGTTGTAATGTTGTGCATCAATGACAATGGATTGTAGTTAAAGAAGTACTGACATGATTTTCAGGCACCCTAGCAGGGACATTTGTTTCATGGAATCCACTATCAACACTCTCCACACACCACACCCAGACAAAACATATAAAGTATTTTACTTCGATTTTAAGTTTTCTTTACCCAGTTTCTGCAAGCCAACCCCACCGTAATGAACATAATAACCACAAGTCAACGCAGTTGCCTCCTGCACGCACGCTAAATCTCCAAAATCGCTGCTTGTATGAACCACATGCGATTGAGAGCAAACCGACAGCTGTTGCTATAATGTGGCGAGTTTTAGACGTTTAATGATGTCAAAGTTGTGTTGACGTGTAACTGCGAAGCTGCACCCTTGATACCAGAACTTAAGGAGAGATGCGGGTCGAAAAACACGAGTTTTTTTTTTCAAAATTACCGATATTTATTTTTGCCTGTTTTGATAAGATTAGTACCTCTACTGTTATAAAAAAAAATATACTGGTCCAGACTTAGCTGGAAATGCTTTAAAATTGCATCTAAAGAGCACAAGGTGCCTGTTAAAAGATCCAAAGTGTGCAGTCTTCGAGCACTTAGCCGCTGATAATGCGCCGCCACTCGCCATTGTTGATCGCATCAGCCGAAGAGTCGAGCCTCACTCTTCAAGCAACAACAGTTTCCCTCGCTGATGTGGCACAAAAAAATAATAAAAAGAAGCACGCTTCTGTGCGTTTTTTCGAGTGCCACGACTGGCTTATCGCGTGGTACAGATCAGGGACCGCCATTGGTCGTTGCACATCTGTATGTGCTGTGAAGCCCATTTGTGGGGTCATGTCTTGTCGAGCAGCGCAGCTGAACAATGCTTTTTCTCATGTAATTATCTCCGTTATGAAGGAAAAAATCATTGCTCGCAAGTTAAAGCTGTTGTGCGGCTTTCACTTGCGACCAATGCATCAAAATCAAACCATCTTGTTATCAATTCCAAACTTGCGGTGAATGCATCGAAATCAAAACCAATGCATCAAAAGTCATTCACACCCGTCAGCCTGAAAGTTCGTGATGCGTCAATGGATGACGTCAGCACCAATCTTGCGAGGTTGAAAGAGCTCGCAGTGATAAAACTTTGCAGGGACGACGTTGCCATTATGTACGACGTTATGTGGCACAAACATGGCCGCAAGATATAATGAAACTGGACTTAGTTTGGATTTCGCACTCCTGTCGAACTTCTTCCTAGCTTGCAGTTGGCACAAGGCTCTGCCAGATGAAGGGGAAGTTTGGCAAGCGTTTCATGGCCCTGTCGGTGAGCGAAATGTCCGTGAGGAGTCGGCTCCAAAAAGCCGAGAGGGACAAACTCATGGGGCTGATGTATTTTAGTCGCAGTGGCCACTACAAGAAGCATTGTTTTTTTGGCGTGCAAATTTCACCAGATTTAATGATATCTTTCATAAATAAAAAATCAATTTTGACTTTAAAACTCGTTTTTCTCAAAACACAAATTTTGCCATTTTTTTTCAATGTGCTCCTCCTTTTTCGTGCACTTCTAGTGCTCGAATCTGCATGAAATTTTGCCCAAATTTTTTCTGAAGTATGGCGAATGCAATTATCTAGTTTATATTTCGGTATTTTATTGTATAATAAAAAATTCTATGTAAACCTTTACTAGGATAGGTGAAATATGTACTTTTTGCGTCTATTATTTTTCACGCCTATTACATATCTTGTATGTGCTTCCTATTTAGTTATTTGCATTCTACACTTTATTTCAAACAATATGAACTATGAATGGTAAAAAATTACGGAATGTTCAGAGATGAAAAGAGGGGGGGGGGGGGGGGCAAAAGGGTTAAGGTTTTCACTTTGTCATTTCGCAGAGCTAAAAGTAAGCAACTTGCAAGAAAACTAATTATATATTTGAAATCAGCATAAAAAGTTCTATAAACACCTCAAGTGTCATTGCTCTAGGCCGAATATTGAAAAAATTCTATAACACCTCAAGTTTCATTGCTCTAGGCTGAAAAAAGTGTCTTCGAGTAGCATCTCCCCTTAAATAGCTGTTAAGATAGCAGTATTAAAAATATATTCAATGCATTCCCAAGGACTACGACACTCTTTTTGACGTTCTTTATAACCATGTTTTTATTTAGAGTAACAACCTAGAAACATCCCAAAATCGTGTCAATGCCCCATCAAAACTGTAGCCCAGCTGAGAATCAAACCTACACCCTCAGGCTTCACACTACAATGCCTTAGCTGCTAGGCTACCACAGTAAACATTTAATTTGCTTCATTGGACTCACTACTATGTAATGGAAATACATATTTACTCTCGTAATGAGCCCGGCTTTTTTTTTTTTTTTCAGAAATGTTGATGCCAATTAGGGGAGGGTTCATTATGTGGGAGAAAACAAAAGTAAAGGGAGTTATAAAGGCAAAGACTTCCCAAGAGGGTAATTGTAAAACCAAAGAGATTGCGCTTTGGTTTTGACAAAAAACAAAGCAATTGCACCGTGTTTTTTTTTTTTTTGCTTTTTTTTCCACACCGCTGTGCTTGCATGGTGCTTTATGCTGAAGATTTCTTTTGTGTTTGACAGATGGCGCTATGTTGCAAAAAGGGCGACTTTTAAATTTCAATCGACATCGTGCTCGCGCTGCTCGCATGATTGCTAAACAATGTTTTGACTTTTATTACATCATCATTTTATAATATAATGGCGTCATTTATATTTTTTCGATAAACGTTAAACAGCACTGGCTATTACATCAAAAGAAAATGCACAGATACATTAAAGAAAAAGATTTTTTTTTTCAAGGACCAAAATGTGGGCTGGGTTCATATGGGAGTGAATGCGGTAACTTAACATACGACTAAAAGAGATAATGCAAGTTGCGTAGTGCTTTCATAATGAGATCCTGCAGTAGTTTCTGCCTACATGCAGTGACAAGCGGCTGACCTTTTTTGTCATAGTTGCCGAGTACAGGTAGGTGCGCCTCTCCCGTGGAATCACTCGCAGGATCTTGTCAACCTCTTCTTCAAAGTCCATGTTGAGAATACGGTCAGCCTCGTCCATCACCAGGTATTTGAGAGACTTCAAGTTGAAGCCCTTAGTGTTTTCTAGGTGGTCCACCAGACGACCAGGGGTGGCTGCGAGCAAGGAGCGAGACAGTGTCACATGAACCGTTGTTACACGGATACAGCAAAAGATCGTTAAGCAGACTAACTTAACTGGAGATGAATAAGAAAGGTTACTCGTGCAGCATTGTTTGTTTGATGAGCTCTAACAAGTTCAAACCTCTATCTAAGGCAGAGACATAGTCAATTAAGCAGAACTTCTGGTTTGCTACCAAACACTAACGAGAAAAGAAAGAGCAAATAAAAGACGTAAAGTACAGCATACAAATAAAGCAGGCATGCAAAAACAAAAGAGAAGTGATAATTTCCTAAAGTGCTCTTGCAAAGCTTCAAACGCCATAAGAAAGTAACTGCCATGCAGATAAACGAGCTGGAACCACACTACTAAACACATTATACCATTGTTTTGTTTGATTATTGTTGTACTTTGATAATGTAATAAATACATTGTTTGAAGGCATAGTTAGAAATAAGGCTTTGTACTGGAGATGAAAAAAAAAACATGAACTCTGTTCCACTTGTAAAGAAAAAAAAAAGTTGCCCCACGGCGGTGGTCTAGTGGCTAATGTACTCAGCTGCTGACCCGCAGGTCGCGGGATCGAATCCCGGCGGCGAGCTGCATTTCAGATGGAGGCGGAAATGTTGTAGGCCCGTGTGCTCAGATTTGGGTGCATGTTAAAGAATCCCAGGTGGTCGAAATTTCCTGAGACATCCACCACGGCGTCCCTCATAATCGTATGGTGTTTTTGGGACGTTAAACCCCACATATCAATCAATCAATCAAGAAAAAATATACAACCACTGAAACAGCTACGTACCGAAGTCATAAGCACGAGGGCTTTTATGCCCACTACTTTAGTGTAACAGGCGATTCAGTGGTTTTTCTTATGTTTATTTACGGCACATGACACGATTTCACACTAAAGGAATGCAGTCTGTCAGCTGTTCTGCATTAAAAAAAAGAACACTCACCAATTATGACGTGAGGTTTCTTGGCCAGTGTTAGTGCTTGTGTCATCATGTCAATGCCCCCCACAATCACAGCTGCAAGTAAAAGATTACAGTCAAATAATTCACACACATTAAAAAAAGGGGAGCAACAGTATGTTGGCAGTATACATACACTAAAACAAAAGGGGGCAGAAAACAGTGAGAAGACCTAATAAGTAATAATGTGTTAATAGGAAAATAATCATACTTTCATAATGATTGCAACTTTCATTAATTAAAACAGTGACACAAACCTTACAATGCAGTCATTTTATTAAATAAAAATTCACAAAACAAATTTAGTATTAAATTGTTCTTAAATTTGTTTCGAGTGAAAGTAGGGAACAAAGGACACCAGTAGAGATCGCCTCGTGACATTGCCTGACATCATGCTCCTGTCTAGTTCGCTCATCTTCTGACCCAGACTACTTCACTGCAGTGAAGGATGACATCATCACAAACAAAACTGTTATGATGATCCAAGTGGTGAGTATGATAAAAATGGGAGTCAGGTCCATAGGAGTGTGCACGTGGGGAGTGTAGTCTTCCACCCGGCCCATAACAATCTGAAGGGGCGTGGGGGAAATTTCACTGCATACCTTTACTCTGTTAGACATTTCATGTAATTTTTAATGTGCGATGGTAAGGCCACTCACGCCTTTCGACAACCACCGTGGTTGACAACTGCCGATGCTGTGTTAAAAAAATTGTTGATTAAAGGTGTGCAAATATTCGAATTTTGAATTCAAACTAAATAATGCCTAACTGAATAATTCTATATGACTTTTGAATAACTAGGATTTGAAGTTTCATATAAATCGAAAGGGAAAATATTTAAAATGCAACAAACACTAATGGTGCAACTTGGCTAGGGTGGGGTGGCTAAAGCTAACTTCGTTACAATGCACCTTTTTCCTAGAGGGTCAGTAAACAACTTGAGCTCCCAAAATTTTATTGAAGAGAATTTGGTGTACTCTTGCTATGTCAGTCAAAGTAGACTCAACTGAGGCACAGATGACATTGTAGCAACTTTAAAAACAAGAAGGAAGAAGTGGGAAGGCAGTTCTTGTTATATTTTTTTTTTGTTAAGCATTGTGATACAAATCATCATCATCATCAGCCCGACTACGCTCACTGCAGGGCAATGGCCTCTCCCCCGACTTGCCAATCAACCTCGTCTCGTGCTATCTGCTACCACACTATGCCTGCAAGCTTTTTAATCTCATCGGCCCACTTAACTTTCTGTCTCCTCTTCGTGCGTTTGCCTTCTCTGAGAATCCGGTCAGTTACCCTTAATGACTAGCACTTATCCTGCCTACCTGCTAAGTGTCCATTTCTTCTTCTTGATTTCAACTATGATGTCCCTTAACCCCAGTTTGTTGCCTGATTCACTTTGCTGTCTTCTTGTCTCTTAAGGTTACACTAGTCATTTTCGTTTCCAACGCTCTCTGCATCGTCCTCAATTTAAACTGAACACTCTTTGTAAGTCTCCATGTTTCTGCACCGTAGGCAGGTATCGGCAAGACGCAGCTGTTATATACATTCCTAACAAGGGGTAGTGTTAGAACTATTCATGATTTGAAAATGCTTGCCGAATGTGACCCACCCTAACATTATTCGTTTACTTACTTCAATCGCACGGTTGGGCTCCGCAGTAACTACCTGTGTTAAGTAGACATATTCCTTTACCACTTCCAACGGCTCTCCAAAGACTGTTGCACATTACTTTAGTTTTATGCATATTGATTTCCAGGTCTATTTTTCTGCTTTCCGTGTACAATTCAGTAATCACAAGCCGTAACTCAGCCCCCGAGTTACTCATCAAAGCATTGCCATCTGCGACTCGACGGTTACTAAGATACTCTCCATTAACTCTTATCCCTAACTGTTCCTAATCTAGCGTCCTGAAAGCTTCCTGTAAACACGTGGTGAATAGCATTGGAGAGATCGTGTCTCCCTAACTGATGCCCTTCTTTATTGGAATACTGTCACTTTATTTATGGGTAACTATAATGGCTAGACTATAAAGTCTAGCTGTACTATTAGAGGAGCTAGAGGGTGTTAAATGGGATATAATAGGGCTCAGTGAGGTTAGGAGGACAGATGAGGCCTGTACTGTGCTACAGAATGGGCACGTCCTTTGCTATCGGGGCTTGGCAGACAGAAGAGAACTGGGAGTGGGGTTCCTAATTCACAGAAACATAGCTGGCAACATAGAGGAATACTATAGCATTAATGAAAGGGTGGTAGGTCTTGTAATTAAACTGAATAAAAGATACAAAATGAAGGTAGTACAGGCTTACGCGCCTACATCTAGCCATGATGACGCTTCAGTTGAAAACTTCTATGAAGACGTGGAATCGGCAATGAGTAAGGTAAAAACACAGTATACTATAGTGATGGGCGACTTTACTGCAAAGGTGGGGAAGAAGCAGGCTGGAGACCAGGCAGTAGGAGATTATGGCATCGGCACTAGAAACGCCAGAGGAGAGCTACTAGTAGAATTCGCAGAACGCAATAATTTGCGGATTTTGAATACCTTCTACCGAAAACGAGAAAACCGCAAGTGGACATGGAGGAGCCCTAATGGCGAAAATAAGAACAAAATAGACTTTATAATGACTGCACACCCAGGAATCGTGAAGGATGTGGAAGTGGTTGGCAAGGTACGATGCAGTGACCATAGAATGGTACGGTCTCGAATTCGTCTAGACTTGAAGAAGGAACGACAGAAACTGATACGCAAGAAGCCAATCAATGAGCTAGCACTGAGAGGGAAAGTACAGGAATTCAGAGTGTCGCTGCAGAACAGGTACTCGGCTCTTAGTGAGGAAACCAACCTTAACGTAGATACAATGAATGATAATCTGACGAGTATCATTACGGAGTGTGCAGTGGAAGTTGGAGGCAGGGTAGTTAGACAGGACACTGGCAAGCTTTCCCAGGAAACGAAGAACCTAATTAAGAAGCGTCAAATCATGAAAGTCCCAAGTACAACAGACAAAATAGAACTGGCAGAGCTTTCGAAGTTGATTAACAGGCGTAAGGTATGCGATGTAAGAAGGCATAACATGGAGAGAATTGAACACGCTCTGAAAAACGGAGGAAGCATCAAAGCAGTGAAGAGGAAACTTGGGATAGGCAAAAGTCGGATGTATGCACTAAGGGACAAAGAAGGCAAAATAACTACCAATATGGATAGGATAGTTAAAATAGCGGAGGAGTATTACAGAGATCTGTACAGTAGCCGAGACAACCACGACCTTAATACTATAAGAACTAGCAGTAACCCAGATGACACCCCACCAGTAATGATAGAAGAAGTCAGAAAAGCTTTGGAGAGCATGCAAAGAGGCAAAGCTGCTAGTGAGGATCAGGTAACATCAGACCTGCTGAAAGATGGAGGACAGATTGTGTTAGAAAAACTAGCCACCCTGTTTACGAGGTGTCTCCTGACGGGAAGGGTACCAGAGTCTTGGAAGAACGCTAACATCATCTTAATACATAAGAAAGGAGATGACAAGGACTTGAAGAATTACAGGCCGATCAGCTTGCTCTCTGTAGTATACAAGCTATTTACAAAGGTAATTGCTAACAGAGTAAAGAAAACATTAGAATTCAATCAACCAAAGGAACAAGCAGGATTTAGAACAGGCTACTCAACAATTGACCACATTCATACTATCAATCAGGTTATAGAGAAATGCTCAGAGTATAACCAACCACTATACATAGCCTTCATAGATTACGAGAAGGCGTTTGATTCAGTAGAAATATCAGCCATCATGCAGACACTGCGGAATCAGGGCGTAGATGAAGTATATATAAACATTCTGGAAGAAATCTACAGGGGATCAACTGCTACCATAGTGCTTCATAAAGAAAGCAACAGAATACCAATCAAGAAGGGTGTAAGGCAGGGGGACACAATCTCCCCAATGCTATTTACCGCGTGCTTACAAGAGGTTTTCAGAAGCCTAGAATGGGAACAGTTAGGGATAAGAGTTAATGGAGAATACCTTAGTAACTTGCGCTTCGCCGATGACATTGCATTGCTGAGTAACTCAGGGGACGAATTGCAACTCATGATTACAGAGTTAGACAAGGAGAGCAGAAAGGTGGGTCTTAAAATTAATCTGCAGAAAACGAAAGTAATGTACAACAACCTCGGAGAGGAGCAGCGCTTCGAGATAGGTAATAGTGCACTTGAAGTTGTAAAAGACTATGTCTACTTAGGGCAGGTAATAACCGCAGAGCCTAACCACGAGATTGAAGTAACTAGAAGAATAAGAATGGGGTGGAGCACATTTGGCAAGCACTCTCAAATTATGACAGGTAGATTGCCACTATCCCTCAAGAGGAAGGTATATAACAGCTGTATCTTGCCGGTACTTAGCTACGGAGCAGAAACCTGGAGACTTACAAAGAGGGTTCAGCTTAAATTGAGGACGACGCAGCGAGCAATGGAAAAAAAAATGGTAGGTGTAACCTTAAGAGACAAGAAGAGAGCAGAGTGTATTAGGGGACAAATGGGGGTTAAAGATATCATAGTTGAAATAAAGAAGAGGAAATGGACATGGGCCGGGCATGTAGCGCGTAGAAAGGATAACCGCTGGTCATTAAGGGTAACTAACTGGATTCCCAGAGAAGGGAAGTGGGTTAGGGGGAGACAGAAGGTTAGGTGGGCAGATGAGATTAAGAAGTTTGCGGGTATAAATTGGCAGCAGCAAGCACAGGACCCGGTTAACTGGCGGAACATGGGAGAGGCCTTTGTCCTGCAGTGGACGTAGTCAGGCTGATGATGATGATGATGATGAACTATAATGGCTGTGGATTCGCTGTAGATTTCTCCCAGTATGTTTATGTGAAGTTTGTCGACGCCCTGATTCTGTAACCCTGTGTGACTGCTAATGTCTCAACAAAGTCAAATGCCTTCTCATTATATATGGAGGCTATGCATAGGGCTTGGTTGTATTCAATGCGTTTCTCTATTACCTGATTGATAGTATGAATATGGTCTATTGTGGAGCAGTCTGTACGAAATCCTGCTTGGTCCTTTGGTTAATTGAATTCTAATGTCACCTTAATTCTTTCAGCTATTATTTATATATATAGTTAGTAGAGAACAAATAGTAAGCTGATCGGCCTGTTGTTTTTCAAGTCCTTGACGTCTCCTTTCTGATGGATTAGGATGATGTTGGCGTTTTTCGAAGATTCTAGTATCCTACTTGTCAGAAGACACTTTGTATATAAGGTGGCCAGCTTTTCTAACACAATCACTCAGTCATCTTTCAGGAGTTTTGTAGTTACGTTATCGTTGCCAGCAGCTTTGCCTCTTTCCATTACGTCTAGAGTTTTCATTACTTTCCCTGTCATTACTGGTAGAATGTCAAATTCCTCTGCGCTATTTTTGCTTGTTACGATGTCGATGTTGTTTTGGCTTCTGTACAGCTCTCTCTAGAACTCCTCCGCCACATCAACTACCCTATCCACTATCCATATTGGTTGTGACTTTGCCTTCCTTGTCCTTTAATGCATACATCTGATTTTCGCCTATGCACAAGCTTGCCTTTGCAGCTTTCAGGCTTTTCTTGCTTTATACCTTACGTTCGATTCTATCTATATTAAACCTTTGTATGTCGGCTAACTGACGCGTATTAAATAACTATGAAAGCTTTGCTAGCTCTATCAACTACGAAAGCTCTGCTAGCTCTATTTTGTCTGGTTCATTTGAAGTTCTCATGGTTTGCAGTCTCTTAATGAGATTTCTTGTTTCATCGAAAGTGGACTTGGTGGAGTCCAAATGGTGAAACTAAAAATGAAATAAGTCTTCATTCTGTGTGCTCACCCAGACATTGTACAGCATGCAGAAGTAGTTAAGATCTGATGCAGTGACCATAGAATGGTAAGAGCTGGAATTCAACTAGACCTAAAAAAGCAAAGGCATAAACTCATATGTAAGTAGCCAATTAATGAGCTAGTATTGAGAGGAAAGTACAGGAATTCAGAGTTTTGCCTCAGAATAGATTCGCGGCTCTATTCGAGGTAACTGATGTTAGCGTTGACAGAATAAAGATAATCTGACTAGTATCATCAAAGAGTGTGCAATGAAAGCGGGAGATGCAGTCACTAGACAGGACACTCGCAAACTATCCCACAAGCCAGTGGCCCATTATAAAGGGAATGCTCACAGCATCCATTCATCCACCGACATCAACTGTGTGACTGAAAAAAAGTCGTGCTAAAAATCAAACCAGACGTCTCAATTACACAAATACTACCATTTTTCTAGATGAAAAATGTTTTCAGAAGCTCAGGTGCCATTCTTTCTTTAATGCTACCCAGGATCATGACATTTTAAAACTTTTTGTTCATAAATACTAGTTGCTTTTACTAAAAAGAAATGATATGGGCCTGAAAAGATTAAGCACAAGGCTTGAAGCTTACAAACTCTAAGAAAACCTATATTATTACCCAGTGCCCTTTTTTCCTTTCGGAAGAATTTCTGTAAATTTCTCGTTAACAAGGAAGACATTAAGATAAACATATCGACTATTCGCCCCTGCATTATTTTCCCTGTGCACTATTACGTGTGCATGCAAGTGCATTTACTGCTACAACAACGAGGGCCACTTCAAAACAGGGCCCTCTACCAAGCGTTGTGTAACACCCACCACTCTTGACGCCGATGCTGGCACCAAGAGCTTCGAACTGCTCGGAGATCTGGAATGCCAGCTCCCGTGTAGGTGTCAGGACGAGAGCGAAGAGACGCTGCGGAGTCTCCAGCAGTGCTTGAAGGATAGGCAATGCAAAAGATGCCGTCTTGCCCGAGCCCGTCTCTGCCAGACCGATGACATCACGCCCTGCAGTTAGTTGATCAGAAGGGTAGCACTTTGAAAAAAAAATAGTAGTTGAGCGAAACATCATACGCATGATCGATAAGCATAACAAAATAAACAGGCAAGCTGGTACAACATTCGCAAGAAGATTATAAGCATGACTTGCTAGGCATTTGTGTGAACATTAAAGAAGCCCTGAAACACTTTTTCAAGTAGCCATAAAATGAATTCACTGGAAGAGCTTATTGCCTCACGAATTCAATTCCGCAAAAATTTTAAGAATCCGTCCAGTGCGAGTGGAGTTAGAAAGGTTTGTCGCATGCTGCAATTGCATTCTCTCTTCTCTCGTTCCGACGAAAGCGCTGGAAGCTAAGCAGGAAAGGATGGCAGGGCCACATAAAAACGTCACGCGCGCTTTGCGACCTTGAGCACTTTTTTTTTCTTCGAGTGCACGGCTTTTTCAGTGTGAACTCGCGACACGAGGACAAGTAGCGGCCTCCCGCGGCGATCTCTGTAACGTGCGAGCGCCATGTTCACATCAGCTAATGGCTGATAGCAATTAGGAACATTTTTACTTTCGTGCCATGTAGGGCAAATGAGCAATGTCACTACCGGCTGTTGCTGTGTCATTTTTGGGCATATAACATGATTTGTAGAGAAGAGAAAGCAATTTTCAGCTGACTTAATAACTTATTGCGAATTCCAGGACGCGTGCTGGGCTATAATATTTGGTTCGCGTGGTGTCGGGAGCCTCTACTACCGATCAGCAGCATTTTCTGATCATGCTCGAAAAGTGTTGCAGCAGGGCCTCTTTAAAAGCATCACATGTTGGGCATGTTGGTGTGAGTTTTGTACAAAGATCCGCACTGAAGCCCGAAGGAAAGGAGGGATGTACACTCATGTACTACAGACAAGAAATAAATCACAAGGTGTTTTTTCAATGGTGAGGGGTCCACTAATACAAGAACAACTTCAAATGGCATACAGAATCTTGACACAGTATAACATGTGGATAATAATCTTTCGTTCTCAGGCATGTTCCCATCAGTGTGAATAATAAAAGTGAGGACATGATATCCATGGGCGCTTTAAGAAGTTACATGTGTTTGCCATCACTAATTAGCTACAAGAGTGGCATGCGTCGTCTCGACCAGTTTCCTACAGCATTCACTAGGTGGAACTGTGACGTTGCCATCATTCAGCCACCGTGGGAATGATGGGTTGACCATCAGGTATGTTTTTATTTTACTTCAAAATTGCTGAGCTTCATCAAGCAAAAAGCAGGACCAAAATCACTGCAAAAAGCCTGAATGCCCTCATATGGCAGAAGTAGTACTAAACAGAGCTTACGAACACACGTGAAGCATAATGCCACGTTCCATTTCTCAAGTTTTCTTATCGCCCCAAAACACTACACAATTCTCAGCGCAAAACGCGCGCGCAGCTTTCGAGAAGCTTCCGGACTTTAGTAGATCATTTCGATAAGACCACGCCCACTTTGCGGACTGTACAGATTATTCTGGAACCTACGCCACCACCAGCGATAACGCTAGGACATTCGATGGCTAGAGTATAAATGCCAACGCACTTCGCCACTTGTCAGTAGTTGATCGACGGCCGACGATCCGTTCGCTGCTATCAGTCCAAGACTGCTACTGTAATCGGACTTTCCGTTTACCAGGCACAGGTTCGCCTAAATAAACAGTTAAATTCCAACCCAAAGTCTCCTGTCTTCGGCCACGTCACGATCCCGTGACGTCTGGTGGAAGTGCTGTTTCTTCCATGTACCGGACGCCTCCTTCAAGCCGCGACCCCAGCCCAAGCGTCAAAGAAGACACGGACGCTAACCCTGAACAGCGAACAAGCCGCAGGCAGAGGGGACTACAACCAGAGTATGGGCCCCTTATTGAAGCAGCCAGGCAGACTCGGATCCCGACATCCACTACTGCAACCATGACCGCCCCCGTGCAGCCTGCACCACTCCTGCTCCGGCAACCCAAAGAGCCGCCAACTTTCAGCGGTTCGCCACTGGAAGACCCGGAAAGCTGGATCGAAAGGTTCGACCGCGTCGCCGCCTTCAATGACTGGACAGACGATGGCAAGCTCCGGCATGTGTATTCCGCCTTAGAAGATGCTGCTCTGACCTGGTTCGAGAATCAAGAGCGAAGCCTTACAACGTGAGACGTCTTTCGCGCCAGGTTCCTCACCACTTTCGCAAGTGTGGTGCGCAAGGAGAAGGTCGCAGCTCTTGAAACCCGCATGCAGATGCCAAACGAAAACATGGCGCTATTCACTGAAAATAAGATTAAACTTTTCCGCCACGATGACTCTGACATGTCCGAGGAGAAGAAGGTTCGTCTGCTCATGCGAAAAGTAAAGCAGGAACTCTCTGCCGGGCTGATCAGAAACCCGCCAAAGACGGTCGCCCAATTAATTTCAGAAGTATCTACGATAGAGAAGACGCTCGAGATGCGCACGCGGCAATATAACCGTAGCTTCTCGTCTACCAGCTACGCCGGCATTCAGGTCGCCCAATCAATTTCAGAAGTATCTACGATAGAGAAGACGCTCGAGATGCGCACGCGGAAATATAACCGTAGCTTCTCGTCTACAAGCTACACCGGCATTCAGGTCGCCCAATTAATTTCAGAAGTATCTACGATAGAGAAGACGCTCGAGATGCGCACGCGGAAATATAACCGTAGCTTCTCGTCTACCAGCTACGCCGGCATTCAGATAGCCCAATTAATTTCAGAAGTATCTACGATAGAGAAGACGCTTGAGATGCGCACGCGGCAATATAACTGTAGCTTCTCGTCTACCAGCTACGCCGGCATTCAGGTCGCCCAATTAATTTCAGAAGTATCTACGATAGAGAAGACGCTCGAGATGCGCACGCGGAAATATAACCGTAGCTTCTCGTCTACAAGCTACGCCGGCATTCAGGTCGCCCAATTAATTTCAGAAGTATCTACGATAGAGAAGACGCTCGAGATGCGCACGCGGCAATATAACCGTAGCTTCTCGTCTTCCAGCTACGCCGGCATTCAGGTCGCCCAATTAATTTCAGAAGTATCTACGATAGAGAAGATGCTCGAGATGCGCACGTGGAAATATAACCGTAGCTTCTCGTCTACCAGCTACGCCGGCATTCAGGCGCTTGGAACCACTGACTTGCGTGAGACGATCCGAGCGATCGTGCTCGAAGAGCTGCGAAAATTACTTCCTTCAGCACAGCCTCCCGTGGAATCCATCGCGGACGTCGTACGCCAGGAGATCCAGCAATTGCTGGGTGTTCCTCAGCCTCAAGAGCCTCAGCTGCAAGCCATGAGCTATGCTGCTGCAGCCCGCCGCCACGCCCCTCCTCCACGCGCTCGCCAAAACGCTGGTCCAGCGCATTTCCGTTGCCAGACGCCACCGCCGCCACCACCGACGTCCTACCGTTCGCCAGCGGCCCAGCACAGTGCGCCGAGGAAGACTGATGTCTGGCGAACCCCTGACCACCGCCCGCTCTACTACCACTGCGGCGAGGCCAGACACACACACCGCCATTGCCAGTACCGACAGATGGGACTGCGTGGCTTCGCCGTCAATGCACCGCGTCCGCAGCCAGGAGAACGGCCACGTGACATCGTTGACTCCCTGACAGGAACTCAGTGTACACCACGAAGTCCTTCCCGTTCGCCGCCGCCCAGCCGCCGCATGTCCCCGCACTACCGGCAGTACTCTGGCCCAATGAGGGCCGGTCTCCTAGCCCGTATCCGGGAAACTAAGGGCAGCAACCGATGGAGGTGCGGTTGCTGTGCGACGAACTACCGAAGATCCTCCAACGACGCGATGGAGCTTTCCGAACACAACGCCAACCAGGCAAAGCCCTGACGGCGAAACCTCACTTACCGAAGGTGACCTGACGATGCAACATGGAAGCAGCGGAACAAGCCGACGCAGCCGTGACCCGATGCCACGACCACCACGCCTTGTGTTGGCTAGCCACCTTGAGGGACCCTTCAGGTCGCCTTGCACGATGGAGCCTGAGACTTCAAGAATATGACATTACTGTCATTTACAAGTCCGGCAAGAAACACTCCGACGCGGATTGTCTCTCTCATGCGCCTGTCGACCAACCACCACCCGACGACCCGGATGACGACTGCTTCTTGGGACGTTAACTACCAACGACTTTCCCTGAAAGACAGCGGGCCGACCCAAAACTTAAGGCCCTAATAGAATACCTCGAAGGCAGGACCGCCGAAGTCCCGAAGGTATTCAAGCGCGCACTTGCGTCGTTCTTCCTGCGAAACGGTCTTCTCCAAAACAAAAACTTTTCCCCGCTCTGAGTCAAGTACCTCCTTGTGGTGCCTTCAGCTCTGCGACCAGAACTCCTGCAGGCCCTGCACAACGATCCGACGGCAGGGCACCTCGGTGTTTCTCGCACGCTCGCGAGGATACAAAAAAGGTACTACTGGCCACGTTTTACCACCGACGTCACTCGTTATGTGAGGACATGCCGGGACTGTCAGCGACGCAAGACACCACCGACAAGGCCAGCGGGACTTCTGCAGCCAATTGCACCACCTTTGACCTTTCCAGCAGATAGGTATGGACCTACTGGGGCCGTTCCCGACATCGTCTTTCGGAAACAAGTGGATCGTGGTAGCTATCGACTACCTCACTCGCTACGCCAAGACAAAAGCCCTTCCCAAAGGCAGTGCATGCGATGTACCTAAGTTCTTCGTCGAAAATATCGTTCTACGTCACGGCACCCCGGAGGTCCCTATCACCGACAGAGGAACGGCATTTACTGATGCCCTAACTCAAGCGATCTTGCCATACAGCCAGACAAACCACCGCCGGACGACAGGGTACCACCCACAGACCAACGGCCTCACCGAGCGGCTTAACAAGACGATCGCCGACATGCTGGCAATGTACGTCGATGTCGAACACAAGACGTGGGACGCCATTCTTCCGTATGTGACCTTTGCATACAACATGGCGGTGCAGGAGACGACGCAAATATCTCCATACAAATTGGTCTATGGAAGGAGCCCGGCAACGACGCTTGATGCCATGTTAAGCAACGTCATCGACGAAGAAAACCTCGATGTGAGTGAGTACCTTCAACGCGCTGAAGAAGCTCGACAACTCACGCGTCTCCGTATCAAGAATCAACAGACGACCGACAGCCGCCGTTACAATCTGCGACGACGCTTCGTGGACTACCAGGCCGGTGAACGTGTTTGGGTATGGACGCCGATACGCCGACAAGCTTCTGCGACGGTACTTCGGACCGTACAGGGTGGTTCGACGTCTCGGCCCACTTGATTACGAGGTTGTCCCCCACGGCATCACGAACTCTCAACGATGCCGATCACGACCTGAAGTCGTCCATGTCGCGCGCCTCAAGCCGTTTCATGCCCGTTAACAAACTGAAACAGTGTTTTTTTGTATTATTATTGTATTGTAATTTATTCATTGTACTTTCTTGCATTATTGTTGTACCTTCATCATTAGTTAAAGCATCGGGACGATGCCTTTTTCAGAGGGGGGCAATGCCACGTTCGATTTCTCAAGTTTTGTTATCGCCCCAAAACACTACACAATTCTCAGCGCAAAACGCGCGTGCAGTTTTTGAGAAGCTTCCAGACTTTAGTAGATCATTTCGATAAGACCACGCCCACTCTGCAAACTGTACAGATTATTCTGGAACCTATGCCACCGCCAGCGATAACGCTAGGACATTCGATGGCTAGAGTATAAATGCCGACGCACTTCGCCGCTTGTCAGTAGTTGATCGACGGCCGACGCTCCGTTCGCCGCTATCAGTCCAAGACTGCTACTGTAATCGGACTTTCTCTTTACCAGGCACTGGTTCACCCAAATAAACAGTTAAATTCCAACACAAAGTCTCCTGTCTTCGGCCACGTCACGACCCCGTGACAATATATACAGATACAATGCACTTTTTCAATGCAACTTGGTGAAAAATGAGAAAATAACTCAGTGGTTGGACTCCCACTTATCAAGCCGGTATCAGTATGTTCAAATAGGCGACTCTGCCTCTCACTTGTCAGCAGTTGTTTCTGGAGTACCACAGGGCTCCATCTTAGGTCCGTTGCTTTTCATTATCTATTTAAACAATTTACAATTCGACTGTCCGGTGCGTTTCTGTTTCTTTGCCAATGACTGCGTTGTTTATCTCCCTATTGAATCGGTAAATGACCAGAAAATTCTCAACAAATACTTAACAGCTGTTAGTAATTGGTGTGCCGATTGGAACATGAGCCTCAACACAACAAAGTGCTGCCAAATGACAATAACACGCAAAAAGTGTTCGTTTCAATATACTTATCAAATTAACAATGTTAAATTAGAGTTTGTAAACGAGTTCAAATATTTGGGTGTAACCATGACATCAAACCTCACCTGGAACAAACACTTACAAATCATTACATCATCAGCACTGCGCAGACTTTGGCTTCTAAGACACCGACTTCAGCACCGTAGAAGCAAAACGAAGGCCATTGCATACATTACGCTGGTCCGCCCCTTGCTCGAAAATGCAGACGTTGTTCGGGAACGGATTCAGCGATGCTCGAACGGGTACAAAAGAAGGGGCTGCGATTTGTTCACCACACATACAGCAGGCGAGTATCCGTGACAGAGCTGTGCAGGCATTCTGACCTACCAACACTAGAGTCCTGCCGTAAATTACATCGACTTAAAATATTACACAGCATAGTCAATAGTTATTCAAAGCTTGACTTCAATACTTATCTCGAATTCAACATGTCACGCCCCACCCAGAACAACCACAACAAAACAATCCTAATGCCTTTCACGAGAACAAATGCTCACCGTCTATCCTTTTTCCTGAAAACGATAGCAGAATGGAACACTTTGCCACACGACGTTACTAGCTTAACTAATCAAAATGCTTGCTTTTTCAACGGCTATTCAAAAATGTGTATGATAGGAAGTGCTGGTCTTGTTCCCCTGTTCTATTGAACTAACATATTTCACGTGTTATTTTGCTTCCATGCCACTACTGCTTTCCACTGCTTTTTTTGTCTATGGTCAATGTGCATAGTGCTCTTTGTGTGTTTCGCATTAGACTAGCATTGTGGGTTTTATTGTATATTCACGTAGCTATTTTTAACGAGAATTGAGGGTCCCGTTGCAGTAGTGTACTTTGGGACCCTCGTCTGTATATTTTACTCCCTGTAACATCCTTTTGTGACATGATAATAAACTGATTGAAGAGAATTACTGCTGCTTTACGAATCGTGGGCCGTGTTACTGATTGCACGCGCTTGTGTGTCGTGACAATCTGTAAGCTTACTGCATTATTGCTTCCCTGTGTACCACGGACCGTGTTACTGATCGCGTGTAAACTTTGTGTTCAATCTCTGCACTGTACCACTCCTGCTTTGGCTGCCAAAGGGTGGCTGGCAGTATTGAATAAAAAAAATAAACTGCAAAAAAAGGAACATGTTGAATGACATCTACAAATACATGGCATTTACAGACAAAATAGAAATTTTATACGTTTAGTGAGAGAAAATGTCAAAATGGATTGTTATGCACCAGAAACGGTTATTGTTACAACACTAAAAAAAGCAGTAGTATAAACATGGCTACAATGTACGTGATGATACACAGTTAATTGAAACACTGAGTGCCAAACAGATATTATAAACAGGAAACATTGCGGTAATGTAATAACTTTTGTTTATGTCTTCATTCAGGTTTACAAAACCACTCCCTAATTTGTCTGCGAGTGAAGGTGTCTTCCCCTTTCCAACTTAATTGTATGTGACGAACCATCAGTCTTCGCTACAAGTGCCCAAGTGACGTTTTTTGAGTTCGAGTCATGAAGCGTGTTTCCAGAACATGAATTTGCCTAGGCTGCATGCTACCGACTTCAGACGCACTTGTGGCGTCGCCTATTGGTCTGTTTTGGATTATCTTTTCTGTAAAAGAGTTACGCATTGCGAGGCACAAAAGGGTCAGGATGGCGAAGTGGGACTGCGGAACTTCCGCCACTTTGTCTTGCGACGAATAGGCTGCGGACCACAAAGAGCCCAAAGGAGGGAAGCTTTTTTAGGCAAATCCGTGCTGGCTGAGACGTCATGCGTTGCAGCTCCTGTAGGCACTAGCCTTAGACATCGCTCTACTGCACTAACATAAAACTCAATGGTCACGGCTACTCGTTTCAACTGCGGCTGCAACGAGCAACTCCGAACATACGTTGAAAGAATGGACTGTTTGGCGAGTAAGTATTCTATTACCAAGGAAACTGCGCAAAAAACATGGACGCGCTGTTCTTCTTTCGCTTCGCCCACGTTTTTCGGGCAGCTTCCTCGATAATCTGAACCTACGAAACAGTCAAAATTGTCAACTAGCCGACTGGTTGCGCGAAATGTATGACGGCAGATACTTGCCTTGCAATGCGACTGGCAAGGCTTCTCGCTGGATTTTTGTGGGGGCCTTCCACTTGAGCTGTTCGCAAGCTTCGCAGAGTACGTCCACGACACCCTGTGACAATTTAGAGCGAAGTAGAACAGAGAAGTGTGAAATAAGATTTGGAATCAAAAGATCACGGCGTGTGTTTCGAGACGTGCACAAAGATGCGTCATGTCACGCACACACCAGCAGGCAATAAAAATGCCGAGGCTTCCTACAGTGCCTCCACCAAACATTCTAGTTTCTCTTACCAATGACTTGAAAGTAACGTTTTCTTCGGATTTCTCTCCATTTTCTACTTTTGCTTCAGTCGAGCTTTCGGGCTCCTCGGGCGCTGCCATACTTGTTTGAAAAGACTTGTGGAGTGTCTTGGCTTTTGAAACGGCTGCTTTATCTAAGACGTCATTGAGATGTTTTAGCATGTGTATCGAGTAAAAAAAAAGCGTTTTAGCTAAATATTAGACGTTTTAAACATACATTTTAGGCGAATTGTTTTTACAGCATTTTTTTTTTCACGGCTGATGTTTTTTGAGCATTGTAGATCTTAAAAGTTTTAAACTTTTTAAAAACGTTATAAGTGAAGCGTTAAAATTTAAAAATAATTACTTTTTTATTTAGTTGAACAAAATAGAAGCAAATTTTTATAGCACAAACACAGTAAACACCAAACATAAATTATCCATAAAGTTAATATGCAAATTTTATAAAATATTACTATAATATATATAATTATTATACTAACTCTATGAAGTTATCTAACAGCACATTTGGTTGATTGTTTGCGAGTGCTTTGACATGGCTCTGACAGCGAATTCAGCAGCTTTAGGACTCTACAATAAAAACAAAAAGATAAGCAGATTATGTACTTCTTTTTGTGATCATACATTTGCCTCCTTATTTTAGTGTCAGTGTTTTGCCGACATTTTATGTACATTTTTTAAAGCCTCCGGAGCGCTCAAAAACGATCCGTCAAATGTACCATAAAAAAATGTAAGCGAGTCGCAATCGTATCCAATCCACATCAAGACAGACTCAGTTTCTATCATGGCGAAGCATCATCCAGACTTGATTTTCTGCCGAAAACAGGCCGGCGTCGGTAAGAACGATGTGTGATAGCCCATCTTAACGCACTAACAGTGCGACAAACAGCTGCGTGATGACAGGGCTTTCTAACATTCATTTCTTTTTTTTTGTATTTGCAGCCATCGGACGTCTCTGCGAGAAATGTGAGTGAACGATCCCTCAACGTTTGACATTTTGCAAAGAGCAGCCTTTCGTTCGAGCGACGCTAAGAAGAGTGTGAAGGGACAACACCACCTACTTATCTAGGTGGTGTTGGAAGGGACCGGCAGGATTCGTGAGAGGCAGTTATGGGAAATCACTCGTGGCGCATGTTTCTGAGGGATTGGTTGTATGTCTTCGCTAAACTTGCCTTTGAAGCCAGAGATGCTTTGGCGACGGCGATTTATTTGCACAGATCCGCGTCCTCTCCTTGGAAAGAAAACGCGCGCGAATAAGTACAACTTGGGTGCAATACTCCCCCGTCTGATCTTGCAGCGTTCATGCTTGCGTACCTGTTCGCAGTGTCGTAGCACGCATGGTCGCGAAGCACGCAATCATGTCGTTTGAACTACTTGCTGGCACTGAAGCTTGCAAAACCTAGACAAACTTGTGGTAAATGAACTACAATAAAAAAAATCAGTAATAAGCTCTACGCAACATCGCCTTGCCATACACAGCAGGCAGTGCTGTTTTGTGTACCTTTTGTCACCGACTCGAAGGTCACGGGTTCGATCTCGGCCGCGGCATTTTGGTGTAGGCGAAATTAGTCCGCGCGCTGTCGGTGCTCGTTTAAGAACACCAGGTGGTCGACATTTCCGGAGCCCTTCAGTGTGGCATCCTTCATAATCGCAGTGTGGTTTCTGGGTGTGAAACCCCAGACATTATCATTATAATATAGCCAGGTAGGCCAGTAATTGAGGCATTACGTAGAGAATTGTTATAAAGTGAAAGCAAAAGACAAGAAAAGCATGCACACCATAAAAGCCTAAAACGAGCGAATACATGTGAAGGGATGTTTATGTTGTATGAATATAAATGATTAAGTGCATTACATTTTGACAAAATGGAAGTACAAAAGCAGCATAATCCTGTGAACAGCCAAACGAAATGATGCGCCACGTGCCTTGCCCTTTTCTTTTCGTGTTTCTCGTCTAGTTTGAAACCTTCGTTCACCCTGCTCTCTTCTTGCTTTGGGCAGGTGACGGCAAGTGCGTCATCTGCGATTCGTATGTGCGGCCGTGCACCCTGGTTCGAATCTGCGACGAGTGCAACTACGGCTCGTACCAGGGCCGCTGCGTCATCTGCGGAGGCCCTGGCGTCTCGGACGCCTACTACTGCAAGGAGTGCACCATCCAGGAGAAAGACGTAAGTGGGTCGTTCAGCTAAGCCACTGCCACGCTTGAAATGGTGACCATTTCAAGCGTGGCAGTGGACGGCATTAACACTCAAAGGGACACTAAAAAGCAAAACTATTTTTTTGCATATTAGTAAATTACAATTTCACAATCATGAAAACACCATTCTTATGGTGACACGACACTTGGTAAGCAAGAAAATGTGCAAAAAAAACTGTGGTTGGAGACACCACCTTTAGATTCCCGCACCAAACACTGTGACGTCGTCCATTTTTTAAGCCGTCTGCTGGGTCCTACATAGCTTCTGATAAATAATATTGAAGTACATTGTAGTCTGTAGGGGCCATAGGTTTAGCATACGCTGTTTTAAAAAAAATTTCATCGTGCCGGTGTCACAAAAATGCCAAATAATAAATTGTGGAGTTTTTTACATCACATGTGGTGCTTGCGGCGTGAAAGCTAAAAATTGAACTTCAGCCTTGATTTTATCTGCTAATAATGAACTTATGACAGTTAAACTAGGGACATTGAAGTTCTCAGAGTGCAGTCTATGAATCTAAAACAACTCATCGTTTCTCTTCAGTGTCCATTTTAGAGCCCCTGCAACATTTTTTAAAAATAATCAACGAATGCATAACACCGAATGGGTTGCACATAAAACATAAAACAAAAGATAGATAGGCAGCACAAGTGCCAACTCAAACTTTACTTATTTAAGAAAGCGTGTTCCCATACAAATATGCTTCTGAAGACTGCAACTTGAGATATACTAGCTTACTGCTTCACCTGGTGTTGCAAATATGCATGTTGCTGTTAGCATCATTACACAACAGTACACAAGTGACTGTTTAACAGATGCCTGTGCATGCAACATTTGTATACATTTTTAGCGTCATTTTGTAGTCTCTCGCTCAATAAAAGATTACAACACAGTTACATTCCCTCTTCATGCTTCACGTAACATCGATTCCCAAAGTACTGCCGATTTTTTTGCTAACCCTGTCAACCGTGTTGCCTTGTCATGGTAATGTCCATTTCGGTGGGGCTGGCTTGCAAGATGATGGCCAACGAGAAATTTGAAATTGCAGTAAAATATTTTATGCATGTTGTCTGGCTTTGGTGTGTGAAGAGCCTCGACATGGTAAACGAGGAATGTCCCTCCTTAGTTGCTCAGAACACTGCTGCCATATGTAGGACAATTGCAGCAGAACAGGAGGCACAGATGGGTGCAGTCTTGTCCTGCTGTTTGTTAGGGGATGCACCAGCTTGCCTGGCTTAGTTGTAACAAGCAGTTAACACACTATTTGTTTTTTCCACTGCAGAGAGACGGCTGCCCAAAAATAGTGAACCTGGGCAGCTCAAAGACTGACTTGTTCTACGAAAGAAAAAAATACGGCTTCAAAAAGAGGTGACAGGGTGGCTGAAGAAGCCTTGCCGGCCCAGGCATGGCTTCAAGTCTGTATCTTCATTTCATCTCTGGCCACCCTGTCGTAAGCAAGATTTCCTGGGCTCTCAAGTTTATCATTTGGTGTTCTATTTTCAAATGTTTGATTCCAATTAAATATTTCCAAACATTCTGCAGCCTGTCTGTCTTCTAGTCCAAGGCTATGGACTGTAAACGAGAGGACCTCAGAATTTGAATGATCAGAAGTACTCAAAGATAACTCGAGACCAACATATCAACTAGCATTGTGGTGTTTGTTTCTCAGGGCCAGAGCAACATTAGGCGACATGATTGTCTGAAGTTTCGAGATGTCAGCAGTTATAATAAACACTTTTTTGTAGAATGTGTGTCTAGTAAAGGGGCGAAATGTGTCTAGGCCTATGACTAATTTATAGCCCCTTCCAATTCTTGGGACACTCTTCTATATGACACCAGTGTACAATACTCTTGAATTTAACTGGGAAAATTTAAGGCTAAGCAACCCTCACACTTTCATTTCCACTGTCATTAGTTGGGGCCATATCGATGTATTTGCAATTCAAATGTGTAGATAACAACCAACATCATCTTCGTAGACTGAATTCTACACGCCAGGATGTGGTTATCTCAAGAAAGTGTGCATACCAGTGGCAATACTGAAAAAATTGATGCCTTGTCTGAATCAGTGACCTTAAAGGGGCCCTGCAACACTTTTTTAGCATGGCCAGAAAGCGCTGCCGATCAGTAGTAGAGGCTCCCGACAACACGTGAGCCAAATATTATAGCACAGCATGCGGCCTGGAATTCACAATAAATGATCAATGTAAGCTAAAGATTGCTTTCTCTTCTCTCAAAAAATTACGTTACACGCCCAAAAATCACACGTTAACGACCCATCTATCAGCCATTGGAAGATTTGAACATGGCGCGCTTGCTCGTTACAGAGATCGCCCCAAAAGGCCGCTACTTCTCCACGCTTGCGTGCGCGATCACACTGAAAAAAAAAAAAACGCCCATTCAAAGAAAGAAGAAAAAAAAGTGCTCAAGGTCACTAAGCACAGGTGAAGTTTTTCCCTGGCCCTGCCATCCCTCCCTGCTTAGCTTCCAGCGCTTTCAACAGGATGAGAATAAGAGAGAATGCAATTGCAGCATGCGATGAACCTTTGTAACTCCACTCGCACTGGACAGATTCTTGAAATTTTTGCAGCGTTGAATTAGTAAGGCACTAAGCTCTTCCAGTGAATTCATTCCATGGTGACTTGAAAAAGTGTTTCAAGGCCTCTTTAAAAGTACCTTAGGAAGTGTCCAGTATGCGATAGATCAAGGCCAATTTCATAAAAGCCACTTTTTTTAAAGAAATCTTCATTGAACCGATGGAGCCCATATACGAAGAGAGGCTTTGAAATTAGCGACATCACTGGTGATCACGTGCGACAGTTTTGGCATGAAATCTAATCATAAGACATCTGCCTTCATTTCTTGTTCCGGTAAATAAACTGGGATGACGAAACTAATGACAACATTCTGAAAGAGTAATCTGTCAGCCTAAAATGGTTTAATATTTCATTTTAGCAGCCCTTTATATATGCTTCTTATGACCACAGTAGGATTAAGTACACAGGACTCATTTTTCTTTTCTGTCCTTCAAACTCTGCTTTTTATTTTCCGAAGGGGAAGAAAAGAAATTGCCAAATGGACACAGATGAAGAAAAACAAACATAACACTCAAGGCATTGAGAAAAAGACACTATGCTCTCTTAGCTCAGGCCAGTGTCAACCATCCCTGGCCCTGAACTCTCTAAAAATAGTTAATCGTCTATGACACATCGATTATCTAACCGCTGCAGAGTTGAGAAGAAAAAAACTCTCTCCTCGTCTCTTCACACATTTCTTGGTCTACGACCACAAAACAACTGTAAACATGTTTTTTTTTTTACTATTCTGTTTGCACCACAAGAGTGAGCCGTGTTTTGAACGAGAACACATCGTCAGCTCAACAAATGATGCAAGATTGCAAAGGAGAGCATTCCACGAAATGGTTTGCTTGAGTGAACAAATGTAGTTTCACGATTCCCGAATGACCTTTTCTTTTTTTCTGTAATTAGTGGAGGTGGTTACTTTTTTTTGGCACTGTGATTTGAAGAAACTCTGCAGGCTATGACTCGTGAGACAACCGATGCTGGTTTTAAAATGAGACACACATACCCCTGCCACAGTGTCAGGTTGCTAGCCATGCTAGAAACGAATCTACGTGTTGAAAAAAAATTAAAAAGAACTGTAAAGGACGTCCCAAAAACTTTGAAGAAGGCGATATGTTCAACAGGCCTTCGGCTTTCGAGGATAACGGAATAAAGTACAAAACATCACACGGTACATCGCAGCAGTTCAAGTATGATGTGTGCCGCACTCTCTCCCTAAAACATTGATGCCTAATCCTCTTTACGCAACTGCTTTAGCACATCTAAACAGTCACTAAAACCTATCGCTATTTGCAGTCAGATATGTTAATTTGAAAAAGTCGGCCCTGCCTTGCCGGGAAGCCACAAACGCCATTTACCGTGCAAGAACACATTTTGAATGATAACTGAGTGGAAGTAGCTGGTATTCAACAGATGCTACTTTTTCAGTGGCATTGGTGCACAATGCAGTTTATAAAATGTGTGCTCTAAAACCAGCATCTTGTTTGTAAAAAATCTTTTCGGGGTATTTCAGCCTTAAAATACGATGAATGCTAGATTGTCAGCTGCTGCGGACAAGTGGAATCTATGTACTACGTAGTATTGCCTTTAGAACCTCGAAAAAGGGGTATCGTCGAGGAAAACGGGAACCAGTTAGATTTCATAAAAGCCACTTCCTTCAATAAAACGAATGTGGGGGTTGTTGATGTGGTGCAAGCTTCTTGTCTACGAAGTGCGTTTTCAGAGTCTCAACTTCTGCGCTATTGCTGGGAAGGTGGCCTCTTTGGCAAAAGGATGCTCAATTGGCTGTCTATTAACAATAAAGAAAACTGGCAACCAACTTTGATGACAAGTCCAAACAGACTTAAATATGGCTCACTGGAACACTTTAACGAGACAAAGTAGCAGTTACTACGGTTCTAGCACTTACTGGCTGAATCTTGATTAATCCCAACGGCAGCCGCAAATCTAAATGGCATTTGTATCCCAACCGAAGCAAAGATGTAGCAAGAAACTTGAACATTTAACAACTAGTGGTGCTTCCAGAAACAAAGCACTTCACTTATACAGGCAGGTTTCAATTGATGCAAGCAACCACATGCCCGACACAATTTCAGTCTCAAAAGGAACTATCGTCCACAGAACGCCTAACCTAATAAAAAAAAACTTGAGAGAAAAAGAAGAAATCGAAGTTATAGCACAACACCTGCTTAAGGAACGTGCATCAATCATGTTATAATGTTCGCAGCATGTTCGCAGGAGAATGCGACATGTACACAACCGGCTCACAGGGTAAGAGTAGATGCAGAATAAGATGAATCGAGCACGTATGTCCAACAAGTAAACAAACATACATTGGCAAAAGGAAAAGGGAACGCTACAACATACTGTCTCATTCATTCTGCACTAAGAAGTGGTTTGCCTTGGAAGTTTGAAGTAAACGCAACCATGCAAAAAAGAAAAAAAAAAAAAAACTCAACAGACTATAACGATAACCACAAATCAGCCCAACAATTTTGTTCGTATGGTAAAACCATGGATGAATGAAACACGCCGCATCCAGGACACATGTCATCGAAGCAATGAAAGATTGACGCAGCCATAATACCGCACTCATTCTGAAAATAAATGAACACATCAACACACGCACAGAAAAAGAAAACACTGTGGCACAAAGAACAAAATTCAAAATGCAAGCAAACGCCAACTTTTAGTGGCTAAAGTACTGCATATAAACTTCTCGTGGAACTTCAGGAAGCCATACCCTCTTGGATCTCTTCCTTTTTCTTCAATTTCCACTGACCAGCTGTGGAAAATAGGACAATAACCAAAAAATACAGAGACAGCCATCAACTTGGCAATCAAACACACTTGCTCAGCACAGAAATGATGCTAAACACAGCTGCAGCAGGATTGCTGAGGAAAGTTGTAGGTGGCAGCCTCTGTGCAGATCATGAATGCTGACTCAAGACACCAAACCTTGTTCTATGCGAATAAAATCACGATATAATGAATTATCAGTCTTAACGACGTAAAGAATAGATTTGTCAAGAATACAGTGTTACGAAAATACGTATAATAACTTTTCTGATTTAATGAAGTATTTTCGAGGCAGGTGTGACTGTTATAATGAGGTCTTAGTGCATTTTTTTTGTGTCAAGGATGCAGACGCAACCAACATTGCCTAGCAATACCAAAACAGCTAGTAACTCGTTTCAGTTCTTCTGGCATAAGCGCAACATTTTCAAAATCGTCTGAGCCTTGAAGTCATACGTAGTGATACGAATAACATTCGTAGTCTGTCTTTTACATCTTTCCATCATGCTCATTTCTTTAGCACTACATAACACTTATACAAACTCAAGATGTGCCAACCTACTCAAACTGCTACTTTTGTGGCAATGCGCTTTCACAATGTTATATATCACACACTGATATATTTTATCTTGCTCAAAGTTTTAACATCAGTCAACTGAAAAATGTCATGCTCCTTATTCTGTTCATATTAATCAAAAACATTAATGTTTACGCTATGCCAAGCAGAATGCCATTTCCCAAAACAGCGACAGAATTTGATTTGACAGTTACATCAGAACTAAAAAGAAATTAAATCTTAAGCTCAAAAGAATGCCTGGAATGTGCACCCCTGAAGAACGCACATTTTACACAAAGCCTGCGCTTTCCATGTGCGAGATCTACTCAATTCACTAGCATTTGACAATAAGACATTAGGGTGCAACATTGCAGATAACTGCCATTACATTCGCTGCTGTACAATATAAGCCCTTGATCATGCGAGCCAATTTGAGTCCACAGGTAATCTGCACAACGTAGCTACTGCCACACACACAACGTCAACTGCCTGTCGCGTGTTCAAAAACAGCGTCGCCGTCCTCCAGCCGTCGTCCCCACGGCTAAAACTGTTCATACTCGCGGAACGGGGAGCCAGCAAGAGAACAGAAAAGGAACTTGTACTTTCTCTCGAGCGGCCGTGTTGGGCCTTTCGAAAACTTTGATTCTGAGGGGACTGCACTCGTTATGGGCTGTGCCTCTCTCGAGCGTATGTACACACGAAACCGTAAGACGTCTCCGCTACGATACTGCCGGGACGTTGCGCTACCATGGTGTCACTAATGAAGAGAACGTTTACACCACAAGGCGGCAGCACTGCCGGCGATTGTGTCTATTTCCCAACTTCAGCGAGATAGACAGGTAAGAGGCCGGCCGGAAAAGATGCAGGTGGGGTTTATATTGCGTACTGACAATACGCTCGACTTAAGCCTTCTCGCTAACGCACGGCACTGGACATGCCTGAATAGATTAGGCGAATGCCCCAGTGTCTAAGCTTCTATGATAAGAACATCACGAGTAGCTTTTACTTATCATTTTATGAAATGCTGCACATAATATTGCAACAGACGAGTTTTTCAAGAAAAAGCACATATGTGCATAACGTGCACAAAGTTACATGTTTTTACGATGGTTACCACTAGTCTGTAGGCAATTTTTTCCCAACAGTCCTTCATAGCAACACTGTTAAATGTGAAGGCTTTGTTACGGTTGAGACATGTAGTAAGCCAATCTCAAACAGCAAGCGAGTTGTTCAGACACATCTGATGAACAAGTGTGTAAACATAGCACCACTGTGAAAAACAATGAGGCAATGTTGTTAGCATACCAGTAATCTTGAATACAGTGGTAATGACCAAAGCTAACATGGTTCCTGATAGAATGGTGCGAGCAATGACTCACTACATGCAGGTCATCTCACTCGTGCACACACTCTTTTGAAGCTAAAATTTGGGTGTACGTTGCAGTCCATTATTACTCGAGACCAAAACCTTTTTTCGTGTGCGATTCGCACAATTGTTTTAAAAGTTGATGAATGAATTCGTTGCGCCAGAAATGTGAAATGGCGCGCGTGTAATTGCAGCGGGTGAAACAGATCTCGGCACTCAGAACAACACCACCGGCCTGCACAAACAACAAATTCTTGCTCAGAACGAGCCGCACACTAATTATTCAGAAACAACAACGCAGGTCCAAGCAGCGCAGCCAGTTTTTGCACACACACCTATGATGAAAAAGAAAGAAGTGCACCGAAGTTTGGGTCGCACGGACGAAGTGACAGAGCCAATGCAAGATTTACACGGCGCACGTCACGCAATACCATGGTCGGGTCAGGCACGGGTGCTCAAATGTCCTACAGAAGTCGCGCTTCCGTAAAAGACGATATGGAGCGATTCTATCGTCGTCAGCTGTTGCATTGGTGAGAGATAGGAAGGAAATCCGCTGCAGCGTTTCGACATTTTGTGAACTTGCCATAGTTGACACAATGCGTCACGATGAAGTCCGTTAGTCAATGTTGTAGCGGACACATTTCGTGCACTTTGGCAGTCAACGAGGAAGGGAGGGGGAGGGTGAAGTGTCACGGATTGGGGGAGTGATCTACGCGGAGTTCGGAAGAGATTGCGCAGTTCGCGTTCACAACTGGTTTGCTTGACCGTTCGTTGTCTAGTTGTCGTCGTCGTGGCGATGCCATCTTTTCCTCAAACCCTTGCCAACCGGAAATGTGCACCGGTGGCCAAAAGAACGGTGCGTTGCCACGTCCCGTTAGATGCAGGCTGCTCACAGAACCCAGGAGAGCGGAAAGGACCGCAGTTACGTGATGGTGATTGTGAGAAAGCAGAAGTGAAAGAGGGACGAAAGGGAGGGATGCGTGCAAGAGAGTGGCATGAAGAAATTGACCAATAGATTAGAACAGAGCGTTCAGGGAGGATCAACAGTTTCCACGACAAGGGCAATGAGAAGCAGACAGGACAAAAAAAAGTGAGGGAACAGAAATAAAGGCATGCCTTGGTGTGACGCAACAAAAGCTATATCACTGTACTGAATGGCATTCTAGCAATTTAAAGGTGGAAAATCTGCATCCTCGATCGGTAATGAGCAGGACTGAGCCAACAAAGTACAAAAACATTACGACAAGGCATAGCAAACCGATTGGTTTGGTCAGAATCAGAGGAACCACAGATAAGTACATTGCCATGGGAATATGGTGGCAGTTGAGCACCGCAATGGTTTGTACCTCTTTCAAACTGTGCATTCATCAAGTCTCCACCGATGAAATTAACAGAAAGAGCGACATACTATTATCGGTGAGCGCACATCTCGTAGGGACAAATAGCAGTGACTGTTGCATCAAATTATAGAAACAGTGGAATTTCAATATGCTTTTCACGAAACAGGTAAATACAAATATTACGTAAAAATCATAGTACTAACCGAAAAAGCTTTTCAAAAGAAGCAGAAATATATGCATGCTCTGTCAGCTCACTTTTTATTAGACAGGATTGAAGTAACTGGTCACGCTGAAATTTTGTTTTTGCACTGAAGATGTGGTAGGATTTCTAGATATGTTGGTCAAGATCCACTTTTGTGGAAATATTGTTCAATCTTGGGGGAGAACTGCAATACTTTTAATTACAACGCATTACTTTCGATGGACATTTGCCGGTATAAACAGAAAAATGTAACAAGCTGAAAAACGTATCATATGCAGAATCATATCAATGAGATTTCGCTATACCCCAAATGCAAATCACCGATCGAGAATAGAACATCGTAAGGAAAGTATGCGTTGCATGCAAGCAAAGTGCGAGAGAAAAATTTTGGAAAGGAACAGAAAGGCAGCGATGAAGAGGGAGGAAAGAAAGCTCAGGGGTTGAGTTCGCTCTCCAGCATTGCATCCAACTGGTCGGTCAAGCTGGCCAGCATGTGCTCAATGTCGTGAATCACGTCTCCCGATGAGGACGACGACGGTGCTGGCGTCATCAGGCGACCACCTGTCGTCAGGGACAACCTGCATGGAAGAAAAACAATGTTTTTTGAAGGCGATTTCACTCTGCCATACCCGTTTTCTGCATACAGAGACTACTCTCAGCGAATGGGAAGCTCAGCAAATCCTGCTAAAATATTTGAGTTTGATGTTAAAATCTGTTTTCTTGTGGCCCACCGGCAGATATTGACATTAGCTTGACGTCAGGCTATGGTACCGATTCTGGTGACTTCATACAGCACTCCAGCTACCCTCAAAGCTCGATATAATGAACCGGCATAAAACGAACTATCAGTTATAATGAAGTAGATTAAGAATACTCTTGCTGTAGACATAGTGCTAGGAATATACTTTATAACAAAATTTTGGATATAACAAACTTATTTTCCAGTAAGATGCAACTTAATTATAATGAGGTTTGAGTGTAGTTGTCATGACAGGCTCCAAAACTTCCAACATGCCCGCTTGTGTGTCACTAACAGAGCCAAGTTGCGAAACAGCCGTGAAAACATCATGATATCTTTCATGAAGATCTCGTGATACTCTGACACTGAGTTGTGACACGTGACGTCAGGGTACAGTGGGAACTGAAACTAACCTTCGAAAACATGATGCAATTACTTTTCACGATGCACACATTCTTGCCAATACACTTTTTAGGCTTTTGGGGGCTTGGCTTTGCACTTTATGAAAAAAAAAACAAAAAATATTTCTGTCAGTGTTCCTTTAAAACTGACGTCAGTGAGGAAACTTGGAATTCACATACTACAGACCTAGCAAACTGCAAAAAGCAGGTCTACCCAAAATAAGTGCAAATTAGGTGTATGAAACATAGAACACAAACAGTACTTCTATTTACTGTACCTAACATGTGCTCTCCAGTTTAATGCAATGAACCGATTGACACGGCAATCAATTCTCTTCACTGCAGGACCTGAATTATCACAAAGGGCACTCATTCACACGAAACCTTGACCGCATTTTCATGTCAGTTAGTTATGTGACCACTATTAGTTAATACAGTAACACCTTGTTAACTCGAACTCCCATATTTTGAAAAATTCGCTAAGTCGAAATTTTTTGCACCACCGAACATTTTCCTATCCCATAAATTTTTTTTTACCTTTATCTCTAAGTATTTCGGGTCCGATTGCAGATAACTCGAAATCTTGACTAGCAGTTGAATCAAAATTCCGTCGCCGAACCATTTTACAAGGCTCGCGCAATTTGCTATGCCTGAAGTCCGTCAATTTTTTTCCTCTTATTATTTAGCTGCGCCTGCCACTATTTCGATGCTATCTGCGAACGCAAAGTCTCAGCCCAGTGACATGTCAACTTTGTCGAGCAACCCTGCGGCAAGTCATGTGACAGATGCGCTGAGCATGGAAGCTCTCTGCCCACGCTTTGCGTAGCTTGTCTCATTGGTTTTGCGTAGCTTGTCTCATTGGCTTTGTGCAGTGCACATGATTTTCCCTGAGATGTCATTTTCTTTCATCTGCGAAAACCACGCAGTACGGATTTTTCGCTGAGTGCAGTGCTCGTGATTTTTCTTGAGGTGTAATTTCCAATCACCTGCGTAAACTAAGCAGTACGAATTTTTCGCTGACGGTGAGAAGGGACAACTTAGCGTGAGTGCTGCAAGCATGGTGTCTACCGAAAGAGCTTCCTCCACAGAGCTTTATTGTCTCTCATTACACATTCTACTGAATGCCTCAAAGGTCAGCTTCATTGCCTCTATGTTTCATTTATTCGTTCTCCAAACTTCATTTCAATTGCCCGTAAATGACGTAAATTGTTATTTGACTTTGGTGTCCCTTTAACGAGAAGCCTATTCCTCATTGGGGCCTTCCAAGAGACAAATATCAATTTGTAAACGGAAAACACAGTGCGAAGGAGACGAAACACAATCGAGAAACACAGAGGTTGAACGCTGACTAATAATTGAAAGTATAATAGCTTCAACTCAATACGAAAAAAAATATGGAGAGAAAACGCAGCACATAAAATTTTCTCCACGATACAATGGGCATATGCTGTCAATTGAAAAGGTTACAAACATGCGATTACAACACGAGAACGCATTAGGCACATTCAAGATAACTAAACTGTTCATTGCTTTGCATCAAAGATGGTTTGTTTATGCAGGCATTGCTTCTTTGTTTGATAGCAAATGCCGTGGCAAACACACGACTGGACGTGCTAGTGAATCTTAAAATGACTTCGCAGCTCAAGAACTGTGGTGTGCATCCCTTCTGCACCTTTTTTTCTCATTTACAAATGTGTAACCAAGGAGACCAAGGCATCACCCTTCTAGTTTGTTATTGTTAAAGGTCTTCCTATCTCTCATACAACAACTTCACTTGATGACTTGATCTTTGTCTAAACTTGTCTTGTTTGAGCTGAGACAGCCTGATGAGCTTGGCTGGCTGCTGCAACCCGTCTTTCACACAAGCACCCAATCACAAAATTGAAAACAACGAAGCCGCAAAGACTCACTTGTCTACGGGACGAGGGGGGACAGTGGGTTTCTGTGCTGTAGCTTTGTTGCGTGATGATGGGGGTGAGCTCCTGGGTATGTCTGCAACAAACAAACACTAACAATGTAATACTGCATATCAGGGCACCTGTATTTGTTGTGCAAACTAAAGTTGTTAGAAAACTAAGAGCATTTTCAGTGATGGGTAACGCTTATCGATGTGATGAAGTTAAAAGACAAATTTCGCAGAAATTTCACCTTTGGTGTCAGCGTTGCGAGTAAAAAATCGTCTTGTCTGTGATCAAAAAATTGAGAAAGATGTAATTGAATAAATCGTAAAACTTTCATTTCGAAGTGAGAATCGAAACCCTGGCCATCTGTGTGGCAAGCTGAATGTTCTACCACAGAGCCATGTGATTGCTTGAAATTGCTTTAAAAAATAACTAGAGCTGGAGTGAATAGTAAAAGTGCACAGACAAATTAGAATATTGACATGTAAATACAATCCAATTGAAAATATTTCCAATATTTCTCAAATGCTTCTAGAATATTTTCAGAGTAATTTACAGTGCAATTGCAGACAGAAAGGTTGGACAGAATTCCTAAGCATATAATTATGAGGTAGTGTCATGAAAGCGTTTCTTTTCTGTTGGCTAGGTTGATGAAGCGCTGGCAAGGTGGTGTTTCATAGTTGTATGATCCAAAATGAAGCAATGCAGAAGCCTAATTGTATTTGTCTGCATGATTTGGTGCAACCAAGCTGCTGTTCGCGACACTCTACACGTGAAAGGCAAAGATGCTATTTTCGCAGCCTCTCCTCCTGTTTCGACTTCTTTTGAAGCCTAACTGATGTGGCAGACAAGGGTGTGCTGAGCTCCCATCGAGTTCGGAGTTCTAAATTTGCCGACCTTCTGCTCAAATTTCATGTCCAAACAGCCTTATTGAGTGCCCACCTCTGCCACATTTATCAATTCCATGTTGAAACCACTACATTTGATACCAAAGCATAGCATGAAAGGCAGAATACCGCAATACGAAAATGCAATGGGACGAAGCATGTTGGAAATCTGAAGGGGCCACTGCCAATCGGACATTGACTGGATTCAAATAGTTCGTATAGTAACATTACAGTGGAAATTGAATTGAATAGCAAGCACCTAGTGCACACTAGGCCTTGGTGCATTGGTTGCACCAAGGCCTAGTGTGCAACCGATGGCAGCGTTGTGAACCGTGCTTGTATGACGTCAGTTCGAGGATTCACGCGCTTTTGAGGTGCAGCACCATATAAAAACCATCGTACGTGGTAAAACTCGGCGAAAGACGCCATTCAATTGGTTTCTTGTGTGTGGTGGCTACCGACGCTGTTCTAGCAATTATGGGTGTCCTCTTTTAACGCTCTTTTTAAAAGCACAGAGCTTTGTTTTTTGAAACTGCGGCCGCTTGTCTCCGCGGTGAGTACTGTGCTAGAATACTGCTCTGTGCCTCTAATGTGTGAAGCAAGTACTTTGTGTGACTGTGTGAAGCAAGTACTTTGCTGACAGTGACTTTTGCTATACCTGCCCTACGCTCCATTTTTCGGTAAGCTTGCAACCGTGTTTCAGTGCTTCACCAATACGTCAGCCATTCATAGCACGCAGGCTATAAGTGTAGGCGACTTACATCAGGTGAGGTGCCGTTTCAACACCCCGGAGGCTTCTAGACAGAGAGCTGATGACGCGGCCTCCCAATCGCCTCGTGTAGGTGCAAGCGCAGCTGAGCAGCACAGAATATTTGAGACTACGGCTTTATTTGGTTGGTGTACGCACATATATATGTAGTTTACTCATCAAGAAAATGCGTGCCTAGCGCAGTGCTTACCCAAGTTCATAAGCAAAACCTGCTTTGTTGTTTAGAGCACATTCACTAAAGGTTGTCACGTAATCTTTGTGGCCCTGTGCGCGGTATATACAATCAGCGACAGGTCTTTGTTATATTCTCATACTCAAGCGACGGCCCTGTGTGATATCAATATGAACTATTTCATGATGTCGCTTTATTAAACAAACATTCTTGGGACAAACTGCCGTCATTTGCATTGGCCAGGGGGTGCATTAAGGTGGAACTTGCCCCCTTCTCGAGTCACACCAGCACGTGTCCCTCAACACTCTTCCTACTGGGATACAACACGGGCTTGCACCCTGCCGACGCCCATAAGTGCAATCCAGGCATGGTTATCTCAAATTCGGTAATGTAATTTGATGCTGCTTTGCATTTTTAGTAGATGCTATGAACGGTCGATTGACTGCAGAAGCAGCAACTTAAACAGCTGCTCTGCAGTAATTATCTCATGTGTAGTTTGCGAATACCAAAGTGGCAAAAATAAGTGATTATCCCACATATCCTCACGTTCGCTCTCACTATCGCTGCACTGCATAAAAAATATACTAAGGAAAAGGGCAGGCATGCCCATCTCTTTGAGATTTTTCTGAAAGCTAACGTCCTTTTCATGGGTGTACAAAGCACACCAAGACACAGAGCCACACAGTTCACCATTGCCCAGCACTCGATTGCCATGGGGGCGTTGTGCGGTGGGTTCGCAAGTCCACGTGTTTGCAGGACGATGCATCTCCATTGCAGGTGATGCGATCTCCGTTGACGGCACCCGGCTGCTTACATTCAAGAATGTGGCCTGCGTCGTACACCACTGCGCCTTGATGAGACACCACAACTTTTCGCTAGCTGTATCTACATGCTTGTAGATGCTGGAGAAAGGCACACTTATTGAAATTTCGAAACACCCAAACTAATTAGAATCGAATGGTGTAAACTGCAGATGACGAGCGAGAACACCCACACATAGTTTTACTTTCTGACCAGCAATACAGCCGGCGGCATTAGCGTGTTCATCGGCCTTCTGAGAGGTTTCTTGCACCTGTCGATTGGGCTGCAACTAAAGCAAACTTTTAATTGCACTCTAAAACATTCCTAGTGGGCGTTAGCTGACCATTGCGAGGCTGTTTGTTCGAGAAAATTTCCACCCGAAGCGGACGATCTGTGCACAGGAGCAGTGGGTGCTGCAGCGCAAATGAGAGCAGAGTCCACAAACTGACAGCACATGCGAGAGGGCGCCACTCCAAGATCTCGAGGCAAATTATAAAAATACTCAAAATTTCAAATATTTGCACACCCCCATAAAAAGACAATGAAAAAGTAGTCTCCTCAACACATGTAATAGTGCATGGCAGAATCCTAGAGTAGCACCAGATGTCAAGATGTGTGAATTGAGCAACAAGTGGGCGACTTAATTAAAGCTGCCCAACCATTATAAAGAGTGCAAGTGTGCATGGCACCTCACAGACAAGTAGTCAGTACTTCACCAGTTAGCAAAGGGAAGAATTGTGGTGCTGTGGCCACTTGGCAACCGTACATCTAGTAGGCATTCTAAGATAGCTTGAAACGGCCAATGATACGAGCATAAATGTTCCTTTCCTTGCAGCATTGTTGAAAGCAATGCACTTGGTGCTCGATTACACTATTGCGTTCTGCTATTGGAGGCAAATCTCAAGCATTCTCAGAGTTTTTCATGTCAAAAAATCAATCAAAGCATGCAACTCATAGATAACGGACTTGTAAAACGCAGACACACGGAGAGGAAGCGACAGGAGGAGAGCTGATGGGCAGCTTAAAAGTGTAATGCAAGATATGCGTGCTGTAGTACTGTCACACAGTGCATGCAAGAAAAAAACAAAAGTCGCAAGATGCATCCTTTGGATTCGCAACCAAGACAACTCGCCCAGCTTTTCCCACTGCCAAGGTTTGCAATGTCTGGCACTTGAATGCAGTGTGCAATGCTATGAGTGAGTGGGCGGTCAGGTGCTTTCGTAGGTGAATGGGCATGATTACACAGGCATTGAAAGCATTGCGCTGTTGTGCCGACACAGCCTACATGACGCACGATACATGCTTGCAGACATAAAGTTCAGGTCTTCAAGGAATAACTTTAGGAGTTTCACCTCTAACTGGAACTTCTTCGGGGGGACTACGGACATCCGCTGCTGTTGTCGGTGGACTGGTCCGACAGAGTGGCTTGTCCAGTCCATTGTCATCTGGGTCGGGAGAGCTTCCGGTGGCCGGCAGAGATGACGTGCCGTGTTGGGGCAAGGGTGGTGGCACGCTCTCCCCGGGCCTCTGCTTGATGGTGCCCACATTCTCGCAGGCGAACGGGAGGGACTCCGACGAGACACTGGATCCGTTCGAGTCCTTCCGACGGAGCAGGGTGCCGCTGGGCGAGAGTTCGCCGTCCGAAGAAGAGGCCGAGTTGGGGGTCGACATGGCTGGCGGGGGCGGCAGTGGCGCCTGCGGAGCCTCGTCTGCCGCGCTGTTCGCCGACGTTGCGGGTGGGGGCGGCGGAGGGAGCGGCGGTTCGTCACGCGTTGTCGCCATGGTGAACCTGCGAGTGTTCCGTGACGAGGGTGAAGCAAGCACAAAACAAGCGACGTTGTAGACCCACATTTTCTTTAAAGGGACACTACAGATAAACAATAACTTCATTGACAAAGTGCACTCTGAAAACTCTAATGACGTTTGTTTCACTATCATAAGTTGATCATTAGCGAATAAAATCAATGTTGAAGTTTAATTTCTATTAAAGTTTCGCGACAAAACCTTAACACGTGACATATGAAATATAAAATGCATTTTCGGTATTTTCATGGCATTCACTTGTTAAAATTTTCTGAAACTTCACATGCTAAGTCTATGGCACCCACAGATAACAATGTACTTCATTTTTCTCGATTGTAAACTTCGTAGAACCCAGCAGACACCTTCAAAGTTTCTTATGTCACGGTGTTTGGTGTGACAATCTCAAAGTCGCACCCCCACCTACATCCTCGATTGATTGATTTGTGGAGTTTAACGTCCCCAAACCACCATATGATTATGAGAGACGCCGTAGTGGAGGGTTCCGGAAATTTCGACCACCTGGGGTTCTTTAACGTGCACCCAAATCTGAGTACACGGGCCTACAACATTTCCGCCTCCATCGGAAATGCAGCCGCCACAGCCAGGATTTGATCCCGCGACCTGCGGATCAGCAGCCGAGTACCTTAGCCACTAGACCACCGTGGCGGGGCGCACCTGCATCCTTTTTTCGTATGTTTTCTCCCTTACTAAGTGTTGTGTCGCGGTAAGAGTGGTGTTAACCGGATTGTGAATATGTACTTTACTAATATGCCACAAATCGTTTCCCTCTTTAAACAGCGAGGCTGCTTTAAGTTGAGCCTGCACTGTTTGGATACTATATGTATGGTGTCACCAGAAGGAAGAGAAAAAAAAATTAATAAAACAAGATCACAATGATGCTAAATGATAATTACGATTATGCTTGAAATGAGACTAAGCTCGGCCTACCCTAACAAGTACGTACGAGCCTACAGCTTCACTGTCCAACTGTTTTCACGGCATGGAACTGGCTGTTTTCATTTCCTAGAAATTTCCCACAAAATAATGTTTATTTCCAGATCTTGAAGTAAGCAAGCAAATGTTTCACCATCTAGCAAAATTTTCAACTGTGACATTTGCATCTGCATTAAGACTTCATGAATGCCCGGTCAAAAGCTTTCATCAGTCCTTGCTCACACTTCAGGGTTGAACTACCACTGCCGTTGCTGCCAGACAAGCCATGAATAGAATTAATTGCCTGATCACATTGTTATGGACCAAGATCACATTAACAACATTCTATGCCCTTAGAAAATACGGGGGTAGGCTCCCATACACTGCCAAGTATGCCCAGTAGCTTTAGCCATACAACCTCATTCAGGTTTTTCGAGATATAATTTCAGCCAAGGGCCCCTGACATTTCAAGAAATGTTTCTCACCCCTCAGAGACCAAAGACAGGCATTCGTGAACTGCCTGTCAACCCCTTCCTTTCAATTTTTGCATATATTGCAAACTGTGTATTGCAAACTGTTTTATTTTGGACTCAACCAATGGAGAAGGTGGGAAGGACGACACTTCGATAAAACACTCACTGATTGAAACAGGACAGTTTAGGGCCAATTAACACACATATTTTAATTCCTATTGCTTTCAATAGGGGATCATACCAAAGCATGTTCAACTTGGAACGCGTAGATTAGAGCCAATATAATCTATGGAGACTAGATTAATCGCAACATTACCTCGTTCTCTCGAGCCATTGCGCCTACAAGTCATTATATTAAAAAATTTGATGTCCCATTGAATTCATGAGTACTGTACAACCCTGCACACAGCTACATGCAGTGAGACTGTTGTTCCCAATAATATTCGTTTTATGTTTAGCACCCCAACAATGCTACAGGATCAAAGCCAAGTAGTTTATTGACAGGTGCTGTCAGGTACACAATACTGTTTGCACAGAAAATGCACTAAACATTCAGTCATTTGATCAAAGCAGCCTACCTGGACGTGAGGCTCTGTACGCAGGTGGCAAATGCCGTCTCAGCTATGTTGGCCTCTTGCTGCCTCCGGATGGAGTTGGTTCGCTTGGGCGGGGTTGGGGCAGGGCTTCGCTTTGCCCCGCTTCCCGTGTCTGGCCAATCGGACGACAGCTTGGGGTCAAGGTCCTTGGGGTCATAGTCGAGGTCGGGGCTGTCCAGCAGCGCCCTCGCTGCCACCTGGAGGCACAAGTAGTGTTCTTTCTTTGTAGTGAAAAACTGAACATGTCAAAGCAATCATCATCATCATCAGCATCATCAGCCTGACTACATCCACTGCAGGACAAAGGCCTCTCCCATGTTCCCCCAGTTAACCTAGTCCTGTGCTTGCTGCTGCCAATTTATACCGGCAAACTTCTTAATCTCATCTGCCCACCTAACCTTCTATCTCCCCCTAACCCGCTTCCCTTCTCTGGGAATCCAGTTAGTTACCCTTAACGACCAGCGGTTATCCTGTCTACTGGCTACATGCCCGGCCCATGTCCATTTCTTCTTCTTGATTTCAACTATGATATCCTTAAACCCCGTTTTGTTCCCTAATCCACTCTGCTCTCTTCTTGTCTCTTAAGGTTACACCTACCATTTTTCTTTCCATTGCTCGCTGCGTCGTCCTCAATTTAAGCTGAACCCTCTTTGTAAGTCTCCAGGTTTCTGCTCCGTAGCTAAGTACCGGCAAGATACAGCTGTTATATACCTTTCTCTTGAGGTATAGTGGCAATCTACCTGTCATAATTTGAGAGTGCTTACCGAATGTGCTCCACCCCATTCTTATTCTTCTAGTTACTTCAATCTCGTGGTTCGGCTCCGCGGTTATTACCTGCCCTAAGTAGGCAGTCTTTTACAACTTCAAGTGCACTATTACCTATCTCGAAGCGCTGCTCCTTTCCGAGGTTGTTGTACATTACTTTCGTTTTCTGCAGATTAATTTTAAGACCCACCTTTCTGCTCTCCCTGTTCAACTCCGTAATCATGAGTTGCAATTCGTCCCCTGAGTTACTCAGCAATGCATTGTCATCGGCGAAGCGCAGGTTACTAAGGTATTCTCCATTAACTCTTATCCCTAACTTTTCCCATTCTAGGCTTCTAAAAACCTCCTGTAAGCACGCGGTAAATAGCATTGGGGAGATTGTGTCCCCCTGCCTTACACCCTTCTTGATTGGTATTCTGTTGCTTTCTTTATGAAGCACTATGGTAGCAGTAGATCCCCTGTAGATTTCTTCCAGAATGTTTATATATACTTCATCTACGCCCGGATTCCGCAGTGTCTGCATGACGGCTGATATTTCTACTGAATCAAACGCCTTCTCGTAATCTATGAAGGCTATGTATAGTGGTTGGTTATACTCTGAGCATTTCTCTATTATCTGATTGATAGTATGAATGTGGTCAATTTATTTATTTATTTATTTATTAGAATACCCTCAGGGCCCGTAGGGCATTACAGAGGGTGTGGGTACAACATATATAACACACAAGAAAAAAAGACAAAATAAAGAAACAAGTATCAGATGCACAAATCAGGAAGGCAACATAAGTCAACTAAAAATGTATAAGAATTCAAGCACATACAAGACAAAGATAGATAATGGAAACTGCGTATAGTTACAAGCATTGCTGAGAAATTGCAGTCTTGAATAACAAAGGGTCTGTTATTGATACAATTGTTGAGTAGCCTGTTCGAAATCCTGCTTGTTCCTTTGGTTGATTGAATTCTAATGTTTTCTTTACTCTGTTAGCAATTACCTTTGTAAATAGCTTGTATACTACAGAGAGCAAGCTGATCGGCCTGTAATTCTTCAAGTTCTTGTCATCTCCTTTCTTATGTATTAAGATGATGTTAGCGTTCTTCCAAGACTCTGGTACTCTTCCCGTCAGGAGACACCTCGTAAACAGGGTGGCTAGTTTTTCTAACACAATCTGTCCTCCATCTTTTAGCAGATCTGATGTTACCTGATCCTCACCAGCAGCTTTGCCTTTTTGCATGCTCTCCAAAGCTTTTCTGACTTCTTCTATCATTACTAGTGGGGTGTCATCTGGGTTACTGCTAGTTCTTATAGTATTAAAGTCGTGGTTGTCCTAGCTACTGTACAGATCTCTGTAAAACTCCACCGCTATTTTAACTATCCTATCCATATTGGTAGTTATTTTGCCTTCTTTGTCCCTTAGTGCATACATCCGACTTTTGCCTATCCCAAGCTTCCTCTTCACTGCTTTAACGCTTCTTCCGTTTTTCAGAGCGTGTTCAATTCTCTCCATGTTATACCTTCTTACGTCGGATACCTTACGCCTATTAATCAACTTCGAAAGCTCTGCCAGTTCTATTTTGTCTGTTGTACTTGAGACTTTCATGATTTGACACTTCTTGATGAGATTCTTCGTTTGCTGGGAAAGCTTGCCAGTGTCCTGTCTAAAACTACCCTGCCTCCAACTTCCACTGCACACTCCGTAATGATACTCGTCAGATTATCGTTCATTGTATCTATGCTAAGGTTGGTTTCTTCAGTAAGAGCCGAGTACCTGTTCTGCAGGGACACTCTGAATTCCTGTACTTTCCCTCTCAGTGCTAGCTCATTGATTGGCTTCTTGCGTATCAGTTTCTGTCATTCCTTTCTCAAGTCTAGGTGAATTCGAGATCGTACCATTCTATGGTCACTGCATCGTACCTTGCCAACCACTTCCACATCCTGCACTATGCTTGGGTGTGCACTCATTATAAAGTCTATTTCGTTCTTATTTTCGCCATTAGGGCTCCTCCATGTCCACTTGCGGTTTCCTCGTTTTCGGTAGAAGGTGTTCAAAATCCGTAAATTATTGCGTTCTGCGAACTCTACTAGTAGCTCCTCTGGCGTTTCTAGTACCGATGCCATAATCTCCTACTGCCTGGTCTCCAGCCTGCTTCTTCCCTACCTTTGCATTAAGGTCTCCCATCAGTATAGTATACTGTGTTTTTACCTTACTCATTGCCGATTCCACGTCTTCATAGAAGCTTTCGACTGAAGCGTCATCATGGCTGGATGTAGGCACGTAAGGCTGTACCACCTTCATCTGGATGTAGGCACGTAAGGCTGTACACCTTCATCTTGTATCTTTTATTCAGTTTAATTACGATACCTACCACCCTTTCATTAATGCTATAGCATTCCTCTATGTTGCCATCTATGTTTCTGTGAATTAGGAACCCCACTCCCTGTTCTCTTCTGTCAGCCAAGCTCCGATAGCAAAGGACGTGCCCATTCTGTAGCACCGTATAGGCCTTATCTGTCCTCCTAACCTCACCGAGTCCTATTATATCCGATTTAACACCCTCTAGCTCCTCGATTAGTACAGCTAGACTTCCCTCACTAGATAAGGTTCTAGCGTTAAACGTTCCCAAGTTCAGGTTCAAGCAATCAATAACCCTCAAAACAGTTGTCATGATGAGAGTTGTCTTCTAGGCGTGTCTCCCCAAGTATCTCAGGAGATCTAAAAGTCAAGCAACTACATTTTGCTTCATTGCAACTGTAGTGTGTTTCAAGTTTCTGCAAGTTTGCGAGTACCGTATTTACTCGATTCTACCACGCCCTCAATTGTAACGCGCACCCGATTTTTGTGACAAAAAAAAAAGTGAGACATCGATTGCAACGCGCACCCATTTTTCTCGCTGGCCCGCACGATCACACCACTCGAAAAAATGACCCCTTGTGGGAGAGTCTTCCATTTAAATATGAGGCACGGGGGAAGCTTGTGCTCATCAGACATGTAACAGAGCATTGCCGTCACTGTAGTTTTACCGTGGACCGATGTCAGCACGCGAACTTGCTTCGCCCCATTCTTCTCGACGGTTGTGGTGCCAGGCGAAGTAAAGAGGCGTCTGATCGGCATTCCCGATTTGCCCAAGCAGGTAGTTGTTGTTGTGCCGCAAGTTTAGGACGAACCTCTGAAAACAGTGAAGCTTTTCATCGCACTCCTCCACAAAACTTTTCGCATATGCCCGTTCACTTCGGAGGAAAAAACCTTTCCACTTCATAAAATTAGTTAGCCAGCACCTGCTCGCTTTAAACTGGCCCTGCATTAGACCTTTTTCTAAGGCTAATTGCATAGCCCGCACTTGGAGCAGTTCTGTCGTCACGGGCCACTGTGCCGCTCGCTGCTCAAGCACATACTCGCCGAGCAGCTCTTCAGTTTGCGGAAACCGACCTTACTGTGGTCTACTGAAGCCTTTGCGTGAAGCTTTGCTGTTGACAATCTTCTGCTTTTGTTTCCGCCAGTACCGCACGCACGTTTCGGGAACTCCGAACGACCGTGATGCGGCCCGATTTCCGTTCGTTTCTGCACACGCGATGACTTTTCTTTTAAAAGCAGCACCGTGGTGCACTAAAGTTTTTGGAGTCTGCCCTTCCAAGCCGTCGATGCTAATGCACTACAAGATGATGAACTCCTCAGCACACGTACGAAGTGCCGCACATGGGAAACACATAGGCAGAAATGGCCGAGGCACGATGCCGACGCACGTAGGGGGCGGCCATTTTGGAAATGCCGATGGCAATAGAATGACTGTATTCATTGTTTTTTCGTACTCGATTCAAACGCGCATGCGATTTATGAACTCGCTTAACTGGAAAAAAGGTGCGCGTTAGATTCGAGTAATTACGGTAGGCCACTGCAGAAAAGTTGGTTGAAGGTGCTTAATTATTTGTTTGATCAAACACAATTGCCAAGATGATTGGGGAAAATGTGATGTTAAGTAATCACATGAATAGACCTCTACCATCGTACTAAATTGCATGAAATACAGAATATGACATACACCATGCTTTACATGCATTCTGTGGTAAATAATAGGAAAAATCTGCATATCACAGTGGGCACTGAAAAGAAACGAGGCATAAGAATTTGCAAAACTATAAATAAAAACAGATTCTGATCTCACACAACGATAGAATATTTCAACCCAAAATGTCTTCAAATCTGCGAATAATGTACTGATGCAGGTGCTGGTTTGCATTTGTTGTCACTGCTTCAGTATTAATTTGGTATATGCCATTATTCGTGGCTCAGTGTAGCCGGTCTCATAACTGACCTTGGCCACCGGCCGGGGTTTGACGAGCCCTCGTGGCCGGTGCAGGGTGGCCGTTCCGTCTGGTTCGTAGCTGTAGTCGTAGCCGTGAGACACCTGTCGGACCACTTCGGAGTCAGTGTCATAGCCGTGCTGCCGCCAACTGCTGACCATGTGGTACCAATCCGACTGGGGGGCATGGTAAGGCGGAGGGTTGTGGTGGTACCCCTGGTACTGGGGCTGATATGGCGCCGACGAGTGACTCTGGTACGCAGGGCCACCATCCTCCAGACTTTCGAGGGAACGGCCTCGGTTGGGCGAACGAACCTGCACGCAGTGTGACAAGCACAGTCTCTAGAACTGTTCCAGAAACAGTAGCAACTTTCTACTACTTCAATGACCTCAAACTCCAAACTCATTGAGATATTCTTCAAATACATGCATGCTCTCTCTTGATATGGTTCTGCTTCTTTCCAGAAACTTCATTTGATAAGTTATCACTTCTGACCACTGTTGTACAAAGTTCACTGTTGTGCAACACAGTGTACAGCCAAAGCCGCTTATAATACAGTGGACTCCCTTTAAACGAAACCTGAAGGGACCAGGAAAATGTGTTTCCTTTAAGAGGAGTTTCGTTTACGGAGAGATAAACCGGGGTACTATAATATTTAAGTACAAAACCAAACCTATTAGGGGCAGTTGCTCCATTTAAGCAGCAATTTCATTTAAGGGGACAGACTGGTCTTTGGGACCGAAAAGTGACAAACAAATGTATTTTTTAGAATTGACATATATTTGGTTTTGCTAGTATTTTTCTATCTCAATGCAAATTTTCACCCACCAAGAAGTGGTAATTATTTGTAATGTCATTCTGACTGTCCCGATTCTTGGTGCTAGCACAATGCAGAACCTGCAAAAAAATGGGGAACCTACTTCGGGTTTTTTTTGCAATTTGCCACCACCTGTTTCTGAAGCTCTACTACCAATTTACGAGCATTTTTATGAGCATTGCAAAACATGCAATGCAAGCCGTGATTGGTGTTCTTTGAAGAAATTGGGTGTTAGCAGTTTTTTCCAATTTTCTCAGAAAAGTAAATTTACAACTGTTCAGTTTTCAGGCCTCAAAATCTCTGCAGCTAGGGCAGGCACAACAATAATTCTTTTTGCAATAGAAACCTATATGTGTATAGAATGCAAGTATGAGAGCAGAATTTTCAATTAAATATTGATCATAATTGTGACAATTAAAACTGCTTTTGAAATTGAAAGGTTATTTTTACTGTAAAATAATCAAGAAAGGGTGGGAAAACAAAAAACAGTTGCATACTTTCAATCTCCAGTCATTGGTCTATGTCGACCATATCTTGACTATCACTTTTAATTAAGCACTTCGTTTTCTATGGTGGCCTTAAACAAGAAGGGGTGAACTTAGGTTTTCTCAGGAACGAAATAAGTTACAGGAAAAGTAATTACATATTTGAAATCATCAGAATAATACCCGTGCCACACGGGCAGAAAAAATGGCATTTACCCCCGAATGCCTTCAGATTTATTGCCATTCGCGCGGTGCCACACGGGCGAACAAAATGGCATTCGTCCGAATGCCATTCGAATGCCATTCGCCGCCAACTGCCTTCGCCAGAACTCAGTTGACTGAGAAATGCCTACTCTCGACAACAAAGCTCGCGAAGTGCGATTTACCTGAAAGTATATAAAACAAATCATATTGAGCTAAAAATAAAATTTCCCGTCTTTTATTTGCACTAAAGTCTTAAAAAGATGCTTTGAACGTTATACGAAGAAAATAAAGTATCAATAATGAAACTCTTGTCAATTTTAGTGTCTATTTACGCTGTGGATCTGACTAGTGTTGGCTTAGGTTGCTACGGTCGGCTGCAACGTTGTAAAACAAAGCAAGAAACTAAAACTTAGGACAGCGTAATACGCTTATTTCTACATTTGATGATTATCTGATGTGTATGAAGCTTGTAAATGCTTCTTAATTTTTTTATTGCTATTCACTCAATGCTCACTTCGAAGGTGCTGTGATCGACATCATCAAGTCAAATGTCATTCGCTTTGGACGTGTAGCAGCGCCGGCGAAACGAATGTCATTCGGGATCTGAAGGCCTTCGCCACCAAATGTCATTTTCTATGCCCGTGTGGCACGGGTATAAACCGCACAAGCCTGCGAATTTTGATTAAGATCAGTGAAGAAATAAATGTCTAAGATGAGTTTGCCCCTTAGGAGAGTTTTGTTTACTAGGAGTCTACTGTATTGTTATATTTGACATAACAGATGAAAAGCCCTTAGGAACGGGGTGTCACTGGAGCAAACGCTTCAACAAGTGGACTCATCTCTTGTCAGGTTGCAATTGGAAGATAGGTCTGCCAGTTGAAACACCAGCTCGTGCGACACATCGAGCTTCAAGAATTTTTCCGATGACGCAGAGCATTTTCTGAAGTACCCGCAAACCTCACTATAACAAAACTTTATCTTACACAAAAATAAGTTTGTTATATCCGAATATTCATTTTATAGGTTCATACGTAACACTATACCTTATGCAAGTATATTTATAGTTTACTTCGTTATAGCCAATATTTCATTATATCTAAGTTCATTACATTGAAGGTTGAGACCTCAGAAAAACGACCAGATTTTACCCTCAGGCATATACTATTTGATTTGTTGCATGCCTGCAGCAGCTAAGCTTTATTATAGTTGCTTGTAATTGCCAATTGACACCTATGTACAATCGAACCTCGATACCGAATGTAACCAAACACCGGCTATAACAAAGTAAGTGAAAAATAGCCTTGCAATAGATATAGTGTTAGGAATAGACCTTTGCAATGAACTTTCCGATATAAGAAAATTAATTTCATGTAGCATGCAACTTTGTTATGATGAGGTCCGAGTATTATTTTCAACATTTTTTCCCAAGGTAAACATAGAGGAAGGGCAGTTGCAGATTATGAAAATGGTCTATTTAGCCTAGGGCTCATAATCCATACAAACGAAGAAGTGGCCTCCTCACCTGCATCGACACGAAGTCGTGCTGGTACAGGTCGGCCCCCTGCATGGGTGGCTGGTGAAAAGCGGGCCCACTGAAGTGCTGCTGCTGCAGAATGAGGCTGTCCCCACTGCCCGCCCGATAGAAGTTGCCGCCCATTCGCGGAGGAGACTGCTGCCTGAACGTCCTCAGCTGAGGAGTGCTCGGGTCCGTGTCCGACCGCAACGGCGGCACTGCGTTGGCATGCGGGGGCGCCATCTCGCACGGCGGCTGGTTCACGCTTGGCACAGCCTGGTACGGATGGCCCATCGGTACCGGAACTGCACGAACGCAAAGGATATGACAGGTCACAAGGGAAGGGAAGAAGGGAATGCTTGTTCGGTTTCGATGGAATGTTCGGCTGCGAGCGAAAGCTATGGAGCATGTTGGTGCTGCTCCGAAAGAAGTACAGCAGCTTGCGGCTGATTTCGGTTTTGGTCGCTCGCTTCGTTAGCATGTTTTGAAAATTGTATACACAAGAATGTTAATCGGAAGTACATTGTAGAATCATATTGCAAGTGTATTTTTGCCTGTTTGGAGTCGCACCACGTGATGCCAAACAGGCAAAAAGAGTGTTTCTACACTTGCCCTAATGGCAACAGACGGCACTGACTGACACTACCACGTTTAACGCACATATATACCCGATAGAGGGGATGAGATGATGACCGCCTCCGTAGCTCAGTGGAAAGGCATCGGACGCATTATTCGAAGGTCGCAGGTTTGGATCCTGCCTGTGGCAAGTTGTCTTTTCGTCCACTTTTCTTTCTTCACATTCACATTACAATTACTTCTATAGCATCCCCTATACTTTCCTTGGCGTTATTGTCTGTTAGTTCTCATTATTGGGTCCAAAAAAACATATGCCCGTAAATCTAAACTTTCCCTCGGTTTTAATCTTGTTAGACATCATAACTTTTAGTATAAAGTGCTGCACAATCACTTGAGATAAACATGCCACTTAACTATGAATATGGTGGCTGTAGGTAATGCAGTCTATTGTGTAGCTTTTGGTGCAGTCAAAACTCGGCGTTCATGACATGAACTGAAGACTGAGGAAGCAAAGCTATGCCCAATATTTAGCCCTAAATTGTTGCATTTCAATCCATGAGCACTCTACTCTGCATACATTTGCATACATTTGCGAAAGCGATTTTTTTTTGTCAGTTGTGACCACTGAGGCCAGAGAAGAAAACACACACATTAAAATTTGGTTGAATCCAACCCCTCCATTCAGACATCTCTTAAATATGCATATGTTCGTGCATGGTGCATGTTGATTAAAGGAACACTAAGAAGGAACAGTGACTTGGTTTAAAATGACAAACTGCAATCTGAGTCAATATTGCTGACTGGGCGAGTTGGTGATACATGATTGTATTGAAATGAAAAGCGCTTGTCCGTGTGTTTCTGTTCACGTCTAAGTAGTGCACTCTCATATCAAAACAATAATGCACTCTGTAAACTCTAATGCCATATGTTTCACTATCATAAGTTCATTATTAGCGGAGAAAATTAAGGTTGAAGTTCGATTTTCAAATCTCGTGCTAAAATTTCTGCACATTATGTGAATTTCAAAATGTAATTTCAGTATTTAGTGGCATTGAGTAAACGAAATTTTCTGAAGTTTCGCATGACGCGATGTTTATGGCACTCAAACATCACAGTGTACTTAAATTTTATATTTGAAGTTATGTATGACCCAGTAAACACCTTCAAAATTTCTTACGTTACAATGTTTAGTGCGGGAATCTCAAGGTGATGTCACTACCTGCTTTTTCTTTTTGTGCGTTTTCTCGTTTACTGAGCATCGTGCCATGGCAAGAGTGGCATTTTCGGGATTGTGAAATTGTACTTTACTAATACACGGAAATTGTTTAGCTCTTTAGTGTCCCTTTAAGGCTAACGTAAAAGCTATTGATACATGTAAGGTGAAGCGCTCTTGCAGACAAGGGCCACAGCAGCAAAGACTGACCATGTGAGCCGGGCCTGGCTGCCAGCAGCTGGCCCATGTCGACGCTCGAGTGCCGTGCGTCCCCGTAATGCATCGCCTGCCGCGAACCGCTGTTGAGGTCGCGCACCTTTTTTATGGCCAGCATTAGCTTCTTCTGGTGACCTGCAGATCAGGGGCGGGAACAAATCAACAGTAGATCGAAGCAACAAACACCACAGCAAACATCGCATTTTAGCCTGAATTTTTCAGCTGTTGATGTACTAAAACAACCATGAACTACTGTTTTGAGACTTTTTAAGCCTATTACAGAGAATGAAGTGCTAAATCTAAACAAACATCGAAACTCAGAGATTTAGTTGTGGTGAAAGAAGGGGTCTGCTGATGCCTTTAGTTAAATGAAAAAAATCACCACCCTTGCGCATCGTGCAAATGGTTAAGAGCGAAAGCTGAAGTGTTAAGCCTCGATGTTTAACAGTGTGTTCAACCTGACGCTACACTGAAGCCTTTTATAATTACTGGTTACATGTTCCTGCTTGTTAACGAGTTTAGACATACATGTGGCTCGAGTTTAGCAGTGTTTTTTATTTCACAACTGCACTTTGTGCATCACATGACCAAGGTCATAAAAGAGTGTAATGATCACTTAAATGCATTTCGCAATGAGTTAATCACAGTGATTGTTCTCGAACCACAGGTAGTTACAGACATCACAGCCAGAGCCAAAGTGCCGCTAAGGAAACTCCCACTGGGGAAACTCCCGTCGAAAGGGGGCTTTTGCCCCGACAAATGCACTCCCGCAATCATCCCATCGACGCCCTGTTGTTGCATGCGTTTGACATCGCGAGTTACTTCACAACGCAGTCAATGGCACGCATGCTTGTGTAAGACACTGCGAATGACATAACTGATAACACTGCCAATAGAGACCACTCATGAAATCGCTGCCGGACGTTTTTTTAAATTTCTCCTCGCCATATACAGCCTTTGCTGTTAAAGTGCATGAGAAGGCGTGAAAGTTACTTAATTCTTATGCCTCCTGTAGAGAAAATGTGCGCTGTAACATGTTACAAAATCTAAATAAGCAATTAAATTTCGATTTATGCCTGTGAAGTGATCACAATGCAAGAAATTGTAAGTTCAGCTTAGGCTTACGTGTAAGTGTAAGCTCTAAAGACCACACTTTGGGTCCAATTCTTATGCGAGGTATTACATCAGAGCCCAGTTATAGATGCAGAACACATTAGCAACATAAAAGAAAGTCCTGAATGAATGTTGCTAGTTCAAGTCAATTCTTTTGCATGCCACAGTCATCACGTATGAATTCACACTCTATGCATCGAGACATCAAAGTAGTTTGTTTTAAAGGGTCCCTCAAACACTTTTTCAAGTAACCATGGAATGGATTCACTATAAAAGAGCTTATTGCCTCGCGAATTCAACACTGCGAAAATTTCATGAATCTGTTCAGCACGGGCGGAATTGCAAAGATTTATCGCACACTGCAATCGCATTCTCTCTTGTCCCAACTAAAGCACTGAAAGCTAAGGAGGGAGGGATGGCGTGGGCAAAGAAAATACGTCACGCGGCCTCATCACCTTGAGCACTTTTTTTTCCTTCGAATCTGCGGCTTTCTCAGTGTAATTACGCGCGCATGCATGGACAAATCGCGGCTTCTCACGGTAATCCCTGTAATGACTGAGTCCGCCATGTTTAAATCAGCCAATGGGTGATATATGGCCTTGTACGAGTGATTTTTGGTTTCCTCCGTCATTTGTCAGGAGAAGAGAAAGCAATTTTCAGCTGACTGATAATTTATTATGAATTCCAGGCCATGTCTTGCGCTACAGCTCGTGTGTTCTCGGAACTCTCTACAAACTGATCAGCAGAGTTTTCTGACCATGCTCAAGAAGTGTTGCAGGGCCCCTTTAAGCATTATTAATGATCTATTCCATTCACAATATCGGATCGACTTCTCAGCTGAAGCTCCACCTTTAAAGTTGCACGGTAATACAGCACCACCTACAGTACACTCCCCAAATCACAGCTGATCATGCCAAAGATAACAGCCCACACTTTTGTGTAACTTCCTGAATTAATGAGAACCAACAGACAATGATGCCAAGAAAAGTATAGGGGACGTATACACCCTATAAAGTGGATGGAAGTTATCTTTTCTTCCACTTTCCTTTGTTCGTTTTTACTTATTTACATTTCACCTACATCGCCATGAGGCATTACGTAGGGGAGGTACACATAATAATTTGATTACATAGTTTTCAATCGAAACAGTAGATTAAACAAATAAAACAGCACTCAAAATATTTTAAGAGAAGAAAAAAAAAACGCTCGAATATTGGTGAGTGAAAACAACGTCACAGTCATGCATTTGTAAACACCCACACGCTTCGAGACAGCAAACCAATCTTAGTGGCAGTGATATTGTCGGAGTTGTTACAATGAAGAAAAAAAGGATTCATTATCAGTTTCATTGACGAGATCATCCGGTAGACGGTTCCATTCCTGTATTGTTTTTACGAAAAAAAAAAACGACTGAAAGAGTGGGTTTTGTAACGGTATTCTAATATTTTTCGTGAATGGTCTTGGCAATTAGAGACGTACGTTGGTATGAACAGATAATCAAGAGGGTCAATGGCATTTCCATTATAATATATACAATGACGAAATTTAAGCCCGAGTTTCTGCCTCCTTACCATCAGTGTTTCCCATTTCAATGCTCGTTGCATTTCTGTGATGCTTGCAAAAGAATTATAGTTGTTGCTAACAAATCTGGCTGCTTGGTTTTGAACTTTTTCCTATGCGTCAATCAAGTATTGCTGATGGGGATCCCAGATTACGCAAGCATACTCTAGAATAGGTCTTACATACATGAGATAAAGGGTTTGTTTCACGGTCTGTGAAGCTTGCCTAAAATTTCTGCGTATGAAGTATAGCATCCGGCCTGCCTTGGTCACAGTTACCGTAATTACTCGAATCTAACGCGCACCTTTTTTCCGGTTAAGCGAGTTCATAAGTCGCATGCGTGTTAGAATCGAGTACGAACGAAAAAATTGCGGTCAATCTATTGCCATCGGCAAATCCAAAATGGCCGCCCCCTACGTGCGTCGGCATGGCGCGTCGGCCATTTCTGCCTATGTGTTTCCCATGAGCGGCACTTCGTACGTGTGCTGAGGAGTTCGTCATCTAGTAGTGCATCAGCATCGACGTCGTGGAAGGGCCGACTCCAAAAACTCGAGTGCACCACGATGCCGCTTTTAAAAGAAAAGTCATCGCGTGTGCAGAAACGGACGGAAATCGGGCCGCATCGCGGTCGTTCGGAGTTCCCGAAACGTGCGTGCGGGACCGGCGGAAACAAAAGCAGAAGATTGTCGACAGCAAAGCTTCACGCAAAGGCTTCAGTGGACCACAGCAAGGTCGGTTTCCGCAAATAAAGAGCTGCTCGGCGAGTATGTGCTTGAGCAGCGAGCGGCCCGTGACGACAGAACTGCTCCAAGTGCGGGCTATGCAATTAGTCTTAGAAAAAGGTCTAATGCGGAGCCAGTTTAAAGCGAGCAGGTGCTGGCTAACTAACTTTATGAAGAGGTAAGGCTTTTCCCTCCGAAGGGGAACATGCATATGCGAAAAGTTTTGCAGTGGAGTACGATGAAAAGCTTCACAGTTTTCAGAGGTTCGTCCTAAACTTGCGGCGCAACAACGGCTACCTGCTTAGGCAAATCGGGAATGCTGGTCAGACGCCTCTTTACTTCGACATGCCTGGCACCACAACCGTCGAGAAGAACGGGGCGAAGCAAGTTCGCGTGCTGACATCGGTCCACGGTAGAACTACAGTGACGGCAATGCTCTGTTACACGTCAGATGGGCACAAGCTTCGCCCGTACCTCATATTTAAATGGAAGACGCTCCCGAAAGGAGTCGTTTTTTCGAGTGGTGTGATCGTGCGGGCCAGCGAGAAAAATGGGTGCGCGTTGCAATCGATGTCTTACGTTTTTTTTTTTTTTCGCGGTGGAAATCGGGTGCGCGTTACAATCGAGGGCGCGGTAGAATCGAGTAAATACGGTATGTCAATGTGTTCATTCCACTTGAAATTGTCGGGAAAATAGACGCCCAGGTAGTTATAATAAGATTCATTGCTAACTATTGAATTATTTATTTCGTATGTTGTGTCTAGTTTACTAATCCGGTTGGTGAATGATACACAGCAACATTTACGGACGTTTAGACTCATTTTTCCATTTTTGGCACCACGTTGATATTCGGTACAGATCATGCTGCAGAATTTCAGCATCCAGCATGTTACTAATATTCGAATAACATCCCCTATACCTTCCTTGGCATTGTCTGTCAGTTCTCCTTAGTATTGTGTCTAACAATGAAAACAAGCCCCTAAATTTACACTTCCTTCAATCCTACAATAAGCTGTTCCGTTAGCTTTTGATGTAATCGGACAATTCAGATACAACAGGCTTAAGCTAACGTGATGTGCACCAGTGCAGGCACTATAGATATGACTGGCTATTACAAGAGTTAAAAAAAGAACTCTACATAATCGGTTCTTCTGGTACGCACCTAGCTTTTGAATGCCTATGTCTTCGAGGTCCTCCCAGGTGAGATCGGCCACCCTGTCGACCGTGGCATAGCCCTGCTGACACAGCGAACCGTAGTACTGCTCAAGCCTCAGGAGTTTCAACCACGTGAGAAGATTGTCCTGCGCACATGGTTACAATTCACAGAGAACTTGAGAAAATTATTCCAAGAAATGCAGAGGAGACATATGTCACCTGTCGAGAGCAATGTATGTGCACATTAATACCAAGATGAATATATTACAAATTGCACTCATGGGCATGATTTCCCTATGCCATAACATATTTTTTATATCACACTGCCCTTGCCACAGGTCATGTAAAGCAACCTCATGGGATCCAATGAAAATAATGACTTATTTACTTGTTTATTTATTTTGTGGAGAATGCATTATTGTGATGCAGAAGATGAAAGGAGACAAGAGCCACTTGACTAGGCCCCTAGCACCAAAATTCACATTTACGACATGATGGCATTGGGAAAAAACAAAGAACAACAACAGCACAGTAATGTTTGTAAACAGCTCGTAAAACTGAGTTATGAAAAATATACATGGATCATTTTACCCCGAGTTTCTCTTCCGAGCTTCCAGAAGTCTAAAATCAGATTCTAAAAAAAAAAAAAAAAGCCACGCACCGGTTTGTAGTCTGGAATCCCGTCCGAAATATTCAGGTTGCTGATCTCCGATTTGAGTTTCCTCCGATGCGCTGGCTTTGTGATGCCGATGGCTGTCAGGTCCTGCATCACAGAGCATTGTCATGTGTGTGAAAAAAAGATATAAAGAAATCACCTATTTCTACACCCTCAAAATCATCGTATAGTGAAGTTGCAATGATGATGTCGACGATGACTTCGGTACAAAGAGTAGTTAGCATCATAAGCACAATAATTTCGAATCAGTCATTTACTCCTACTTTTGGTCACGCGATCTGAGGGGTCACTACTGTAGACTAGTATGACCAGAGGCATCCGTAGCAGAAATTTTTTTCGTTTACCCAACCTTAACACATGTTTTTTTTTTTTTCCATAAACATACGAAATTAAGAAATTTCAGAGGAGGTGAAGTTGAGCATCCTTCCCATCTTTGCTTATAAGCTGTAGACAGACGGCTTCACTGGAAGGAGTTAGTGCGTACCACTAAATAACGATAGAGAGCGAGATGGGTGCGTACCTCTGGAGTCATCCGTGATATGGTAGGCATGTCGTAGCCTGCCTGCAGGAACAGGTGCGTGTACTCCTCAAAGTGAAGGTTCTTGAGCCACGTCGTGAGCACCTCGGTGTCCTGGAAGAAGCAAAAAACAAAGCCTTTCGATACTGAACTAAGGAAACAAATTTCAAGGCATTCCCAGCAGCAAAGACTTACGTGGCGGCCAGGACAAGGCTGTCTTATGCACGTAGAACTTAGAAAATTAGATGCACTGTCACTATTGCAATAGCAAGAGCACCACCCGTAGGCGTAAGCAATTTTCCAGTCCTGTGTTAGGACTTCCCACCACAATGTGGCATGTATAACGTGAACATGTGTCGATAGCACGTGTACGAGCTGCAGAGGTTTCATTAGCACACATGGAACGTGCATACATATGACCAGCCTCCATTTAGCTGGCACACACTTAAATTTCAGAGGTATCACAAGCACACAAGTAACTTGCACACGTGTTGCTAACACAAACTGTACAGGTTTCATCAACATACGTGTAACACGCACCCAGCACACATGTTCCCTGCACAGGCCAAAGCATCATCACATGAAGAGCACGGGTAATTTAAAATCATGGTTGTAATCAGTATAGGAAACTATGTATGTGCATCCATGAAGTGTTTTCACACTTAGGAGATTTTTATGAGACAGCGCAGACAAGTACTGCAATTTAATTCATACTAATTTATCATATGAGCACGCTACAGTGACAGGGTTTTTGGCAGTATTTATTAGCTGGAAGTGCGACTTGGTCAAGCAGTCTACAAAACCTTGGTCAAGCAGTCTTGGTCAAGCAGTCTACACTTGGTCAAGCAGTCTACAAAACTTGGTCAAGCAGTCTACAAAACCATCAAGCACTAGGCATTCGGGTTATACCAAGTCATGCTGCACACCACAGCTACTTCAACCTCTGACCTGAGCAACACAAACTGTTGATCACCAATTTAATAACATATCAATGCGCTTCCACACCGCTGTGAGGACTGCCTCACCTGAGCCGCATACGCGCTCAATAAACTCGGCCGCCAATCGCTCGATATAGGCACGGCCGCGGGCGCGATCGAGTGGAAACGACGCACGCCTCTCAACCCACGAGCCGACGAAGGCGCAATATGGGGCTAAGGCCGATCCCATTCCGACGAACGCGTCGAGTAACAACGCGCGTCACCGCGGTGAAGCACTCTTCTTGAAAAGCCTTCCGGTCGCTAGGTTCTCGAGGACACGTATTCACTTGTTATGTCTCGCGCATCGTGCGTCTCCATCCGCAATTCGGGCACGGGGTCCGCCCGAGGGGCTGTTTTATTGGTGCGTGCTCCGTCGCAAGCGGAAAGACAAAACTTTCTCCGCCGGGACGACGCGGAAGCCACGCGTGGGGAGAAGTCAGTGGTGCGCTACTGGAGCCGGAACAGAAGGGGATGTGGAAGAGGGAGCCGCCTCAGGGTGTGCACCTTGTCAAATAAAAGTCCCTAGGCGCTGCCATGACCCTCTCTGGGCTGCTTTATTTACTTAGTCTTTGTTAATTTAAAAAAAAAGAAAAAAAACAGAGGCCCTCATAGGGTACATGTTATGCATCTCGAAGGCTGATCAAAAGAATGCACAAATCAGAGAGAAAACGAAATTAGTTTTGAAACATAATAAAAGCAAAATTGAGACAGAAATTGCCACAAATAACACCGCAGTGAACAAGAAAAAAAAAGCATATGTAACAGCGCATAAAACTATAGAAAGGACGGCACGGACAGAGTAAACAGCGCTTTTTTTTTCTCTGCCCGGGCCGAGTTTTCTAGTTTTATGCGCTGTTACATATGTTGAAATGAACTAGCCCAATAAGCAACCAAGACAAAAAACAAAAATTTAAATATTGCGATTAACTGGCAAGCTGTGCGGAAGTAATATCTTACCAAAACTGTAAGGTTGCGTTCTGCATGACCATGTCTGATGGTATTACGTTCCATTCGGTTTATAAAATACTTGAACCATCTATCCCCCCCTACCCTCAAGTGTACTGCCAAGGTTGTGACGTCACTGTTTGTACTTTAGTTTGAACTGTCCAGAAAGCAGGTGCGTGGTGATTTTATCCGTCGAAAAGGCCGCGGCACCGCATAAGGAAGTGTAGCATAGGGCACGGCTGCGCCGCCTTGCTGGATTCGAGTAAATTTTGGAGGGCACATTCGGGGAGAAAAGGGAGGGTGCAGAAAAGGGAGCGTGGAGACTGGGGAGGGCACCAACTCGTCCGCCTGCGAGAAAAGCGAGCGCGTGCAAATTCCCTGAAGACGCGTGTACGCATACATATTTGCTCCGAGGGGCTATAAACAAAGAAAAGGGCGCCGAGCAGTCGGCAGCGCCACGACTCATCGACGCGCATTGTAGCGCCCAGGGGGAGTGCAAGAAAACACAGAGACCGAATAAGAACTGGGAAATGAATAAATAAAAAGGAAGGCGAGAGTTGCGAGGCTAAAGCCTCCGCGCTGGGAAACACGATGCGGCACGCGGAGGGGAAAAACTCGCACACAGCCAAGGATAGTGTGCAAAGACGAGAGCGCGCCGCCATTGTGATGGGGAAAAGGGCAAAGCAGTCAGCAGAGCTTTCTTTTGTCGCGGAAGAAATGAGGCGAGATGCGATTGGGGAGGACGCCGAGAGAGAAAGAGAGAGGAAAGGCGCAGTCTACAGTGTCAGTTATCCCTTCCTTCAAGCCAGAGGGGAGAGAAAGGAGAGAAGAGTAACGTTACCTTTCTTACCTACTTTATTTGTCAGTGCGGTAAACAAGCAGGAAAGCTGGTATGAAGTGTCCCGTTACCCGAGAAATAGAAGAAAAGAAAACGACGGTAAGGTTATGCGAGAGGGAAAGATTGTATGGAGTTTCCCGCCTTCGAACACCAAGAAAGTGCGGTAGGATTAAGATAGCGAATGAAATGGGAACCGAGGGAAACAAAGCGGAGCAGAGACGCAGCTTTATACACAACCGTGCAAACGGTTAAGTACACGCCCCGGCCCTCGAACAGAAAGAAACAATTTCGATTCACCCCCACGAAGTCCCGCCGAGCAAGAAGGCGGCGAGTGGATGTGCCCTCTTTCCAGACGTACACCGCACAAAGAGCGAAGAAAAGCTAACGCGTCGAGTGGGCAACAGCATAAACGAGAGAACAGCTTCAGCAAAAGAAAAAGACGACGCGAATAGGTGAAAGGTACTGCCTCCTTCGCTTTTCCCCATCAAGGCGGCGGCGGAGCAGCTTTAGGGAAAATGGGGGAAAGGATTCTCCATGGCTGCCAGAGCACGTCGCTTAGAGTGCCTCTCGGGCAGCTTGCTCGCTACAACCACCACGTCGGGACCCACACCGTGCTCTCCCAATCGTGTTCGAGCACTTTTCGCCCCCCCCCCCCTTTTCACCGGCGTCTGTGTGTCTTTCCGGCAAAACCCTCGGGGAAGAAAAGAAGGCGGGGAGGGGAAAAAAGGAGCAATACGTGTTCGCCAGGTGCTCCCGGGGCGAGCATCCTAGAGAGAGACGCGCCACGGAGCGGCGGTACGCGTCGTGTTTGCCTGAAGGTGACGTCACGTACGTAGTACGTGAAGTGTCCGCCAGGGATGGAGTTCCATCGCGACAATGGGTTCTTCGCTTGCGCTGCATCTGTTTGGAAAGACAGCTGTGGCTGATGAAGTGTGCCTATAGAAACGTCTTAGAGAATATTCAGTGTGCAATTTACGGTCCATATAAAACAAAATACATGCAGCAAGACGTCGTACATGTGGTCTATGTTGCAGGTTGGCTTCACCGAAAGAAGTTCCCAAGACCGGTCCCGTCCGCGGCGAAAATTTATCTGAATACAAGCCTATGCCTTAACATTTATTCCGTAACGATGGGTACCCTTAATTTACTATACGAAAGACGCGAAATATCAAGCCCTTTAAACAAGAAAAAAGGTGTTTCGGGATCTCCTGATTCCAAGCTTTCCAGCGAGACCAATTAGCAATACCAGAAAGCCAAAGCGGCAAGCTCACTGTGATGCGCGTAAAGGCGCACAAACTGACTACGACCTTCACGTGACGTCATCCTTTGGTGGCAGACTGAGCTATTTATACACCTTCTTGAGAACCGCCTTTGCAATAGTTTTTGTTCATTACACAGTATTGACCAGAGCTGGGCGTTACACCATTCGCTAGTTTCTGTAAGTATCTTATATGCTAGCTACTCGGCGACAACTTTTCTTGAGAGCACTATCCGTAACCGCGCCAAAAGGTAGTACTTACAACTTTCTCATTTTGCATTGCTGAAATAAATGCCGTTTTATTTATCATGAGATCAAAATGGTTGTGGTAAGCCGTAGTATAGGGTAAAATACAGTTGTTTCATTTGCAACAATGCTTTCCTTCTCTTTCCATTCCTTGGACGGCACCACCTTTTCAGTACAGCCGCTTTCCAAAGTAAACCTGTCGTCCATAACGTAGTGGGTCAGTGTGCGGCCGCAAACAAGTTGTTTAGTTCTTTAGGAAAAATAAACAAATAATATGACACTAAAATGTACGCTAAAATATCAATATTTCTCCGATTCCCATTTTTTGGGTATATAATTTTTTTAACGCGCTAGCATTGATAGCGAGCAAGCAAAATCAGCCGTCATAGAACCTGCGAAACAACACGAATTTGCGAAAGCTCCCCTCCGTAGCATTCCCTCCAACGTCACGATAAGTTGTCGCCGAATATAGTTATTCTTAAACTCGCTGGTTTTCCCTAGACAGACTACGCACAAACGCTGCGCTGGCTCGTCCATTCATGTTATACCACATGAACTGTCACGGCCCAAACGACGGCGGCAAAAGCCCGGCCCACCGACGGCAGACAAACGGCATCCCCACGTGGGGCGATCTGGAGAGGCGACACAACACTTAGAGCATGCCGCGCACTAACACGTTCACATTGCATCGCAGCCACGAGCAAGTGTACATATATATACACCGCGCGACACGCCCGGGAAAAAATACGTGCCGAGGGAACCAACTACACGGAAGCATAAACGTTCATCGTTGTTCCGAGACCAAGAACGCGGGCCGTGCTTGCCTCACCTGCGAAAGTCCACGGGTCCT